AGCGCAAAAGCCGGGTTGCAGCTAAACATCAAAAAAACCAAGATTATGGCAACAAGAATGATTTACAACTGGGAAATAGAGGGAGAAAACGTGGAGACCGTGACAGACTTTGTATTTCTAGGCGCAAAGATTACTGCAGATGCAGACTGTGGCCAGGAAATCAGAAGACGCTTACTTCTTGGGAGGAGAGCAATGTCCAGTCTCGATAAAATAATAAAGAGTAGAGTCATCAGACTGGCAACAAAGATCCATTGCCTAGTCAAAGCCATGGTATTCCCTGTAGTAACCTACGGATGTGAGAGCTGGACCTTAGGGAAGGCTGAGCAAAGGAAGATCGATGCTTTTGAGCTGTGGTGCTGGAGGAAAGTGCTGAGAGTGCCTTGGACTGCGAGAAGATCCAACCAGTCCATCCTCCAGGAAATAAAGCCCAGCTGCTCACTGGAGGGAAGGATACTAGAGACAAAGTTGAGAAGGGCGGGGTAAAAGAACCCCAAATAAATAAATAAATAAATAAAGTTGAAGTACTTTGGCCACATCATGAGGAGACAGGAAAGCCTAGAGAAGACAATTATGCTGGGGAAAGTGGAAGGCAAAAGGAAGAGGGGCCGACCAAGGACAAGATGGATGGATGGCATCCTTGAAGTGACTGGACTGTCCTTGAAGGAGCTGGGGGTGGTGACGGCCGACAGGGAGCTCTGGCGTGGACTGGTCCATGAAGTCACGAAGAGTCGGAGACGACTGAACGAATGAACAACAACAACATCTGGCCCCTGGGGCTTAGTTTGAGGACCCTTGTTCTAGAGGCATTCTCTCCTGACGTTTCACCTGCATCTATGGCAAGCATCCTCAGAGGTTGTGAGGTCTTCCAGGAGTGATTTTCCCTTCTGAGAGGTAGATCTCTCTCATTTCCTGTTCTTCACTACGAGTCGCTTGTAAGTGGGATGTTTGTAACTTGGGAGCAGCCTGTATACTCCAGGAGCTACCTTCTCCCTCAAAATGGCTGCCAGGTTTCTTTGGCCCTGACAGGCTTTTGCCAACCCCTCTCACATTCATGGGCCCATTACTGAAGATAGAGGGAGTGTTTCTGTTCCTGAAATTGGGCGTAACTTCCAGCTGAACGGGCCAAGTGTTTGTTCCAGGAGACAGTCGAGTCAAAGTCCAGGTCCAAATTTGCTCTGAAGCCAAAAGTCCAGGTCCAGATTTGCTCTGAAGCCAAAAGTCCAGGTCCAGATTTGCTCTGAAGCCAAAAGTCCAGGTGCAGGTTTGCTCTGAAGCCAAAAGTCCAGGTCCAGATTTGCTCAAGAACTCCCACAAACGGCTCTTCATTTGAGGCTTCAGACCTCCCCTCAGAAACACACTCCTCCGGTGCCATTTCCACAGGCTTTGGCTATACTCTGGTTTCTCTTTAGGTCATATTAACCATCTTTGGCTTTTTAAAGAGTCCTTTATTGCCTCTTTCCCTGAATAATTCAGAAAGACGCTCCTCCGGTGCCATTTCCACAGGCTTTGGCTATACTCTGGTTTCTCTTCAGATCATATTAGCCATCTTTGGCTTTTTAAAGAGCCCTTTTTTTTGCCTCTATTCCATTTCCACAGGCTTTGGCTATACTCTGGTTTCTCTTCAGATCATATTAGCCATCTTTGGCTACTTAAAGAGTCTTTCTTTGCCTCTTTTCCATTTCCACAGGCTTTGGCTATACTCTGGTTTCTCTTCAGATCATATTAGCCATCTTTGGCTTTTTAAAGAGTCCTTTTTTTTCCTCTTTTCCTGCATAATTCAGAAAGACACTCCTCCGGTGCCATTTCCACAGGCTTTGGCTATACTCTGGTTTCTCTTCAGATCGTATTAGCCATCTTTGGCTTTTTAAAGAGTCATTTTCTGTCTCTTTTCCTGCATAATTCAGAAAGACGCTCCTCCGGTGCCATTTCCACGGGCTTTGGCTATACTCTGGTTTCTCTTCAGATCATATTAGCCATCTTTTGCCTCTTTTCCATTTCCACAGGCATTGGCTATACTCTGGTTTCTCTTTAGGTCATATTAACCATATTTGGCTTTTTAAAGAGTCCTTTTTGCCTCTTTTCCTGCATAATTCAGAAACACACTCTTCTGGTGCCATTTCCACAGGCTTTGGCTATACTCTGGTTTCTCTTCAGATCCTACTAGCCATCTTTGGCTTTTTTAAAGAGTCCTTTTTGTGCCTCTTTTCCTGCATAATTCTCATCCAAGAGGATAGGATTGGGTGCTGAATGTATGAGGAACACACCATTCAGGTCTCCCAAGTCCTTCAAGGCCACAGTGTGAGATAATTCTCATCAAAGAGGATAGGATTGGGTGCTGAATGTATGAGGAACACACCATGCAGGGCTTCCAAGTCCTTCAAGGGCACAGAGAGAGAGACAGGCTTTCCTCATCTTCAAAAGCCAACTTTGTGTGGAAATGTGGAGGAAAGAACTCGGTTTAAAGCAAACGGATTTGCTCTGCGATTTGTAACGCTGGCTCCGTCTTGAAAGGATCCTTTTTTTTGGCTGGAGAAGGGCTAGAGATCAACGGATAAGGAGATAAACGAGGCGCTTTGTGAGGGAAAGAGAGAAAGCCGCATGAGGGAGAAAATGGAAGGAAGGAGGGAGGGGGGGAAAAAGAGCGGGAAAGAGGCCAGGTGGGAGGGGGAGGGAGCAGAGGGAAAGCAACGCGCCTGCGCAGTAGCTCAGGCCTGGTCCAACTTGAGCCTTCCCTTGAGGTGTTTTTGGACTTCAACTCCCACCATTCCTGACAGCCTCAGGCCCTTTCCTTTTCCCCCTCGGCCGCTTAAGCGGCCGAGGGGGAAAAGGAAGGGGCCTGAGGCTGTCAGGAATGGTGGGAGTTGAAGTCCAAAAACACTTCAACGGAAGGCCCAAGTTGGACCAGGCCTACATCACCAGCTGAGTGCGCATGCGCGCCCTGTCCCCCTTTTGGTGCCTCGCCTTTCCCTTTATTTATTTATTTTCCTCCGAGGGGCGCACTGCGCCTGCGCGGAACAGCCCCCGCGCGCCTCAGTGACAGCAGCAACACTCGACGGCGGCGCAGGCCAGGCCAGGCCTCCCTCCTTCCTTCCTTTCTTCCCTTCCACGGATGGCGAGGGCCAGGCTGGCGGCGGGCCGTCGGGGCGAAGGAGGCGGAGGAGGAGGCGGGGAGACATGCGGCGGGGCCCGGCTAGGCCTCTGCTGAGCCCAGGCGGAGGGCCAGGCCTTCTCTGAGGGGACGGGCAGCCATGTCGTCGTCGTCGTCCCCGTCCTCCTCCCCGCCGCGGGCCACGGAGGTCAGCTGCGACGCGCGCGGGCAGAGCAGCTCCGTGGCTGTCCGCATCCCTTCAGGAGGAGGCAGCAAGGCTCGGAAGAAGGGCAAAGGAGGAGGCGGCGGAGGAGGAGGGGGCTTCGGCCTAGGCCTGGGTCTAGGCCTGGGCTTGGGCTCCCACAGGAGGGCGCGCCACTTGCCGCAGCTCTTCGAGCGGGCCTCGAGGCGCTGGTGGAGCCCGCAGTTCGACTCTGGCAACCTGGAGGAAGCCTGCCTGGAGCGGTGCTTCCCTCAGACGCGGCGTCGCTTCCGAGGAGGGTTGGCCTACCTGGGCCTGGCGGGGCTGCTCTGGGGCGCGCGTGGGCTGGGCCTGGCCCTCCTCTTCCCAGAGCCCGGCGTGCTCCCATTCCTCCCGGGACTGCTCCTTCTAGGCCTAGCCTTGGCCTGTGTAGCTGGCCTGGCCTTCACCTTCTCAGGTGCCTATGCCCGGCGGCCTGGGGCGACCGCCTTGGTGCTGACAGTGCTGGCCTTCGCCTTGACGCTGGCGCCGCAGCTGCAGGCCCTGGATAGACCCATGGGGGCCAACACCAGCCAGGCCGCCCGGTCTTTGCCGTCACCGTCTCCCTTCATCTCCCCAGTGGGGTCCTTCTCGCTGTGCGTGGCGGTGCTCTTGCTCCTCTATGGTGTCATGCACCTGCCGCTCTACCTGAGCCTCCTCCTGGGCCTGGGCTACTCGCTGCTCTTCGAGGCGCTCTCCTTCTGCGCCCGCCCGGCCCCTTGGGGGGAAGTCCTGGGCAAGGCCTTGCTGCACCTGTGCCTCCACGCCACTGGGGTCCACCTCTTCGTCATGTCCGAGGTGCGCTCCCGCAGCACCTTCCTCAAAGTGGGACAGGCCATCATGCACGGCAAGGACCTGGAGGTGGAGAAAGCCCTCAAGGAGCGTATGATCCATTCGGTCATGCCCCGCGTCATCGCCGACGACCTCATGAAGCCCGGTGAAGAGGACACCGGCGGGGGAGAGGCCTCGGCCAAGCAAAGGCCCTCTGCCTCCGCCGCCGCTGCTGCCGCCAGCCCCAAAGGCCGCAAGAAGAAGCCCTCCCTTCCCAAGAGCCCCATCGTCTTCCGTCCTTTCAAGATGCAGCAGATCGAGCCGGTCAGCATCCTCTTCGCCGACATCGTGGGCTTCACCAAGATGAGCGCCAACAAGTCCGCCCATGCCCTAGTGGGCCTCCTCAACGACCTCTTTGGTCGCTTCGATCGCCTCTGCGAGGAGGCCAAGTGCGAGAAGATCAGCACCCTGGGCGACTGCTACTACTGTGTGGCCGGCTGCCCCGAGCCCCGCCCTGACCACGCCTCCTGCTGCGTCACCATGGGCCTGGGCATGATCCGGGCCATTGAGCAGTTCTGCCAGGAGAAGAAGGAGACTGTCAACATGCGGGTAGGTGTCCACACTGGCACCGTCCTCTGTGGCATCTTGGGCATGCGCCGCTTCAAGTTCGATGTTTGGTCCAACGACGTTAACCTGGCCAACCTCATGGAGCAGCTGGGAGTGGCTGGGAAGGTCCACGTTTCGGAGGCCACTGCCAGGTACCTGGACGACCGCTACGAGATGGAAGACGGGCGAGTGGTGGAACGTGTGGGACAGAGCGTGGTTGCCGACCAGCTCAAAGGTAAGGCATCCGAGATATATATATACACATACATACATACAAGCCATCTGTGAGTTACAAACATCTCACTTACAAATGACTCCTAGTGAAGAACAGGGCTGAGACAACAGGATGTGAGAGGAATTGAGAGGAATCTACCCTTCAGAAGGAAGGGAAATCCCTCCTGGAAGAGTTATTATCATGGGGAAAAGGGGTCTCTGCAGAAGTTTTATCCACAATACTTGTTTCCACACTTATTTATTTACTTACAATATTTATATTTTGCCCTTCTCATCTCGAAGGAGATTCAGAGTGGATCACAGAACACATAAACGGCAAAAATTCAGTGCTGTTATACACTGCCAAGACAAACAAATGTATATAGATAGAGGTATATATAGGCTTTCCCATCTTCAACATCTTGGAGGCTGTGCTTGGTTCCAGCCATGGGGGGGGGGGGTGCCTTTTCTCCATCATCCCTGCCAATAAGCTTTGTTCGTAAACTTCCTCCTTTGATCGAATCTCCAGCATTTTCCGGCATTTCCTTATGGGTGCCTTACTGCCTCTCCGCTTTTTAAAGTGGTACCTATTTAGCTACTCACAATTGTTTTCGATCTGCTAGGTAGGCAGAAGCTGGGCTGAAAGGCCAGGCACTAACCCTGACCCAACCTTCAAACTGTCAACCTTCCGATTGAAAAGATTGACTGCAGCTGGCGGTTAGCCTGCTGTGCTAAAGCCCAGCCCACTAAGCCATATTTTCCAAAATCCAATTATCAAAGGGACAGAAAGGGAGGTGGAATCTTCTGAACTGGGCCGCAGACAGCAAAACAAAGACCACAGGGTGTTCACCCCATGCTACCCAAAGCACATAGATGGAGTTACACTTAAAAAACGTACCTGTTGCAACTTTCATACAAATTTAACCCAAGAACAAACCTATAGAATCTATCCTGTTTTAACTTGGGGACTACCTGTATATATGCTAGCATATATACCAGGCACGGGCAAACTTCGGCCCTCCAGGTGTTTGGACTTAAACTGCCACAATTCCTAACAGCCAGGCTGTTAGCAATTGTGGGAGTTGAAGTCCAAAACACCTAGAAGACTGAAGTTTGCCCATGCCTGGTATATACCCAGCATTGCCTGGGTATACATTTTCTTTGTGGCTCCTTCTTCCTTCTTCTCCCTCCTTTCCTTCTTCCTTCTCCTCATACTCATGTCACCTAGCAACAGCCAATCCGCTTTGCTCCCTTTCTTTCTCTGTCACATCACAGGACCACTTCCACTAGCAACTGCTTTATTCCTTTCCCTCAGTTCTGGGTCCAAAAAGGCTGGGTTTTCAGTTCAATTTTAGTTTAGTATTTCCCATATAAACATATCTGAAAATGGAGTGCTCCTTAGAATCACGCGTTTCTTGTGTATTTTTGTTGTTGTTGATACTGAAATTAGGGTGTGTCTTACATTGGAAGAAATACAGTACTTGAAGTTGAATAATGAAGGGTTTATGTGCCAAGTTTGGTCCAGATCCCTCAAGCCACAGAGAAGCCTTTGTGGTTCAAACCAACCAGTATACATACCTACATACTTTGACTTTTAGATAGATAGAGCCTTTAACTGGCTTAGAAACAGAGTTTTGTTCCTCCGTCATCTCCCACTTTTCTGTCCCATGTGAACGTAGGCAAGTGGAGCCTAATCATATGTCTGCTTTTCACATGTATTAAGATTCTCAAACTTGGGAGTCTCTTTTTCACGACTGTGAAGAACCACGGGAGACATGCTTTGGATGATGCATGCCTGGCAGTTGCAGCACCTTCTGGTTTTGGAACTGACATTTTAAAGGGCTTTTTTTTTTCTAAAATAAGGAAAGCAAATGTGGAATTTTAATTAACTGGCAAGTATGCTATATAGCTCATGACATCATCTGACTTACTGTACTGTTCAGACTTTCACGAGATGCAGGTGATTCATAAGCTTTAAGAGGGAAAAATGCCCAGAAGAGCTGTGTTTCCAAGCGCGGGGGAGCAAGTTGTTGGTACTTTTCAGGCAGCCTGGCTTCTGGGTCCCCTCACACCTCCACAGCAAAGCTCTTATAATAACGCCTGCTGCATAGGAAGCAATAGCGGCTAGAACCTGAGCTATAAAGAAGGGGTGTTGAATTCATTCAACCAAATCTTAACATTTTACATCAATAAGTGTTTGATGTATTGTCAAAGGCTTTCATGGCTGGAATCACTGGGTTGCTGTAAGTGTTCTGGGCTGTATGGCCCTGTTCCAGAAGAATTCCCTTCTGATGTTTTGCCCACATCTATAGCAGGCATCCTCAGAAGTTGAGGGGTTTGCTGGAAACTAGACAAGGGAGGTTTATATATCTGTGGAATAATGTCCAGGGTGGGAGAAAGAACTCTTGCCTACTTGAGGCCAGTGTTTATGTTGCAATTAGCATTGAATGGCATTGCAGCTTCAAAGCCTGGCTGGTTGCTGCCTGGGGGATCCTTGGAAGGTGATAGCTGGCCCTGATTGATTCTTGTCTGGGATTCTCTTGCTTTTTTAGTTTTGCTATTTATTTACTTTCCTGATTTTAGAGTTTTTTAAATACTGGAGCCAGATTATGTTCATTTTCATGGTTTCCTCCTTTCTATTTAAATTGTCCACATGCTTGTGGATTTCAGTGGCTTCTCTGTGTAGTTTGACATAGTAGTTGTTAGAGTGGGCTAGCATTTCTGTGCGTTCAAATAATATGCTGTGTTCAGGTTGGTTCATCAGGTGCTCTGCTATGGCGTTTTGTATTGGCCAAAGCAGGGCATTGAGTCTGCCTCCTGTGGACATCTATGTCTTTTTCTATAGTTATTCTTTTCATTTCAAATAACCTCCAGTGTTGACTTTCTTATCTCAGCGGTAAATAAACATTCACTTAAGATTCCGCAACTGGATCTCATTTCCTACACTCCTCCTGTCTTATTTATTCATGTACAGACGAATGAGTTTTCCTGCTTTATTATGTTTGATTGTATTATGTGAGGTATATCTTTGAAAGAGCCATGTATTACTTTTGTCAGGCCATAAATATAATGTTAGTGAGAGTGTTGTGATACGGAATTGGTCTGGCATTCATACAGATCACAGTAAAGGAAGTGTAAGTCACACATCTCAGCAACATTTGCAGATGGAGGTATTTTAGCATCATGAGACTTGCAAGAGAAATTATTACTTCAAGATCAGACCCTCAACATGTGAGTCTTTAGGGTACTTCAAGGCATTTGTTTTGGAAATGAACTAAACAGGCCTCAGCTATTTAAAGCGTCCACAGGACCTCAGGCTTAGTGGTTTTGAGAGATCTTGCTTTGGACTTGTATGTGGCCATTAACAACAATCCTCACTTGTGTCTGACAACCTTGTTTGATACACATGCTTTATATTCATGTTGTGAGCTGCCTTGGGGCCCATTTGAGGAAAAAGACAAGATGGATGAACATTGAACAAATAAATAATGGAAGGCTTCCAAGGATGTGATGTGGGAGTAGAAAGCGTTGCTACCAGTCAAGCTACTGCAGTGCTAGTCCTGAAGTATTGGTAGGCTCTGCACTCCTCCTCACAATGCAGGGTACCTTTTCACCCTCCCAGTGAAATTCAGTACCATCAGGTGGGATGATATCTCCAACAGTATTTAAGACCATGAAGTACTGCTGCCTCATTCCATAGTTCTACCATTTTGTTTTCTCTTACTGAATTAGAAGAGCAGGCAAACTATCTTGTGAAAAGATTGACCCATCATCATTATTTACAGTGTGTCTTGGGCTGGAAAGTGGGCTTGGCTGTTTCCAAGAGGAGCCATAAGCCCCATTGACTCTTTGATAGCAGATTTTGCATATTTGGAAAAAGGGGTTCTGCAAGCCAATGGGGTGGTGCCGGAGTGCTTTTATTTACTGTAGTTTCCTCCCAGGTTTAAAGACATACCTGATCTCTGGCCTGAAGGTGAAGGAGTCCCACTGCAGCTGCTCCCAGGCTCTGCTTCCCGGTCTGGAGGCCGGAGACAGGAGCAAGATGCCCGGAGCCTCATCTGTGGAGAACGTGGGTGATCCGGCAAAGGTCTTCAGGCCGCCAGAGAAAAGCAAGGTTTGCCAAATGCAGTCATCCCCTCTCTGTGATTTACAAAGCATCCCCAGGAGATAAAACCAGACTTTTTGGTGTACAGTATTTACTGCAATGCTAATTCTAATGCTCACCTTTTTTGGCTAATGGCCTCTCCAAACTTAGGGTACATTTGATTTGTGTCATACAGTAATCTTAGTGTTGAACCAAAGCCAATGGGGAAGCTGCTTCAGGAACTTTACTTGGAGCTCCCATTTGAGGGAAGTCACATCTTTAAATGCCATGGCAATTCTTGGATTTGTAGTTTCATGTGATATCAGCACTCTTGGGTAGGGAAGGCTCAAGGCCTTGTAAAACTACAGCCCCCAGGACTCCATAGCATTGAACCAAGGCAGTTAAAGTGTATTCATTCTACAGCATAGATGCATCCCAAGGTTACCTTTCCATTTCTGGAAGCTTTGGTGTCCAAACACTTTTCTTTTTCAAGAAGGATTCCTAAGCAGCCATCACTGTAATGTGCACCCGCTTTGGCCTCATGATGAAGCATGACCTTTTTGTCGATGCACATTTCATCCACCAGCAAATACTTTTTTTGGTTTTAGAGTTTTGGAGGTGCGCATTAGATTCAATGGTGCATGAGACTCGAGTCAATACGGATATTACCATCGAGCAAGAAAATGAAAAGGGCCTCATGCTCTCTGTCCCTTATGTTGTTACGAAGTATCTAGGTTTATCTAGGTATTTATTTGGCTAATACCCTTCCCTTCTTTCAACTTGTGGCCCAAGGCCACGTTAAAATAGTTAAAACAAGGCCAACAAAAAAATTGAAATGTTCTTTGTGCACTTTAGTTTTATAGCAAGTCAAGCAATTGGTTGCTCCTCATTTGTGACCCTTCCGTCCCTGAGGTTGTGTGTTTTGAGTAAATAGAGTTGCCTTCTTGCCTTCAAAGGGCTGCCAGAGAAGGTCCTGTTCTTCCTCTCTCATCTTTGATGTTTATGCCTGACTCAATAAAGAAAGCTTTGGTCTAGTTTAGGGTCTGCTTCTGAGTCTTTCCAAACCTTTATGTGAGGACAGAGGCCACTGGCTATGGCTTCAGGCCTTTCTCCATCCCTAGCCCTTCCCTGTGCACTGCATAGGGCTTATAAGGAGGTAGGATCTTATAAAGTACTGGTACCAACAGTGGATGGCCCCTGGACTCATTACCAGTCCCTGATGGGATGGAAGGAGAGCTATAAATGCAGACAGAAGATGGACAGTATACTGGGGCTTCTCTTTCATTTCCTTTTGTTAACCTTTTAAGGGCTCTTCCCTGTTTGGAAACTGGTTTCTGTGGTCAGAGGAGGAGAATTCCCCCCCCCCCCGCCCGCCTTCTTGTTATTACTGAATGCCAAAAACAAGCCCTGCCTGTGGATAGCCACTTCCTGCTCACTGTTTATACATTCTCTGTATTCCTTGTTTATTTTCTGCTCTCTCTGTGTTACAGCCCAGAGTTTAATTATATATTTTTCAAAAGATTGCTGCTGAAATGCAGAGATGCAGGTCATGCTATTTTGGAGTTAGCCTGGGAAAACTTCCCAGGAAATGGCCATGATTCTTTTCACATACTTCCCTTTATGCTCTAGTGCTTTTAATTCTCTAGCTTTATATTTTAGAGAGAAAAGGGAACAAATAGGACCAGCCTCAGGAAGGCGCAATGTTAGAACGAGCTAACACTCGCACTGACAGCATATCAGTTTATGGGAATTGATGACCATTTTTCTCTCTGGTTTCAGACATGCCCTTCCTGCAGCATCGCATTGGCCCCCTCCTGTGCTGTGGGTGCAGAAGAAGGCGCTGTCCAAAATGGAGGCCAGGATGAACATAAGCACAGCACAAAGGTGACTGAATTTCAGCATGTGCCGCTTTCTGACAATTCTACCGTGGTCATGTCATGGCTCTAAGTGGAAGTATATACGTCACATAAATAAACATGAAACAACAAATAGTATAAAATAAATATTTCTTGGGGTTTTTCTCTCTCTCATAATTCATATGAGTGTTTAGCAGGAAAGCATGTTAGCATTTACCAGTTCTAAAGTTTGGCTTTTAAATGTTTGCCCAGGCTAGCTTTTTCTTTCTTAAGAAATATAGAGGGGTTTTTTTGGTTGAAATATGTTCCTGAGGGCAGAAGTTCATAATACTGTTCTCTCTGTGTCCTTTGCTTCGGATCAGGGCCCAGGCGGGTGCAGCCCTAAATCCCTGAATGGCCTGCTGAGTCCACCCCCAGAGGAGAAGCTGAGCAACAGCCAGACCTCCCTGTATGAGATGTTGCAGGAGAAGGGCAGGTGGATGGGCGGGAGCCTGGACAACTCGCCCCTGCTGCCCTTGCGCTTCAAAAACATCCGGGAGAAGACTGACGCCCACTTTGTGGACGTGATTAAAGAGGACAGGTGAGCAGGAGGAGGAAAAGGAGGGAAAGGAATCTCACCGGGTTTGTTAACTGGTGAGGTGGGGGGGCGGGCGAACAATCCTGAAGCAAAAAGACTGTTTTTATGACCCTCTCTTTTATTTTTACCCAAATTGGGGGAGTTATTCCTCTAGAGGCCTCTGGGTGGCACAAGTCTCCTCTGGAATAAGGGACTCCCACTTGGTTGCCAATCAGTCAAACCATCTTTGAAAATGTGTTGTCGGAAGGCTTTCATGGCTGGAAGCACTGGGTTGCTGTGAGTTTTCAGGGCTGTATGGCCATGTTCCAGAAGCATTCTCTCCTGATGTTTCTCCCACATCTATGGCAAGCATCCTCAGAGGTTGTGAGGTCTGTTGGAAACTAGGCAAGTGAGATGTATATATCTGTGGAATAATGTCAAGGGTGGGAGAAAGAACTCTTGTCTGTTTGAGGAAATTGTGAATGCTGCAATTGATCACCTTGATTAACATTGAATATCCTTATAACTTCAAAGACTTGTCTGCTTCCTGCCTGGGGGAATCCTTTGTTGGGAGATGATTAGCTGACCCTGATTGTTTCTTGTCTGGAATTCCCCTGGTTCTTTTTCCAGTATTGTTCTTTCTTTACTGATTTTAGATTTTTTTAAACACTGGTAGCCAGATTTTGTTCATTTTCATGCTTTCTTCCTTTCTTTTGAAATTATCCACTTGCTTGTGGATTTCAGTGGCTTCTCTGTGTAGTCTGACATGGTGGTTGTCAGAGTGGTCCAGCATTTCTGTGTTCTCAAATAATATGCTGTGCCCAGTTTGATTCATCAGGTGTTCTGCTATGGCTGACTTTTCTGGCTGAATTAGTCTGCAGTGCCTTTTATGTTCCTTGATTCATGTTTGTATATTGCTGTATTTGGTCATCCATATGTAGACTTTGAGAACAACACTAAAAAACTGGGGACTTCCGGAAAAGAAACAAAAAACAATCAGTGTCAGCTAATCATCTCCCAACAAAGGATTTCCCCAGGCAGGAAGCAGCCAAGCCTTGAAGCTGCAAGGCTATTCAATGCTAATCATGATGATCAATTGCAATATTCACACTTTCCTCAAACAGACAAGAGTTCGTTCTCCCACCCTGGACATTCCACAGACATATAATCCCCACTTGCCTTGTTTCCAACAAACCTCACAACCTCTGAGTATGCCTGCCATCAATGTGGGTGAAATGCCAGGAGAGAATGCTTCTGGAACATGGCCATACAGCCCGGAAGCCATCTTTGAAAAACTAGAAGTGACTTCTTTTTCTTGAAAGGGGGCTTGTTTGGGTGCTTTCCTTCCATAGTCATTTCAGAATAGAAGTTCTGCTGTGCAAGTTCCCAATTGCTCTTAAAATGCTAGGAAAACAAATGAAACCAGAATTAAATTGATGATGTGCCGCTTCTGGTTCCAAATTTGTGCACTGGACCACCAGAAGTCGTTTGCCACTTCCCCCATTTGCTACCAGGCCCTGTCCACCATCTCAGCATAAACAGAATTACAATTTTTCTTAAAAATGACTTGCACATCACAAAGTAATTTGGCTTCACTTTTCCCTGAACTTGGGAGCAAGCAATATGCCCACTTTTCTTCCTTTCTGGCCTGAAGGGTGGAACGGAGGGCCCAGCTCCCAAACAGTGAGAAAACTTTCCCATTTCCAAAGGTCAGACCCATGAAAAGCAGGAGCAAGTCCTAGATGACCTGGGAGGAAGGAGTTGTTTCTTCAAGGGAGAACTGTATTGATGGCAATCCTTTTGAAACCATTCACTCTCCTCCTTCCTTTTAGCTTGATGAAAGACTATTTTTTTAAACCGCCCATCAACAAGCTGAGCCTAAACTTCCTGGACCAGGAATTGGAGATGACCTACAGAAGCAGCTACCAGGAAGAGGTGTGTGCTTGCAGCCCCCCCTTCCTTGTTTATTTATTTATTTATTTACTTTGCTTGTATACCGCAGTTTCTCAGCCCGTAGGCGACTCAACGCTGTTCACAACATAGCAAAAACAGTCATAACAAAATAGCAATAAACGATTTAAAAACCATGAAACCATGGTTCAGCTTGTGCACCTCCAAAGGGGGGGAGGATGGGGACTGGCAGCCAACATCACGTGACCTTCCTCCCCACTCCCTCCCAAACAGGTGATGAAGAATGCCCCTGTGAAGACCTTTGCCAGTGCCACCTTCAGCTCCCTCCTGGACGTGTTCCTCTCTGCCACCGTCTTCCTGATCCTTTCAGCTGCCTGCTTCTTGAAACACGGATTGACCGGCTCCCCTCCACTACCTGCAGCTGTGGTTGTGGCTGTGGTGGCCCTCTTACTTGAGGTGCTGTCCCTTGTCATCTCCATCAGGTACGCGAAAGAAGAAGGAAGTGCCCGTGCCTTCGGAAACTTGCAGGGTGTCAGAAGAGGTGGCCTCTTCCTTTGCCCTGGAGTGGCTCCTGGCCTTGATTGGCTTGCTTTAGGAAGCCACACCTTGATGATAAGCATAGAAGGGGACCTGTTCAACTTTTCCCCTGAGATTCATGCTTTCGGTCTGCGGGGCTTTAGAACAACTGGTTAATCACCAACAGCAATAGATCACACCAATGGAAGGAGTGGCAGTTCAAAGCCCAGGGCGAGATGAGCACCCAACCTTCAGTCCTGGTCACTGTCCACCTAAGCAATTTGAAAACAGCTCTGAGTAGAGAAATTAGGCACCGCTTAAGCAGGGAAGTATTTTATGGCATCATAAAAAGGAAATACCAGAAAATACTGCCGATTAAAGAAAGGGGGAAGTCTGTGATTAAGGGATCTTTGTTATAGAGGATGGAGCGACAGCACCCCCTGTGGCTGAAATCGAGCACTACCTCCAGGATGCCATCAGTTGGGAAAAATGCCGGCATAATACATCTATTTGTTGTCTGTCCTGTTTGTTTAACAGCTTTGAATATTTGCCGTGTATGTGTTCTGTGATCCACCTTGAGTACCCTTGGGGTGAGATATAAATTCTGTAAATAAATCTGTGGCTCCCCAGCAGGACCAAGGAAGTGACTAAATAGGAATACCTTCTACTCCGGGGCCCCTCTTGCTCCATGTTTGGGGTTGGCAGAAGTGGAAGGCAGGGTCCTTCGAAGGTGTTCCCAGTCTCCATATGACCAGAGAAGACAGCCACTTGAAAGGCCACATCGGCCAGCTTTTTCTTTTGGGAGCAGGGGAGGGGGCTCAGATAAGCGTACCTTTTGCACTGTTGTTCCATTGCAGCTGAGGCTGGTTCTGTTGGGAAAGCCTCCTCTGGGCATGTCTTGTGTGCCTCCCTTCCAGAATGGCCTTCTCCCTGGAGGACGTCATGGCCTGCACAAAAGGGCTGATGGAAGCGATTGCCGGCTGGCTGCCGCGGCACTTCATCGGCGCCATTTTGATTTCACTCCCAGCTCTTGCTGTCTTCTCGCACTTCACCTCCGAATTTGAAACTGACATCTACGTGAGTGGATTCTTTCGCTTTTTGTGTCGGACCCTTCTGGGGTGCGTCTCTGCCATGAGGCTAGAGCTTGGAGGGGGAGGAGATGGCGACTCTGGCAAGGCAGCCAAGGGAGATCCTGTTGTTGCCCATTTATTTATTATTTATTTACTATTTCTATACCCCGCCCTCTCTCACCCCGAAGGGGACACAGAGCGGCTTACAAGTTATATGTATATACAATATATTACATTATTAGCATAGCACAATATTAGTATTACATGTTACTATATTTTACTGTACCATTATAACACAATATTATTATAGAATCATAGAGTTGGAAGAGACCTCATGGGCCATCCAGTCCAACCCCCTGCCAAGAAGCAGGAATATTGCATTCAAAGTATCCAGGCTCTGTTTGAAAGCCTCCAAAGAAGGAGCCTCCACCACACTCCGGGGCAGAGAGTTCCACTGCTGAACAGCTCTCACAGTCAGGAAATTCTTCCTAATGTTCAGATGGAATCTCCTTTCTTGTAGTTTGAAGCCATTGTTCTGTGTCCTAGTCTCCAGGGAAGCAGAAAACAAGCTTGCTCCCTCCTCCCTGTGGCTTCCTCTCACATATTTATACATGGCTATCATGTCTCAGATCAGCCTTCTCTTCTTCAGGCTAAACATGCCCAGCTCTTTAAGCCGCTCTTCATAGGACTTGTTCTCCAGACCCATGATCATTTTAGTCGCCCTCCTCTGGACACATTCCAGTTTGTCAATATCTCTCTTGAATTGTGGTGCCCAGAATTGGACACAATATTCGAGGTGTGGTCTAACCAGGGCAGAATAGAGGGATAACAGTATTAGTAATATTACATGTAATATATAATATATAATAATTATATTATTATATTGTATTATTATATTATGTTACTATTATATAATAATTATATTATTATATTCTGTTATTATTAGTATTACATTGTATTGCCCATCTCCTGTCTGGCCCCATGAACTCCCTTTGTGGCCAAAAGGAGGCGGCAGAGGGCTACCATTCACTGGACAGAGGAAAGCCAGAGCTAGGCAACAGGCTCAAAGTCCCTCACTGGCCTGAGAGCACAAGGTGGGTGTGAGGTCACCTGCCTGCTGGGAATTCCTGTACACTCGTATACATTACAGGATCAATTAGGGGAAAAAAGAATGCCTTTTTGGGAAAGGAAGAGAGGTCCCATTCTAGCCTTTCTTGGAAGCAGCAACTGAGGAGGAGGCCTTTTTTCTTTGTTGGTGACAGAACCAAGTGAGGGAGCAGGAAGCTTTGGGGACAAAGCTAGGTTGGAAGCCCTGCTGCTGCCTCAGGGTTGTCTGGAAAGTGGTGGTCTGGTTGTGTGAATTGCTTAGCAGCAGAGCCTTGCGATTGGAATCTGTTCTGTGCTCTTGTGGCTCAAAGCATCTATCTCTGCTTGCTGCAGTTCACAATGTTCATGTCATCTGCGATCCTCATCACTATCGTCCAGTACTGCAACTTCTGCCAGCTCAGCTCCTGGATGCGGTCCTCATTGGCCACCTTGGTGGGCGGAGTCCTGTTGGTCTTGCTCTACGTGCCTCTGTGTCCAGACAGGTGAGCCCAGGGGCCAGGGCCATTGTTTGCTCATTGTCCGGGGAGGAGGCAGGTCACTCTTCACCCGTCAAGAGCTCCTTGGAAGGTGGCTCTTCTTGCTGTGGACCTTATTATTTCTCTTTCAGCTCCATGACAGTCTTTAACTCGACCCAAGACTTTGGGTAAGTGTGAAGTTGTCGTGTCCACTCTTCAGAATGCTTTCATGTATTACAGTAACCTCTTTTGACATTCTTTAGCTTTAGCAGGGAGAACTTATATTAACGCATTTGTGTTGTATGGGGACCCTGAGAAGCTCAAAGAAGGAATACTTGCACGGAGTTATTTCTAACACATTATTTACAATTATTTTGTGTGGGGGTTTCATATTGGAACTCTACCACGTCCTTCCCAAGCTTGTGGTCTTCATCAGGGACTTAGTTAGGCAGATGAGTTACAGCCCTTCCCTCATTGGCCTCTCTATCTGCTTGTCACTCTGTTTTTCTATGTGCTTGTTAGACTGATACTTCTCAGAGACACGCCTCTTTTTCAGAGCACATGGCAAGCCCCTGAGTCCTCCATTTTGTTCTATTTTTTGTTCTCCTGTGAGCATGGAGAGACAGGATGTCTGCTGTGAGTGAGATAGATAGACAGACCCTGTGTTGATGTTTCTATCTAGTTAAGTAGTTTTTGAAGAAAGTCTTTTATAACTTTCTAAGGTTGATGCTGCTCCTGAATTGCTTCAGTTCAATCATTTTACTGCTGGCACTAGAACAATGGTTCTCTACCTGTGAGTCCCCAGAAATCCCAGCTAATTTACCAGCTGTTAGGATTTCTAGGAGTTGAAGGCCAACTCCCAGAAATGAAGGTTGAGAACCACTGCACTAGAAGCTTCTGAACTCTTGCTGTTTTGCATTTTTGAATGCTTTTTCCTTTTTGGAAATTACATTGTATTGGTCCCCCTCTCCCTGCAGTGCTGCACAGGGCGCCTGCAACAGGTCATCCGAGGAGGGCCCTCTGCAGAAGCCAGCCGACATGATTGGCCTGGAAGTCATCCTGGGGCTCTTCCTCCTGCTCCTCCTGGTCTGGTTCCTGAACCGGGAGTTTGAGATCAGCTACCGGCTCCATTACCACGGTGACGTGGAGGCTGACCTACACCGCACCAAGATCCAGAGCATGCGGGACCAGGCCGACTGGCTCCTGCGCAACATCATCCCATACCATGTAGCGGAGCAGCTGAAGGTTTCGCAGAGCTACTCCAAGAACCATGACAGTGGGGGTGTGATCTTTGCCAGCATCGTCAACTTTGGGGAGTTCTACGAGGAGAACTACGAGGGCGGCAAGGAGTGCTACCGCGTCCTGAATGAGCTGATCGGGGACTTCGACGAGCTGCTGAGCCGGGAGGAGTTTGCCAGTGTGGAGAAGATCAAGACCATTGGGGCCACCTACATGGCTGCCTCGGGGCTGAATGCGCCTCAAGGCCAGGACACCCGCGGGCCCCAGGCCCACCTGCAGACCCTCTTTGAGTTCGCCAGGGAGATGATGCGGGTGGTGGATGACTTCAACAGCAACATGCTTTGGTTCAACTTCAAACTGCGGGTGGGGTTCAACCACGGGCCCCTAACGGCTGGCGTTATTGGCACCACCAAGCTGCTCTACGACATCTGGGGTGACACGGTCAACATTGCCAGCCGCATGGACACCACTGGGGTGGAGTGCCGCATCCAAGTCAGCGAGGAGAGCTACCGCATCCTCCACAAGATGGGCTACGATTTCGACTACCGGGGGACGGTCAACGTCAAGGGCAAGGGGCAGATGAAGACCTACCTCTTCCCCAAGTGCATGGACAACGGGGTGGTCCCCCACCACCAGCTCTCTATCTCCCCAGACATCCGGGTGCAAGTGGACGGCAGCATTGGGCGCTCCCCCACCGATGAGATCTCCGGCCTGGTGCCCTCAGTGCCGAACGCAGACAGGGCGTCAGAGGGGCCTCCGGGCCTCCGGAAGGGCCACCCCAAGGAGCCGGTGAAGCCCGATGGCCGGCCCTGGCTTGGCAAGGGTGGCGACGAGGAGAAGGGTGGTAGTGGGTGCCAGGAAGGGGACAACGATGGGGGCCCTGAAGAGGAGGAGGAGGCCAATGAACTGACCAAACTGAACAGCTCCAGGAGCGTCTGATGACCAGAGGAGGGGCGTCCAGGGTTCCACCTGCAGGGCACAAGGACAGCACTCCAGGGAGGCTGTGTTCTGCTCTCCTTTGGGAGGCGGGGGCCGAGTGCTCTCGGCTTTGGGCTGGAGCCTGGTGGGGTTCTGGACCCCTGGAAGAGAGGAGAGATCAAGTGCCTTCCGACAGACTCTGCTGCTGGACTCTGGCCACAGAGGCACAAGTTACACCACCGGCGGGGCGCCTGGATCTATACCTCCAAGGGACATGCCATGGTCGTTCCAGTCTCTCTTTTTTAAGCGTTTCTTACCAACACTACACTTGTTTTTTGTTTCTGCTCTCGCAGCTCCTTTGTACGTAAACACAGGCAGAAAAATGCACGTTTTCCTTCCTTCTGCGACACGAAAGAGCCAGTGATAGAAGACAGGGCCTGGGGCAGCCCAGTCAGGGAGGCAGAAAAGGATTGCATCCGGGGGGCTTTTTAATTGGGGAAGGGGTCACTGTTTGCTGTCTGGAGGGACAGCTGGGCCCCTCTTTTTGCCATAGCTAGACTGCCCTGCTATTGCATGCTCCAAGGGCAGGAGAAAGGCCACCTGCTCCCTGCCCCATGCAGGCCTCTTCTTATCTGGGGGAAGTGGGTGGCACATCTGGCAGGGCTGCTCGAAACAAGACTGGTCTGGCCACAGCACCTCTGAGTTTCCTGATGAAATTACTTGCTCTCTATCTTGTCGGGCCTGAGAGAGTGGATTTGACAAATAATTAGGAATTGTCTCACTCCCCCCCCCCCCCCCCCCCCCCCACTTTCCTTTAATCCTTACCCTGACCTAGATTTTGAGGGAGTCCTAGAGATTGTAGGGTGCCATAGGATTGGTGGCAAAGAGCATGATGACCGACAGGCTTGTTTGCCACCTTTCAAGACAAAAAGAAGTGAGATCCCCAAATCAGGCCTTTCTGGGTCAACTCGGAGCCCCTGCGCTCCTGTTCTTGCCACACTCCCCTTTCGAAGAAGCCACGGCAGAGCGTGTGTCGGTGCCTTTGAGCCCAGACCTTATTATGCAAGTGCGTCCTGGGGGTTCATGGCCAGAAAGGGCCTTTCCCCAGACCCCCCCCCCCCCCCCCCGAGGCTTCCTCTGCCCTTCCTCCTGCATGCCATGCCACGCCACGCGTATTTATAGCGATTGGGGCTGCTGCCTTGAAGGCATTGTAACATATGCATCTCTCTCTGGGAAGGGGCGGGGGCTCCACTTCCATCCCAGGAGGCGACAATGGCCCCACCAGGCAGGGCCTCTGGTCCTCCTTTGGGCAGAGGGCTGAACACATGCTTCTCTGAGCGCAGGGACCGCAAGGCCACCGCCGTCTTCTTTCCTCGTCCTTCAGTCTCCAGTACTGTACTAGCCTTCACTGTGGCTGCAATCCTAAGCACATGGGCAAGGGGTATGATTCCCTCCCGTGTATCTGGCAGACGGACTTCTGAATAAAGATGTGCAGGAGACGGCTGGTTCTTTTTGTCCTCTTAAATGGCACTTGACAATCAGGGTTAAGGGAGGTGGATGGGGCTTGTGAACTGGGGTGGTCGCTTGGCTGAGCTCTGTTTCTGTGAGATCCTGTGGACATTGTGTGCCCATTGAAAAACAAAGCCAAAAGGCCACAATCAAAGAGCAGCTGCTCTGCCCCATTTGGGAAAGGGACCTATTGAGCCAAGCTACTCAAAATTCCATATTGCCTTGGGTGATATTTTGCTTATGGCTTCCAGTGAGCCATAGGGGCCATGTTTCTCTTGCTATAGGGAGGTGAGAACTCTCCTTTTGGAGAGAATGGGAGCCACTCCTACTCTGCCTGGGAGCACTGAGCACCTAGAATTTGGGAGTCTGTCCTGAGGTATAAGAGGCCTCTTCCCAAGCACAGGCAGGCTACATTCAGGCTCCTGTGTAGTCTAGAATAGGACAGCGTTTCTCAACCTGGGGGTCGGGAACCTGGGGGGGGGGGGGCGGTTGCAAGCGGGTGCCAGAGAGTTCAAAAAGATCATCAGAAAGCACAGTATTTTCTGTTGGTCATGGGGGTTCTGTGTAGAAAGTTTGACCCAATTTTATCAGTGGGGTTCAGAATGCTCTTTGTAGGTGAATTATAAATCCCAGCAACTTCAACTCCCAAATATCAAGTCTATTTTCCCCAAACTCCACCTGTGTTACAATTGAGCATATTGAGTATTCAACCCAAGTTTGGTCCAGATCCATCATTGTTTGAGTCCACAGTGCTCTCTGGTTGTAGGTGAACTACATCTCCAAAACTCAAGGTCAATGGCCATCAAACTCTTCCAGTATTTTCTGTTGGCCATGGGAGTTCTGTGTGTCAAATTTGGTTCAATTCCATCATTGATGGAGTTCCGAATGCTCTTTGGTTAAAGGTTAACTATAAATCCCAGCAACGCCATTCCCCCCAAACCCACCAGTATTCACTGGGTTGTTGTAGGTTTTTGGGCTATATGGCCATGGTCTAGAGGCATTCTCTCCTGACGTTTCGCCTGCATCTATGGCAAGCATCCTCAGAGGTAGTGAGGTCTGTTGGAACTAGGAAAAAGGGTTTATATATCTGTGGAATGACCGGGGTGAGACAAAGGACTCTTGTCTGCTGGAGCTAGGTGTGGATGTTTCAACTGACCACCTTGATTAGCATATAATGGCCTGACAGTGCCTAGAGCAAACTTTTGTTGAGAGGTGATTAGATGTCCTTGTTTGTTTCCTCTCTGTTGTTGTGCTGTTGTAATTTTAGAGTTTTTTTAATACTGGTAGCCAGATTTTGTTCATTTTCATGGTTTCCTCCTTTCCGTTGAAATTGTCCACATGCTTGTGTATTTCAATGGCTTCTCTGTGTAGTCTGACATGACAACCAGAGAAATCAGCCATAGCAGAGCACCCGATGAACCAACCTGGACACAGCATTTTATTTGAGAACACAGAAATGCTGGACCACTCCAACAACCACCATGTCAGACTACACAGAGAAGCCATTGAAATCCACAAGCATGTGGACAATTTCAACAGAAAGGAGGAAACCATGAAAATGAACAAAATCTGGCTACCAGTATTAAAAAAAACTAAAATTACAACAGCAAAACAACAGAGAGGAAACAGTCTGTGACATCTAATCACCTCTCAACAAAAGATTGCCCCAGGCACTGCCAGGCCATCAAATGCTAATCAAGGTGGTCAGTTGAAACATCCACACCTAGCTCCAGCAGACAAGAGTCCTTTGTCTCACCCCGGTCATTCCACAGATATATAAACCCCTTTTCCTAATTCCAACAGACCTCACTACCTCTGAGGATGTTTGCAATAGATGCAGGCGAAATGTCAGGAGAGAATGCCTCTAGACCATGGCCATATAGCCTGAAAAAACCTACAACAACCCAGTGATTCCGGCCATGAAAGCCTTCGACAATACACCAGTATTCACATTTGGGCATATTGGTAATGAAAATACATCCTGCACATCAGATATTTACATTACGATTCTTAACAGTAGCAAAATTACAGTTACTGTATGAAGTAGCAACAAAAATGTTATGGTTGGGGGTCACCACAATATGAACTGTATTAAGGGGCCGCGGAATTAGGAAGGTTGAGAATCACTGGAATAGGATCAAGAAAACACCCAGAAGGAGAGCTTTCAAATGCATCTGAATGACCCCGGGACCAGGCCAAGCATTGTGCCCATTTCCCTTCCAATGAGACTGGCTCCAAGATTAAATTCTTGGAGGGCAGAAGAGGCACCAGGTAGCTCTCCAATTGAGGTCACTAATAAGGAGATTGCATTCGTTCTTTCCAAGCACCGCGTTGTCCCCTTTCCCAGTGCCAGGACATTTGGGAGAGAAATGTGGGCCTAAGGGGTCTCTGGAGAGGAGCCTCCGTTGGCTGAAGGTTTCTGTAGGAAGGAGAGGAGATTGAATAGGGACCCCCACAAAAAGGGGTGCCTCAGTCTGTAAGGAAAGACGTATGGAAAGCTGGGCTGCAGGTGGGACCCTTGAAGCTGCCTTGTGGGAGAAGGGGGGCCAAAAGGGTCAGAGAAGGGAGGCTGGCCTGATCCGGGCCGGGCCTGGCCTCTCCCTCCCTTATCAGGGGCTTGGCCTGGCCGCAGATGGCGAGGAGGGAGCAGCAGATAAGGAGGGCCTCCAACTACAGAGTGATAGCACCCTTCTCTGCTAAGAAGCCAAAATAAGGGAGAAATGGGGAAACATGGGGTTTTGTGGAGCAGGGGAACCAAAGGAAGGTTTTTTTTTGGGGGGGGGGGGAGTAGGCAGCCAAAGCCTGTGTCCAGTGGGTCCAAGGACTGCCTACCAAAAATGGGCTGTGGCTCTACTCAGGCCAAAGGGAGACCTACACGCCTTGCCTTGTAGAGGATGGGGTACCCTGGGGCCATCCAGTCTACCCCTGTTAAAGCTCCAGATTCTGCTTAAAGTCCCCCCTCCAAAAGACAGAATCAAATAACTTCCCCCTGACATTATTATTATTATTATTATTATTATTCTTTATTTGTACCCCGCTAACATCTCCCGAAGGACTCGATGCAGCTTACACAGGCCAAGGCCTCAACATAACAACAACAATACAATTCAAAGCAAATCAAAAACATAAAGCAATAACAACAACATTACACCATAACACAGTAAAAACCAGGGCCAGGCCAAGTGATGGGTACAGATTAAAAAGTGCTGGGTGTGACAGGTGGCATGTTGGATTTCTGGGCAGGTGCAATGTGCAGAAAATCTTAAATCCTAGTAAAGTGCTTCTGGGACATAGTGCTGAGGTTTTCCTATTCCGGGAAGGCACATCGGAACGGCCCTTTGAGCCCTTTTCCTTGTTGCTTGGACCCAGCACAGTCCACCTCTGTGCATTTTCCACAGACTCATAAATGAGGAAAAGGGTGTGAAAAGCAGCTAATTGCAGATTCTCATGCAGAAAAGCACGTGGAAGTGCCTCTCCCAGCCAAGGGGGGATGATGGGAGCTGCAGTGCCTCCTCTGTTTGGGCTGCCCTCTTCTCAATGCCAGGGGCCCACCGCATTCCACCTGGGGATGGTTGATAGTTGTTATAGACTCCTATTTATTTATTTATGGTATTTCTAACCCGACTTTCTCAGCCCAAAGGCAACTCAAGACGGCTTACGGATTGGAAGAGATCACACTCCTCCCTTCTTCCATGCAAGAAAAGCACAATGAAAGCACCCCCAGCAGATAGCCATCCAGCTTGTTTAAAAGCCTCCAAATAAGGAGCCCCCACTGGACCCTGAGGCAGAGATTTCCACTGCTGAACAGCTTTTCTTATGGTCAGCAGGAATCTCCTGTAATTTCAACACATTGCTCCAAGTCCTAGTCTCAATGAAGGGCAGCAGAAAATATGCCTGCTCCCTCTTCCTTAGGACATAATTTCAAATATTTAAACATGTCTGCCATGTCTCCCCTCAACTTTCTGTTTTGAAGACTAAACAGACCCAGCTCTTTAAACCGCTCCTCAGAGGGATTTATGGTCTCCAGACCTTTGATCATTTTAGTTACCATCATCTGGACACGGTGCAGTCAGTCAATATCTCTCTTAAATTGTGTTGTTTGGCATGGAGAAAAGGAGACTGAGAGGAGGGGGCATGGGAACCAGGTTTAAATATGGAAGGGGGATCCCATGGAGGAGGAGGAATGGGTAAGACCTGTTTCCTTTCTCTCCAGAGACGGGCCCAATGAAGCCATGGATTCAAGTGGCAGAGAGATTCCGGCTAGACATTAATCCGATCTCTTTTTTCAATAGAGTTACATGCTGGGTAGATGCGGGGAATGCCGTGGATGTAGCGTACCTGGATTTCAGTAAGGCCTTCGACAAGGTCCCCCATGTCCTTCTGGCAAGGAAACTAGTCCAATGTGGGCTAGGCAAAACTACGGTGAGGTGGATCAGTAATTGGTTAAATGGACGAACCCAGAGGGTGTTCACCAATGCTTCCTCTTCATCTTGGAAAGAAGTGACAAGTGGAGTGCCGCAGAGTTCCGTCCTGGACCCGGTCCTGTTCAACATCTTTATTAATGACCTGGATGAAGGGCTAGAAGGCAGGATCATCAAGTTTGCAGACGACACCAAATTGGGAGGAATAGCCAATACTCCAGAGGACAGGAGCAGGATTCAAAACCATCTTGACAGATTAGAGAGATGGGCCAAAACTAACAAAATGAAGTTCAACAGTGACAAATGCAAGATACTCCACTTTGGCAGGAAAAACGAAATGCAAAGATACAGAATGGTGGATGCCTGGCTCGAGAGCAGTACGTGAAAAAGATCTTGGAGTCCTCGTGGGCAACAAGTTAAACATGAGCCAACAATGTGATGTGGCGGCAAAAGAAGCCAATGTGATTTTGGACTGCATCAATAGGAGCATAGTGTCTAGATCTAGGGAAGTCATGCTACCCCTCTATTCTGCTTTGGTTAGACCACATCTGGAATATTGTGTCCAATTCTGGGCACCACAATTCAAGAGAGATATTGACAAGCTGGAATGTGTCCAGAGGAGGGCGACTAAAATGATCAAGGGTCTGGAGAACAAGCCCTATGAGGAGCGGCTTAAGGAGCTGGGCATGTTTAGCCTGAAGAAGAGAAGGCTGAGAGGAGATATGATAGCCATGTATAAATATGTGAGAGGAAGCCACAGGGAGGAGGGAGCAAGCTTGTTTTCTGCTTCCCTGGAGACTAGGACACAATGAAACAATGGCTTCAAACTACAAGAAAGGAGATTCCATCTGAACATGAGGAAGAACTTCCTGGCTGTGAGAGCCGTTCAGCAGTGGAACTCTCTGCCCCAGAGTGTGGTGGAGGCTCCTTCTTTGGAAGCTTTTAAACAGAGGCTGGATGGCCATCTGTCAGGGGTGATTTGAATGCAATATTCCTGCTTCTTGGCAGGGGGTTGGACTGGATGGCCCATGAGGTCTCTTCCAACTCTTTGATTCTATTATTCTATGATTAGGGAGGACTGTTCAAAAGGGGAGTCTGGCAGATGGCCACCTGTCCAAAGGGCTTTGTGTCTTCCTGTGTGGCAGAAGGGCCAGACTGGATGGCCTTCAGGTTTCCTTCAAATTCTAGGATTATATCCCCCGCCTCTTGGGCTCCTATCTGGAGCGAAGGCAATCTGTCCTGGTGGGGCTTATCAGTCTGGCCCAGGCGGACCCTCCCTCCCGCCCTTTCTGGGTGCCTCCGCCCTGCTCTCCTCCTTCCTGCAGGGGCCAGATAGAGGCAGCCCTCCCTCCTCCCATCTCTGCTGAATGCCTGGGAGGGGGCTCAAGAGGGTCCCTCCACTGCTAAGTCTAGTATTCCCTTTGAACTAGAAGTTGGGGAAGGAGAGGGCTACAAAGAAGCAGAGGCCAAAGTCAAAGGTCATCCAGGCCCCTGCAGCTGGCATCATCATCATATTTACATCCTGCTTTCCTCTCATATAAATAATAATAATAATAATAATAATAATAATAATAATATTTATTTACACCCCACCACCATCTCCCCAAAGGGGACTCATGAGGCCAAGCCCAAAGGTTCAATACAGCAAAAATAAAATACAGACTGCAAACAACAATTACATCAGAATTAAATATGTACAGTAACAAAATAACATAAATAAAGCAAATTAACTCAATATAAAATCAAACAGAACAGGTAGGCCAAATGGACAAGGTAAAATTATCAAACCCTGGATCAGGTAGGAATAAACAAGATCCTGTATGGTTAGACATTCCACAAAGTGGCAAAGCACTCCTGATTGGCCTCACCTGGAGGTCATTGGGGTGGCTTCCTCCTTTTGTGGTGTGTATGTGTGTGGTCTCCCATCAAAGTAAGGGCTTGCGTAGTCCCCTCCCCTACTTGAACCCGGCAGTGGGCTGCTCTGGTGCAAATCCAGCCAGGAAACAGAGGGGCTTCCAACCAGGAATGTGGGGACGTCGCTGGAGGGTGACACCCAGGAAAAATATATCCTTTGGTGATCAAAAGGTTGCAGGTTTGAATCTGGAGAGCGTGAGCTCCCGCTGTTAGCCCCAGCTTCTGCCAACCTAGCAGTTTGAAAACATGCAAATGTGAATAGATCAATAGGTACCACTCCAGCAAGAAGGTAACGGCGCTCCATGCAGTCATGCCAGCCACATGACCTTGGAGGTGTCTACGGACAACGCCAGCTCTTTGGCTTAGAAATTGAGATGAGCACTAGCCCTCAGAGCTGGACACGGCTGGACTTCATGTCATGGGAAAACCTTTACCTGTACCTAGGAGATATTTGCAGGAAAAAATGATGCTAGAATACAGCCATACAGCCCGGAAACCATACAACACTCCAATGATTCCGAATGTGAAAGCTTTCGACAATACTTTAATTGAGGGGGCTACAAGCACAGCAGGCCTCTGCTGGGAAGGTGTGTGTGTGTGTGTGTAGGGGGGTGTCCTTTCAGCCAGATGTGTTCCCTGCCCTCCTCCCCATTGGCTCCTGCCCTCCACTAGGGAGGGGTGTGGCCTGGCTTCCCAGCACCCGTGTCCAGTGAGGGAGGGGGTGTGGCCTGGCTTCCCAGCACCCATAAAAGGGGCTCCCGGGCCCCAGAGGTCCACCAGAGGAGTATTTGCCAGGTTGCAGGATGCTGACTGAGGACGACAAGAACCACATCCGGGCCATTTGGGCCCATGTGAGCAGCAACCCGGAGCTCATCGGGGCTGAGGCCCTGACCAGGTAAGAGGAGGCCCCCATCTCTCCCTATGGCAGGGTCTGCAAGGCATGGGGGTCTTTCTTGCCACTAATGGAGGCTGCCCCTTCTTCTTAACCTCAGGCTCTTTGCTACACACACCTCCACCAAGACCTACTTCCCGCACTTCGACATGTCCCCTGGCTCGGCGCAGGTGAAAGCGCATGGCAAGAAAGTGATAGATGCCATCACGCAGGCTGTCAACAACCTCGATGACATCCCCGGTGCCCTCTGCAAGCTGGCCGACCTCCATGCTGAGAAGCTCCGCGTCGACCCCGTCAACTTCCCGGTGAGCAGCAGCAGGAGGGGAAGGTGGTGGGGATGAGTGGGAACCTCCAAAGGCCATGCAGCCCAACCCTCCTGCCAGGCAGGAGGACAACATCCAAGCCCTCTCTGCAGGTGGCTATCTGGCCTCTGCCAAAAAGCCTCCAGAGTCTATCACACAGAATCCGCTGCCGAACAGCTCTTCTTACCCGCCAGGAAGTTCTTCCTTATGTTTGGATGGATTTTTTCTTTCTCTAATTCAAATCCATTGCTCCATTGTATCCTCCTCTCCAGATCAGCAGGAAACAAACTTTCCCTGCTCCTCCTCAATGGGACATCCTTCAGTGGAACTCTCTGCCTCGGAGTGTGGTAGAAGCTCCTTCCTTGGAAACTTTGAAACAGAGGCTGGATGGCCATCTGTCAGAGATGCTTTGTGCTTTTCCTGCATGGCAAGGGGTTGGAGCAGATGGCCCATGTGGTCTCTTCCAACTCTATGAATCCATGTCTCCTTCTCTCAGCCTTCTCTTAGAATCATAGGGTTGGAATGGATCGCATGAGCCATCTAGTACAGTGGTTCTCAACCTGTGGGTCCCCAGATGTTTTGGCCTTCAACTCCCAGAAACCCTGGAATTTCAGCGAGTTGTTGGCCAAAACACCTGGGGACTCACAGTTTGAGAACCACTGAGCTAGTCCAACCCCCTTCTGTCTTCATGCAGAAAAAGCACAATGAAAGCCCTCCTGACAGATGACCACCCAGTCTCTGTTGAAATTCTCCAAGGAAGGAGCATCCAGGGGACTCTGAGGCATTGAGTTTCCCTGTTGAACAACTCCAACAGGAAGTTCTTCCTAATGTTCAGAGGGACTCTCCTTTCCTGTCATTGGAACTCATTGTTATTCTGAAAACTAAACAGACCCAGCTCCCCAGTCTCTCCTCTGAGGGCTTTACTACTACTACTACTACTACTACTACTACTACTACTATTAATACCCTACTTTTTCTTTCTCAAAGCGGCTTACAGTAAAAACCAATAATATGCAATTTAAAAACCTTTAAAATACCTGAACATGACGATAGAATTAAATAATGCCCAAGCCCTTGATCACATAAGCCGGAAAGTATCCCGAGAAGGGCCACAATCCTGCATTGTGATGTCCAAAGGCCTGTCTAAAGCAAAAGAGAGTGGGGCTGTGGCTTCCCTCCACCTTGACCGTCTCCAAGGAATGTGGCCCAGAATTGCATTGGCTTTTTCAGCTGTGGCATCACTCTGTGTCAGACACGGGCCAACTTGGGTCAAGCGGCCGAGGGGGAAAAGGGAAGGGCCTGAGGCTGTTAGGAATTGTAGGAGTTGAAGCCCAAAACACCTGGAGGGACCAAGTTAGCCAAAGCCTGCTCTGTAGGCTCCTGTTCATCTCTTGCTCTGCTCAAACTCCCTCCCCTCCTTCCTGACCCCTAACCCCTTCCCCTTTCTCTTGCAGCTCCTGGGCCACTGCATCCTGGTGACCATTGCTGCCCACAACCGGGGGCCCTTGTCGCCTGACACCTACCGATCCGTCGACAAGATGTTGTCCCGCGTCGGCAAGGTCCTTGTCGCCCACTACCGCTAAAGAGGACCCGACCCCTGGGCAGAAAGAGGCTCCCCCCCCCCCCCACAGCCCACAAAGCCCCGCAAAGAGAACCCAATAAAGAAAGCTCTTGACTTCTGATGCACTTTGGCCTCTGGCTGGTTTCTTTGGCAGAACGAGGGAGGGAATGGGGGGGTGGMGGAGGGGGAGGGCCTCAAATTACACTGGGGGTCAAGGGGTTGGGATGTTAACACAGGCTTAATATCCAGATTGTACAAATACATAATAATATGAGTAAATCAATAGGTACTGCTCCAATGGGAAGATAATGGCACTCCATGCAGTCATCCCAGCCACATGACCTTGGAGGTGTCTATGGACAATGCCAGCTCTTCGGCTTAGGAATGGAGATAAGCACCATCCCTCCAGAGTCAGATATGACTGGACTTAATGTCAGCGGAAAACTTTTACCTTTACCCAGAGACTATATCACCCCAGCAACATTGGCTAAAATAGATAAATCACAACAAGGAATTTGCTAGAGGTGTAAGAAGCAGAACGGGACATTCTTCCATAATTAAGGAGACAAAATGCTACAAAATAAGATTTCTTTAAAGCCCCAGGTTTGCCTACTGGGTCTATATAAAAAAGTGAAGGTTTCCCCTTGATATTACGTCTAGTCATGTCCAACTCTGGGTGATGGTGGTGGTGCTGATTTCAATTTCTAAGCTGAAGAGCCAGCGTTGTCCTTAGACACCTCCAAGATCATGTCTCCAGCAAGACTTCATGGAGTGATGCTACCTTCCCATTGGAGCAGTACCTAATGATCTCACATTTGCATGTTTTCGAACTGCTAGGTTAGCAGAAGCTGGGGCTAACAGCGGGAGTTTGTGGCTTCAAACTACAAGAAAGAAGATTCCACCTGAACATTAGGAAGAACTTCCTGACTGTGAGAGCCGTTCAGTAGTGGAACTCTCTGCACCTGAGTGTGGTGGAGGCTCCTTCTTTGGAGGCTTTTAAACAGAGGCTGGATGGCCAGCGAGGCTAACTTGCTGGCCAACCTTTCAGGCAGCAAATTCAGCAGTTCAACGGTTTAATCCACTGCACTGCTGGATTCCCTTTAATAGTTATTCAATGCTAATATTGAATACTCAAAATTTTGAATGGTTATTCAGTGCTATAGTACAATATAGTAATATATAATGCTAATATTGTGCTATGCTAATAATATAATATATTGTATGTACATATAATTTGTAAGCCCCTCTGAGTCCCCTTCAGGGTGAGAGAGGGTGGGATATAAATGTAGTAAATAAATAAACAATAAGTAATGTTGAGGATGAAAGGCCATTCAATGCTAATCAAGGTGGCCAATTGCAGCATTCACACTTGCCTCAAGCAGACAAGAGTTCTTCCTCCCACTCTGGACATTATTACACAGGTATATAAACCCCACTTGCCTCATTTCCAACAGATCTCACAACCTCTATGGATGCCTGCCATAGATGTGGGTGGAACGTCAGGAGAGAATGCTTCTGGAACATGGCTCTACAGCCCGGAAAACTCACAGCAACCCAGTGATTCTGGCCATGAAAGCCTTCAACAACACAAGTGTTGGTTCCTTCAGGTTCCTTCAACATAGCTTTGCTGCTGCAGGATTAACCATAGCCAAAGACCGGAAAGGGGAAAAATGTTACCTAACTAAAAAGGAATGGAGGGAAAGAATGCGGGAATATATGCTAATGGCCACATTAACCAATAATAGGAGGAACAAAAGTAATGAGGACTTTTTGGAAAAGTGGAAACTGGTCATTGCATATCAGAATGGAGAGTCAGTGACATAGACGGGCCCCATCAGGAATCTATGATCAGGTTATGAACAAGGATAGATAAATTGGCTTAAAGGCTTCACAGTGCTGTAGTGATGGAATTATACAAGGGATGGAGACGGAGCTGTCCCTTCCCAGTTTCTTTAGTGTGCGTCAGAAGCAAGTGACTTGAGAAACTGCAAGTCGCTTCTGGTGTGAGAGAATTGGCCGACTGCAAGGATGTTGCCCAGGGGATGCCCGGATGTTTTACCATTCTTGTGGGAGTCTTCTCTCCTGTTCCCGCATGGGGAGCTGGAGCTGACAGAGGGAGCTCATCTGTGCTCTCATCCCCGGATTTGAACGTTCAGCATGTTGGTCTTCAGTCCTGCTGCACAAGGATTTAACCTAATGTGCCACCCCTTCCCAGTTTGTGTGTGTGTGTGTGTCAGGAGCAACTTGAGAAACTGCAAGTCCTTTCTGGTGTGAGAGAATTGGCCGACTGCAAGGATGTTGCCCAGGGGATGCCCGGATGTTTTACTATTCTTGTAGGAGTTTTTTCTCCTGTCCCTGCAATGGGGAGCTGGAGCTGACAGAGGGAGCTCATCCACACTTTCCTCCCAGGATTCGAACCTCCGACCTGTCGGTCTTCAGCCCTGCCAGCACAAGGGTTTAACCCATTGTGCCACCCTTCCCAGTTTGTGTGTGTGTGTGAGGAGCAACTTGAGAAACTGCAAGTCGCTTCTGGTGTGAGAGAATTGGCCGACTGCAAGGATGTTGCCCAGGGGATGCCCGGATGTTTTACCATTCTTGTGGGAGTCTTCTCTCCTGTTCCCGCATGGGGAGCTGGAGCTGACAGAGGGAGCTCATCCGCGCTTTCCTCTCAGGGTTCGAACCTCCGACCTGTCGGTCTTCAGCCCTGCCAGCACAAGGGTTTAACCCATTGTGCCACCCTTCCCAGTTTGTGTGTGTGTGAGGAGCAACTTGAGAAACTGCAAGTCGCTTCTGGTGTGAGAGAATTGGCCGACTGCAAGGATGTTGCCCAGGGGATGCCCGGATGTTTTAGCATTCTTGTGGGAGTCTTTTCTCCTGTTCCCGCACGGGGAGCTGGAGCTGACAGAGGGAGCTCATCCATGCTTTCCTCCCAGGATTCGAACCTCCGACCTGTCGGTCTTCAGTCCTGCCGGCACAAGGGTTTAACCTAATGTGCCACCCCTTCCCAGTTTGTTTGTGTGTGTGTGTGTGTGAGGAGCAACTTGAGAAACTGCAAGTAGTTTCTGGTGTGAAAGAATTGGCCGACTGCAAGGATGTTGCCCAGGGGATGCCCGGATGTTTTACTATTCTCGTGGGAGTCTTTTCTCCTGTCCCTGCAATGGGGAGCTGGAGCTGACAGAGGGAGCTCATCCGCGCTCTCCTCCCCTCGGATTCGAATCTCCAACCTGTCGGTCTTCAGCCCTGCCGGCACAAGGGTTTAACTCATTGCGCCACCCAGTGGACAGCAAAGGAGTCAAAGCCACTTTGAGCATGCGCAGTTGTGTACCTCAACAAGTACTTGTGTACTTCAGGTGTTTTGGACTCGGTCTCCCAGAGTCCCTGCTCATTGGCGCAAGCGGCGGGGGCTTCTGGGAGTTGGAGTCCACAGACCTGCCGCGCAAGGGTTTAACTCATTGTGCTACCCAGTTGACAGCGAAGGATTCAAAGACACTATGGGCATGCGCAGTTGTGTACCTCAACAAGTGCTTGGCGCCCTCAGGTGTTTTGGACTCGGGCTCCCAGAGTATCTGCTCATTGGACTCGGGCTCCCAGAATCCCTGCTCATTGGCGCAAGCGGCGGGGGCTTCTGGGAGTTGGAGTCCAGAGACCTGCCGCGCAAGGGTTTAACTCATTGTGCTACCCAGTTGACAGCAAAGGAGGCAAAGCCACTCTGGGCATGCGCAGCTGTGTGCTTGGCGCCCTCAGGTGTTTTGGACTCGGGCTCCCAGAATCCTTGCTCATTGGCGCAAGCGGCGGGGGCTTCTGGGAGTTGGAGTCCAGAGACCTGCTGCGCAAAGCTTTAACTCATTGCGCCAGGCAGTTGTGACAGCAAAGGACGCAAAGCCACTCTGGGCATGCGCAGTTGTGTACCTCAACAAGTGCTTGGCGCTCTCAGGTGTTTTGGACTCGGGCTCCCAGAGTATCTGCTCATTGGACTCGGGCTCCCAGAATCCCTGCTCATTGGCGCAAGCGGCGGGGGCTTCTGGGAGTTGGAATCCAGAGACCTGCCCCGCAAGGGTTTAACTCATTGCGCCAGGCAGTTGACAGCAAAGGATGCAAAGCTACTCTGGGCATGCGCAGTTGGGTACCTCAACAAGTGCTTGGCGCCCTCAGGTGTTTTGGACTCGGGCTCCCAGAATCCTTGCTCATTGGCGCAAGCGGCGGGGGCTTCTGGGAGTTGGAGTCCAGAGACCTGCCGCGCAAAGGGTTTAACTCTTTGCGCCAGCCAGTTGTGACAGCAAAGGAGGCAAAGCCACTCTGGGCATGCGCAGTTGGGTACCTCAACAAGTGCTTGGCGCCCTCAGGTGTTTTGGACTCGGGCTCCCAGAGTATCTGCTCATTGGACTCGGGCTCCCAGAATCCCTGCTCATTGGCGCAAGCGGCGGGGGCTTCTGGGAGTTGGAGTCCAGAGACCTGCTGCCGAGCAAGGGTTTAACTCATTGCGCCAGCCAGTTGACAGCAAAGGATGCAAAGCCACTCTCACTCTGGGCATGCGCAGTTGGATACCTCAACAAGTGCTTGGCACCCTCAGGTGTTTTGGACTCCGGCTCCCAGAATCCCTGCTCATTGGACTCGGGCTCCCAGAATCCCTGCTCATTGGCGCAAGCGGCGGAGGCTTCTGGGAGTTGGAGTCCAGAGACCTGCTGCCGCGCAAGGGTTTAACTCATTGCGCCACCCAGTTGACAGCAAAGGAGGCAAAGCCACTCTGGGCATGCGCAGTTGTGGACTTCAACAAGTGCTTGGCGCCCTCAGGTGTTTTGGACTCTCCCAGAATACCTGCTCATTGGCGCAAGCGGCGGGGGCTTCTGGGATTTGGAGTCCAGAGACCTTCCGCGCAAGGGTTTAACTCTTTGCGCCAGGCAGTTGACAGCAAAGGATACAAAGCCACTCTGGGCATGCGCAATTGTGTACCTCAACAAGTGCTTGGCGCCCTCAGGTGTTTTGGACTCGGGCTCCCAGAATCCCTGCTCATTGGCGCAAGCGGCGGGGGCTTCTGGGAATTGAAGTCCAGAGAGAGAGAGCGAGCGCTGGGCTTCGGTGGGCGGGGCTTTCCGTGGCTCCTCCTCCTCAGACGGAGGACGCCTGGTCAGTCAGTCAGTCAGTGAGTGTAGTCAGTCAGTGAGCGTCCTCCTCCTCCTCAGGGATGGCGCTGCTCTTCCTGTTCCTCCCGCGGGGCGCAGGCCCAGCGGCATGACAGCCGGGGCGAGCCACGGCGGGGCCCCTCCGGCCCCTTCTTCTTCTTCTGCTGCTGCTCCTTCTTCTTGGGCCTCGTGGCGGGGAAGGCGCGGGCGGGCGCTGCTGGCCGTGGGGCTCAACCTGCTGGCGCTGCTCTTCTCCGCCACCGCCTTCGGCACCACCCACTGGTGCGAGGGCACCCAGCGCGTGCCCAAGCCCACCTGCGGGCCCCTCATGCGCACCAACTGCCTCGACTACGGGTACCGGGAGGAGGAGGAGGAGGAAGGGGCGGGGGGGCGTCTCCCGGGCAACGGCAGCGGCGCCAACAACGCCTCCGCCCCCCGCCCCCACGACAGCGTGGTCCACTACAGCTGGGAGACCGGCGACGACCGCTTCCTCTTCCGGTACTTCCACGCCGGGATCTGGTATTCCTGCGAGGAGAACATCAACGACCCTGGTGAGGAATCCCAGGCGGCCTATACAACAGGCCTGGGCCAACTTGGGCCTTCTAGGTGTTTTGGACTCCGATTCCCAGCATTCCTAGCAGCCTCGGGCCCTTTCCTTTTCCCCCTCAGCCGCTAAGCGGCTGAGGGGGAAAAGGAAGGGGCCCGAGGCTGCTAGGAATGCTGGGAGTTGGAGTCCAAAACACCTACAAGGCCCAAGTTGGCCCATACTTGAGCTATCTTGACCTACTCATTTGCATATGGTTTCTGATTGGCCAGCCTCAACATTTTAAAGCGGCTAAGAGGGAAAAGTAAAGGGCCCGAGGCTGCTAGGAATGCTGGGAGTTGGAGTCCAGAACACCTTTAGGGCCCAAGTGGGCCTATACATGAGCTATCTTGACCTGCTGAGAGGAGGAAAAGGAAAGGGCCCGAGGCTGCTAGGAATGCTGCGAGTTGGAGCCCAAAACATCTTTAGGGCTCAGGTTGGCCCATACATGAGCTATATTGACCTGCTATGGCCAGCCTCAACATTCTAACATTTCAAAGCGGCTGGGAGTTGGAGTCCAGAACACCTTTAGGGCCCAAGTGGGCCTATACATGAGCTATCTTGACCTGCTGAGAGGGGGAAAAGGAAAGGGCCCGAGGCTGCTAGGAATGCTGGGAGTTGGAGCCCAAAACACCTTTAGGACCCAAGTTGGCCCATACACGAGCTATGTTTTACCATTCTTGTGGGAGTCTTCTCTTCTCTTCCCGCACGGGGAGCTGGAGTTGACAGAGGGAGCTCATCCACGCTTTCCTCCCAGGATTCGAACCTCCGACCTGTCGGTCTTCAGTCCTGCCGGCACAAGGGTTTAACCTAATGTGCCACCCCTTCCCAGTTTGTTTGTGTGTGTGTGTGTGTGTGAGGAGCAACTTGAGAAACTGCAAGTCGCTTCTGGTGTGAGAGAATTGGCCGACTGCAAGGATGTTGCCCAGGGGATGCCCGGATGTTTTACTATTCTTGTGGGAGTCTTTTCTCCTGTTCCTGCATGGGGAGCTGGAGCTGACAGAGGGAGCTCATCTGCACTCTCCCCAGATTCGAACATCTGACTAGCTGAGGGGGAAAAGGAAAGGGCCCAAGGCTGCTAGGAATGCTGGGAGTTGGAGTCCAAAACACCTGTTGGGCCCAAATTAGCCCATACCTGCTATACATGCAGGGATCCCCAAAGGTAATCTGATCTGACCGCCTTCTGCCATAAAGCAGAGGCCAGCAGGGCTGTTTGCATATGGTTTCTGATTGGCCAGCCTCAACATTCCAACATTTTAAAGCAGCTGAGGGGGGAAAGGAAAGGGCCTGAGGCTATTAGGAGTATAGACCAACCTTGAGAGCCCCAAGTTGGTCTATACCTGCTATACATGCAGGGATCCCCAAAGGTCATCTTATCTGACCGCCTTCTACCATAAAGCAGAGGCTGTTTGCATATGGTTTCTGATTGGCTAGCCTCATCATTCTAACATTTTAAAGCGGCTGAGGGGGAAAAGGCTATTAGGAGTTCTGGGATTTGGAGTCCAAAACACCTGGAGGGCCCCAAGTTGGCCTATACCTGCTATACATGCAGGGATCACCAAAGGTCATCTGATCTGACCCCCTTCTGCCATAAAGCAGAGGCTGGGAAAAGGCACTTGCCGCGGCCGCCTTCGCAGGCAAAGAGAGAGAAAGAACCGGTGCCAAGACCAAAATTAAACCTAAAACGCTTAGGAGCGGGGATCAGTTATACAATATGTTCGAAAATAGCAGAGATAAATCCTCAGCAGCCAAAAGCAAGCAAGAGAGTTCTGTTTGGTGGGGTGTTTGCGGTTTCCTTCTGTGTGTGTGTGTGTTTTTTTGCCCTGGTTCAACCAGGCCATACCGATGTTTGATGCCCTCTTGAGTGGACCTCTCAGGCCATGAGGCCTAGGGCCCCTTTTGAGTTGCAGGTTCACAAGGTCTTTAGCAGTATGTGTGAAAAAGATCTAGGGAGTTAAAAGTTAAAAATGGGTCAACTTTTAAAAAGTGAATGGGATTTTGGCATCTAGTCTAAATCAGTGGTTCTTAACCTGTGGACTGCAGACCACTAATGGGCCATGAGGACAAAAAGCTGGTCTGCGAGCCTCCTTCCTCTTTATTTACTTATTTCATTTCCGCTCCTTTCACGCTGCCTGTTACTCCTTCCCAATGTCTCTGACCATGATATATATTCTGTATCAGAAACTAGAGCTGATGTGGTCTATTCAATGCAATTTTCTGAACCAGCACCCCAAACCTAATCTAAAGTTGCCCAAAAACTGATTTGCAACCCTTTTAGTACTAATGTTGGAGAGTGGTCCCTGGTCAAAAAAAGGTTGGGAACCACTGGTGTCATGCTAGGGAGGTAATGCTACCTCTCTATTCTGCTTTGGTCAAACCACACCTGGAATCACGCTGTGTCCAATTCTGGGCACTGCAATTGAAGGGAGTTGTTGACAAGCTGGAATGTGTCCAGAGAAAGAAGGTGACTCAAATGATCAAGGGTCTGGAGAACAAGCTCTATAAGGAACAGCTTAAAGAGCCTGCCATGTTTAGCTTGCAGAAGAGAAGGCTGAGAGGAGACATTATGGCCATGTATAAATATGTGAGGGGAAGTTATAGGGAAGAGGGAGCAAGCTTGTTTTCTGCTGCTTTGGATACTAGGACGTGGAAGAATGGCTTCAAACTATAGGAAAGGAGATTCCACCTGAACATGGGGAAGAACTTCCTGACTGTGAGAGAGAACTGTTCAGCAGTGGGACTTTCTGCCCCAGAGTTTGGTGGAAGCTCTTTTTTGGAGGCTGGAAGGCCATCTGTCAGGGCTGCTTTGGATGTGATTTTCCTGCCTCTTGGCAGGTCTTTCACTGGATAGCCCATGAGGTCTCTTCCAACTCTAAGATTCTATGATTCTCTGCCAAAGAGGGCTGGTACCTCCCCAAACTAGAGCTTCCATTGAGCCACTGCACTCAAGTGCTGCCAAATGGCGTCGATTTCCCATTATCTCCATTGCTGACAGACAAAACACGCTCTCTGGGATTTGTGTTTTGGACCAGACAGTCAGGTTCGAGCCCTGCTCCCTCCGCAGCCAACACAAGGGATTATCATCGTAGAAAAAGATCCGGGATTAGGGATGGAGCGGAAATCTTCACTTCATTTAGTCGTTTCTGTGCCAGAAGTACGTTTGTGTCCGCGGAGCGAGAACGCAGGGCTCTGTTAATGACACCAGCTGCGTGTGTTTTTTATTCCGGGGGGGGGGGGGGGGAGTCCTCATGCTTCTCTTGTGCAGAAAACGTGACATTCCTTCAGTGAAGGTGCAAAAGCTCACAGGTTTTTGGCACAAACATGTTTTCCAAGAGAAAGAGCAGCCCCAAAGCTATTGCAACACAAGCCACTTAAGAGATGGCTCTCCTTTCACTGACCAGAGTTACAGAAGGAAAGGGAGATCTTTGCAGGCCTCTGCCCCTCATATTGTAGTTGAAGTCGCTTGAAGGTGGGCTTTTCTTGGCAGGGCTTGCTCAGAAGGGGTTTTCCTTTGTAATGAAATGTGATACTGCTGAATTCTCTAGCAAGGATTTCCAAGTTATTGAGTGGCTAACAAGCATTGTGCAAGACACAAGCAGCATTTCTGACATTACCAGGACTACTGGCTATCAATAGCTAGGGTTTCTTCTCTCTCTACCTGCACAATTTTATAAGTGGAAGCAATGGGGTTCCATCTGATAACAGAATCATGTTACTTAAAGGGTACGTAGAGGTGAATTACAGTAGTTAGAACAATAACTAATGTAATTCACCTCTGTGTCCCCTTTAAGTAAGGGTTTATGAACTGGCTCCTGAGTTCACTATGGCATGATTTTCCACACAGAATGGGGGATGCCTGGCTCAACAGCAGTACGTGGGAAAAAGATCTTGAAGTCTTCATGGACTAAACATGAGCCAACAATGTCATGCGTTGGCAAAAAAAGCCAATTGGATTTTGGGTTGCATAAATAGCATAGTGTCTACATCCAGGGAAGTCATGCTACCCCTCTAGTCTGCCTTGTTCAGACCACATCAGGAATCACAGTATCCCGGGCACCACAATTGAAAGGAGATGCTGACAAGCTGCAATGTGTCCAGAGGAGGGTGACTAAAACGATCAAGTCTGGAGAACAAGCCCTATGAGGAGTGGCTGAAAGAGCTGGGCATGTTTAGCCTGCAGAAGAGGAGGCTGAGTGGAGACATGATGAGGACCATGGATAAATATGTGAGGGGAAGTCATAGGGAGGAGGGAGCAAGCTTGTTTTCTGCTGCCTTGGAGACTAGGACACAATGGAACAATGGCTTCAAACTACAGGAAAGAACATGAGGAAGAACTTCCTGATTGTGAGAGCTGTTCAGCAGTGGGACTTTCTGCCCCGGAGTGTGGTGGAAGCTCCTCCTTTGGAGGCTTTTAAGCAAAGGCTGGATGGCCACTTGTCGAGGGTGCTTTGAATGCTATTTTTCTGATTATTGGCATATTGGAGTTGGACTGAATGGCTCACGAGGTCTCTTCCAACTCTATGATTCTAAGACACAAGTAGCATTTCTGACATTACCAGGACTACAGGCTATCAATAGCCAGGTTTTTTTTGTCTCTACCTGCACAATTTTTATAGGTGGAAGCAATGAGGTTCCATTTGACACCAGAATCATGTTAGTTAAAGGGTATGTAGAGTTAAATTACATTAGTTCAAACAATGGAGCCCCCGGTGGCGCAGTGGGTTAAAGCCCTGTGCTGGCAGGACTGAAGACCGACAGGTCACAGGTTCGAATCTGGGGAGAGGTGGATGAGCTCCCTCTATCAGCTCCAGCTCCTCATGCGGGGACATGAGAGAAGCCTCCCACAAGGATGATAAAACATCAAAAATCATCCGGCGTCCCCTGGGCAACATCCTTGCAGACGGCCAATTCTCTCACAACAGGATGCTTCTGACACGACAAAAAAAAAAATTCAAACAATACAAAGGAGGGTTTATGAACTGGCTCCTGAGTTCTCTGGCATGATTTTTCTACATTCCTCTGAGGTTGAGAGAGTGATTCACCTTTGGAGGGGAAGGCCTCTGGGGCAGTGAGCTGATGGGGTGCCTTTGAGGAGAAAGAGAGAAATGGGAGGACACTAGGCTTCAGGGATGCTTGGGCCACTCTGTCCTCAAATGATCCCTTCTCTTTCCTTCCCTTCAAGGTGAGAAATGCCGGAGCTTCATCGACCTTGCGCCTGCATCTGAGAAAGGTAAGAGTCACCCGTCTGCAGGCAGTGTGGCATCTCTCCTTGACAACAAGGGCAGACAGACTCTCTTCCTGAAGCAGGGAAGGGAGTCCTGGTAGGGAGGGAGATCCTCAGCCATTCCCCCATAGGCCCCCATCCTCCCCCTCAATGGACCCCCGCTCTTCTCTCTCTTTCCTGGCCAGGGGTGCTGTGGCTGTCAGTGGTCTCGGAGGTGCTCTACATTGTTCTCCTGGTGGTGGGTTTTAGCCTCATGTGCCTGGAGCTCCTCCACTCCAACAATGTCATCGACGGACTCAAGCTCAACGCATTTGCGGCTGTCTTCACTGTCCTCTCCGGTACATGATTTCCCCCAACCACCCTCCCCCCAGCCATTCACAGGCAGAAATGGGGCCAAGCAACACCAGAGGGTGGTCAAGAGGGCAAGTGTTATAAATGAGAATGGGTGGAAATGTAAGGAGAGGCTGCTGCAATCAACTGGGAGACCACCCTCTTCTCCCCAAGTTTAAGGAGGGCAAGTTTCAGCATTTGTACATTGAGCTCAGTCTGCAGCCTTGGGAGTATGCTAAGGAGTGGTGCATTTGGGAGGATCCATAGAGAGTCCATGGGGTCTCCTCTTCCTCTCTCCAATGGAGCAAGGCCAACATTTTGCGTCTCCCCATCTCTCTCTCTGCCCCCCCCCGCTTGTCAGGGCTGCTGGGGATGGTGGCCCACATGATGTACACACAGGTCTTCCAGGTGACGGTCAGCCTGGGGCCGGAGGACTGGCGCCCACACTCCTGGGACTACGGCTGGTCCTTCTGGTGAGTCTGGAGGGAGGGAGCCAGGACCCTGCAGGGCGACTAGGAGTTGGATGCTGGGAGTGCAGTCCCTTCCGGTCCTTGAGGGTCTTCCTCTCTTCCTTTGTTCAGCCTGGCCTGGGGCTCATTCACCTGCTGCATGGCGGCCTCCGTCACCACCCTAAACTCCTACACCAAAACCGTCATTGAGTTCCGGCACAAGCGCAAAGTCTTTGAGCAGGGCTTCCCTGAGGAGCCCCCATTCGCCCCTGACCACCAGCCCCTCAAGTACTTCCATGGAAGGTCAGTTGGCTGCGGGGGGGGGGGGGAGGGGTCCCTTGGCCTTGAACGTCTCTCTCCAGTCCTTTGAGGGGGAGGCACTGGTGGACTGCTGAAGGGGGGGGGGGGAAACAGCTGGGGACAATGGGCTCTGACTCCTCCTGCACCTGGCTCAGATCTTTTGCCATGAGCCCCCAGAACACTCTGCTTTGCTCTTGGCTTCCTAGTTGAGGCAGGCTCCTTATATTCATTTCTGGAAATGTGTAACTGCTTCCATGCAGCCCCTGGCATGTGCTCAGAGGGAAAGGAAAGGCATGTGCAAGGAGGGTGGGCAAACACTTCCCAGACTGGGCCACAGTGTTCTCAAGGCACCCAGAGAGGTTGGCAGTTAAGGTATGATGGGCTTGTATGTGTGCACAATGCTTCTGCAGGGCCCATTGCTTGGGAAAGGGGCCACACTCCCCGCCTGCTGCCCTGCCTTTGGAGCCTAGGCTGGTTCTGAACACCAAGGAGAACCTTCTTGGCCAGAAAGGGGTTGGAGTCCCACCACCACTTTGGGGTGCTGTCCTCCACAAAGGGGGATTTTATTGCCTCGAAGTTGCAGATACTGGACATGTCCTCAGCAAAGTGATCCCAGTGTGGATCCATTAGGGGCTAGGGAACACGAGGGATGGCTTTCGGAGAGATGGACTGCTTTGGAATACTATGGAGGGGGAAATGGACAGACAAACTGAGAGGGAAGGGACCCAGGGGTAGTCTTGCATCCCTTGGGTTTCTGCCCACTGATGTCTTCAGCGGCTGAGTAGGTTGAAGCCCACAAGAGCTCAAACCAAACCAAACCCGCCTAGGCTTCCTGCCTGCCTCCCCTTTTCTTCATGGCCCAGGGTCCATGGCAGAAGAGGGGGCCACTGTGCTGCTCAGGCCCTTCCCCGCTGTGCTTGGCGGAGACCCTCTGCTCTTTCCTTCCTTGCTTGCAGCCTCCAAGGATTTCAGGGCCCATGTGGCTTGATTGGGCTCAGAGGAGTCAAGGCCAGATAGTTTGGGGCCCAAGGTACTCTCCTGCCCTGAGTCTGGTTGGAGGTGGGCCTTGTTTGTTCTCTTTTCCCAGGCCGGAGGAGGAGGAAGAGGAGGAGAGGGAGGAGGCTGGGGGCGAGAGGGGGCTGGGGGGCCTCTGGGGCCACTCCTCTAAGAGTAAGTCCCTCTCTGCCACTCTTTTTTCCATTTGCTTTCTCTCGCATGGCGTCTCTCCTGGGCTCAGCCTTTGGAGAGCAGGCTCTCTGCACTCCTGGCATTGGCTGCTGGCATCCTGGTCTCTGGTGAGGGGAGTTGCGTTGGGCTGTGGTTGAACCTGGGGTCTCCCTGCCTGCCTGCCTGCCCCTGATGCCTGAATGGGGAGGGGGTTGGGGGGAGTTTCTGAATCTGCCCTACGGGCTCTGCATCCTTGCCTCCTGCATGTGCTGTGCGTGAAGGCCAACCAGGTGCTTGGACTCCCGCCTTATGCTGCCTCTCTGGGGGAACAATTTTGGAGGTAGGGATTATCTGTGAAGTTAGGTCCAGCACAGTGTCTTCCTTTGGACTGGGCCTGATGGTTTTGCATGATTGCTTTGTGAGCTGCATGAAAGGCTCGGAGAGTATTAACACCCATATCTTTGTTTGCTTTCTTTGAGATGGGGAGGGCATGGGTGAGGCATGCCTTGGTGTGCATGTGAGGGGTCTCTCCGCTGAGAGTCTGATTGTGGAGCTGGAGGGCCCCCACCAGAGGAAGGGAAGACCCGATCAGGCTGGAAGCCTCCCTCCTCTTCCTTCCTCTTAATGGCTGTGGTCCCTTTGGGAAGAGGGCCCACCCTGCCCTTAAAGGGGATTCTGACTGCTCCTTTCTTCATTGTATTATCTCAAAGGAATGCGCACCACTCAGCTGTGACCCTGCAGAGCAATGCCAGCGGTCCCCGGAGACCTCCCCCGATCCTTTCTGGGGGCTCCTCCACCAACACAGCGGCCTCCTCCCCCCCTTCCTCTCCTTCAATGCCCTCTGAGGCCAGCAGCCGGCTATCCTCCTCCTCCTCTTCACCGGAAGCAGCCGTTTCCTCAGGAGCCCCAAACACAGCCACCAAGGGGCCCAGGGTCACGCCCCCCCTGCATCCAGGGATGGCGAGGCCCACACTCCAGGCGGTTGCTCCCCCCAGACCCCACCTGGCCTTCCAGGCAGCCACTCTACCCAGTCATGGTGGCCATGGCTCGGGAGCCCTGCCCAAATGCCTCGGAGGCACTCCCCACCTGGAAGGCTCTGCCAAGAGAACAGAGAAGCACCTGGGACTGAGGACAGAAGAGGGAGATCTGAAGAGGTAAGGAAGGGGCAGGGGCAGGGGAGGCCTCTCTGTTAAGAGCTGGCTGTGGCCCTGGAGGCAAGAAGGTAGGAGAGAGAGAGGGAGGTGGGTGCAGCCTGTGCATGAGGGCCTTTCCTGCCCCCAACCTGAACCAAAGTGGGACTGGATCCCTCCTGTTAGCATCCCAGTACCCCTCCAGACAGAGCTTGTAGCCCTGGGCTGCCCTCTCCTCACTGGTCCCTTTTGGAATTTGCCACTAAATCAGTAGTAGGTCAGTGGGTTGGCTTCTCTCAGACAAGGAAGAGGATTGAGGGGCCTCTCCCTCTTTTCACCGACAAGATTTCTACTGAGCCATAAATGGAGGTAGTGGTAGGCCCTGACCCCATAGGTGATATTGGGGTAGTGGGTGGTGATCCCTCCCCTCCCTTGAGCCCCTTCCAATGTTAGCTGAGGAAGGGTGGAATGATGGGAGCCCCTGGTCTGGTGAGGGCAATGCAGAGGGCAAAAGAGCCCCCCCCCGCACCAACCTGTCTCTTTTTCCCCAAAAGGGGCCTTGTTACCCGTAAGGAGTTCTTGGCAGTGGAGCGAGAGCTGGCGGAGGTGCGGGAGGAGCTGCGGTGCCTGCGCTGGAAGGTGCGCCACGTTGGGGAGGCAGGCCAGCTGCAGCCGCAGCAACCGCAGGCACCCTGTTTGGAGGAAAGCAAGCGCTACAACGGCCACACGCTGCGGGAGCTGAGGGCCATGGTCCGGTCAGAGGGGGATCCCTATAGAGCCGCCCACAAGGTCCTCCTGGCCCTCTTCAGCGACGTCTGTCTGCGTCAGACGCCCCATAACCGGCACTGGGGCCCCAACACCCGGCCCCGTCCTGACCCAGGGGAACTCTATGCTGTCTACTGCCACCTGCTGCGGAGCGCCTTCTCCAGCCCCAAGGAGAGGGCCCAGTCCTTCTAGAGCCCCCTCTGCCTCCCCCACAGATGAACAAAGCATGGGCTCCTGCCTCACCAGACTGGCTTGCCACCTGCAGCCTTTTGTAGGGAACAGCCCCCTCCAAATACAGCACTGTTGTCTTTGTCTTTCTACGCTTCCTCTTGGTGTTTGGTCTGTTGGGAGCAAGCCTGGTCTTCTGTGTGCCCTCCCTTGTTGCATGCAACTGCCTGGTGCTGCATTGCATAGGGGCCAATTCAGGCAAAAGCAGTGCTCCTTCGCTGCAGAGGCACATGGCAAGGCCGGCCGGTCCCCAGTTCTCTTTGCCTTTAGGGCACTCTGGCATGGTCCCAATGCAATCCCTTACCCTGGAAAGTAATTCCCAGAACTCACAACCTCTGAGGATGCTTGCCATAGATGCAGGTGAAACGTCAGGAGAGAATGCTTCTAAAATATGGTCATATAGCCCCAAAAACATACAAGAACCCAATTCTCTCTGCTTGTTTGTGTGCGGTTTCATGGGGAGAAGGAGGAAGAGTACTCTGTGCTACAGCTGAGAGCCACCCTTCTTTCCCTTTCCCTGACAGCTCTGACTGGGAGAAAGGATTTTCAAAGCAGCGGCAGCAGCAGCTCTTCCTCCCCTGTTACCTTGCTGCAAATGGGGATGTCAGCATGAGCCATTACTTGCCTCCTTCTGCCAGTCCAGTGCTCCCCTCACACAGAGAAGGGTGAGAAGCCCATTGGTACCCCCCTTTCACTTGCTTATGTCCCCATTTCTCTCTTTCCCCCTCTCTGAGCAGCAAGGGAGGCTGGCTGTCCCTTGGCATTATTGCTGCTGCAGCCGTGCAGGAATCAAGGGATCCTGGTGGACAGACCCAGCAGCAGCCCCCCACCTACCTTTTCCCAGCCCCTTCTGCAGCTGTTGCAAGTGGAGGAGGGGCTGCTTATGCCAAGCCCTGACCATAGCCCTGCAGGTGACCCCCCCCCCCCTTGGCCTGAGCAAAGATGCCTCAGTAATCAAAGGAAGAGGGTGCCGGGAGGCAGGGCTGGGTGCCATCTGGACTGGGAAGAGCCTTCATCCTCTCTTCCCAATCAGATTAAGTGCCCCGGACGCAGGCAGCTGGGCTCCGATCGCTCCCCTTGCCCTTCCCTCTAAATCTGCTGGAAGGGGCGGGGCAGAGGATAAAAGGGGGGCTTTGCCAGCTGAAGCACTTTTCTGTCCCTTTCCATGGTCTTCCAGGGAGGGGGGAGCAGCTACAGGGCCTGCTAGGAAGGCACCTGGGGGGAGCAGGAGCCAGGGGCAAAGTGCTGTGGCCCAACAGGCATTGCACATTTGGCACTCGCTTTGTTCAGGGCAGACTTTATTGGAGGCACCCACGGACACCCTGACAAACACACAGGAAGGGTCCTTACTGGCGGTGGTTCTGCCTCCCCCTCTCCTCTGTAGCCCATGGCTGAGGGGCGCGGGGGGCCTTGGCAGGAGCCTAGCCCCACAATGGCCCCCATATTGTTGGGCTTGAAGGCAGAGGTAAGCAGGGCTCCAGTTGGCAAAGGGGTTTAATGGCGCTGCGGCTGAGGAGGGGCCTGGTTCTGGCCGCCTCTCCTCTTCCTCCCAACCCACCTGCTGCAAAGGATTCTGTCTTTCAGTCTCTTACTGGGCAGCTGGTTGGCGCTTCTCTCCCCATTCAAAGTTGGGGACACATGCAGACCCTCCTCGAGAGCACTGCTTCTCCTCCCCTCACTGCCTGGGCCTCCGCAGCAGTCCTTTGTCCCGAATGCAGGTCTTGGGGCGCAGGGCTGTTGAGGGGAGAGATCTCAGCCACTCCTGCCACCCCTCTCTCTGGCCCTCTGGCAAGGGCCAAACAACAGCAAGGAGAAGTTGCTGAGGCCAAGAGGGTGGAGGGGGCCTTTCTGGGAAGGGCCAAGAGTCTCCAGACCAAAGGGGGGGGGGAACCCACCTGGGTCAGCTGCCGCTTGTTTATTTCGGGAGGAAGAGGAAATGACCTGGTTTTCATTCATCAGCCGCACATCTTGGTCCTCAATGTGGTTGCTGTCAAGTCAACAGAAAAGGTCAGGAGTGGAGAGTGGGAATGAGGGAGTGGCCAGAGGCCTGTGGGGAATCATAGATAGGTGATGGGTGCAAAATGCAACTATGTCTCCAGCCCACCTGATGACCCTGCTCTTTTCCTGGCGGCAAATCTTCTCATCGTCTGTGAAGAGAATGGTGTGATAGGGGACCACCGGGTCGCAGGTGGGCAGGATGCCCTGGACCAAGTGGCCTACTGAGTCCAGGATCCCATTGTACACCAGCAGGTCATCCACCAGGAGCTGAGCAGCAAGAAGAGAGGAGAGGAGAGAATCAGCCTCCTATCAAGGCAGATCATCAGATGAGGCCTCTGTGCCCCCCTGCCATGGTCATTGCACATCTTTTTGGGGCATGGCCAGATGTTTCTGTTTCTCAACCATAGCCCTCCAGGCCTAAAAGCCCCATTAGAAGATCTGAGGAAGCTGCACTTACCCCGAACTCCTTGACGCCTCGTTGGGGAGTTTTTGCATAGTTCCACAGCTTGATCATGGAGACAGTGGTGGGCAGGTCAAAAATCACGTAAACCCGATTCACCTGCCGCCCAAACCCCAGAAAGACAATGCAGAAAGGTGGTTCACCCTGACAGATCCATTTAGGAGTTGAGACTTCTGTCTCCCATTTTTATTCCAGCTAATAAAAGTTATGAAGACCCTGAAACTCAAGCCCCAATTGGCAAATGATGGGAGACGCTGCCCTCCTTCAGCATCCTAAAATAGGGGCAGAAAGACCAACTGCCCCTGTCTTGGTCCATGGGTCAGCAATGTCTACTCATGGATCTCGGCTGCCCTTAACAAACTAGGACTGGCAGATTCCAGTCCTGGCCTATGTGCCTGACCCACTGGGGCTGCCTTCCCTCTCGCTTGGAGGAGTACAAGGAGAAGGGCCCCTGGTGCCTGGGTGGACCTCCAGGGCAACACCAGTAAGGCTAACAGGAGAAGCCTGAGTAGAACGCCATGTGCTGGAGACCTACCAGGCCAGGAAGGATGGGGGCCAGCCACAAGTGCCTCCCATCGTTGGAATTGTTCACGCCGTCAATGAGTTTGTCTGGAGTACGGACGTCTCCACTGATCCCCTCCAGGATGTTGACGCTGTCTGGGAAGGCGGCGATGTCTGGCACAGCCATGTCAAGGACACCTCTGAGCCAACCTTGCAGGTGACAGTGCCCCCACCCCAAATCCGGAAAGAGCCCCCTTTCTCTCCTAGTGACTCACCAGGGACTGGCAGCCAGTGGCCCATCCATTGTCTGACCCTGGTCTGTGGCCCAGGGTCCTGGCCCAGAAGGAACAAGGATGCCTGCTGCTGGCTCTTACATTTGGCCTGAGGGGCAATGGGGGCTCCATTCCAAAGTGCCCCCCATCTTCTGCCAGACTTGCTGGTTTCTGGGAAGGATACTGTTTTCTCCAAGAGGGATCTTCTCCCCGCAGACATTGTACAGCTCCAGTCCATTCAGGCCAATGTAATATGGATCCCCCCAACTGGTCAGCAGCTGGAATTGGAAAATGACTGAAAGGACATTGAGGAAACCAACCGCACAAGGAAAGCGTTTCTGGCCCACCCCTGCTCTTCCCTGGCTCTGGGCTACCAAGAGGTTACAAAGACTACATTCATGGAGAAGAAGGTTGCCAAATAACAGCCTGATGGGCCTTTGGAACAAATACCTTGAAGAACTGTAGGGGAAGAGGGCAAGCATTCTCCACTCACCCAGCAATGTTGAGTGGCTCTGCCTTCCCTATGTCCCTCTGCCAAAAGTGGAGCACGGCAGTACCCCAGGGAGAAGAGGTCTGTTCAGGTGAGGGACCCTGTTCTCCTCCCAGAAGCTGGTGCCCGATAAGACCACCTCTCAATTTGGATGCAGTACATATGTTGGCATGACAGCCCAATGAGGCCAGGAATAGAAGACCAGGACAGCCATACAGGGAAGGATACAGCCGCAAGGCATCAGGGGAGCCTCATAATCCATGCTGGCTTGTTCCACTACATTTGTCTCTGTCCTGCCAGAATAAGAGTCCCTGGTCAATGCTTCCAGAGAGACACTCCTCCCCTCCCCTGCTCAACTGCCAATGGCCCTTGTGTCATAGCAGGCAGCTGCCCCCAGGTTTCCTGGCTCACCGCTCAGAGGCTGGAAAGTCAGGACCCTCCACTAAGTAGTCCACAAAGAGCATCTCCTGCGCAAAGTCAAAGTGGCAGTTGCCGGGCCCCTTGCGGATGAGGAAGCCCCCCGGCGGAGAGATGCGGCAGCCATCCAGAGAGACATGGACAACCTTCGCCTGGGGAGAGGGAAAGGCGGCACAGGGGTGAGGACCAGGGACTCTATGGGTCCCTGAAGAGAAGCCCAGCTCCACAGGTCCTGTGCTCTTCCAAGACGGCCCCACTCACCCCTCGGTAGGTGTCTTCGGGACACTTGTTGTAATTCCAGATGCGGAGCCCTGCAATGCTCTCCGCTTGAGGGAACTGGATGGTGAGCAAGTGATCCTCTCCAGGGCTGAAGGGGATGAGCCACATGTGGTGGTCCTCTGTCGTGATGTTTGTCCCGTCAATTAACCTAAGAGGAGGAAGCAGGAGAGGAGCTCGCCAAGGGCATTTGGAACAGCACTACGCAGAGGAGAAAAAACACATTTCAAGTTGCTTTGGAGTTCAGTACACATGCCCTAGTCCTGACCTGCAAAACCCTAAACAGCTCAGATAAACCGGCCTGGGTTTCACGAGTCTGCATTGCCTTTCAAACTGACAAGATGCAGGAGCGCTTGGCGCAGACTCCGCAGCATTCCCATTCCCATAATATATCCTGCTTTTCTCCCTCGCAGGACCCAAAGTGGCTTACAACATATTGAAAAAATGTAAACAAGCCATATACATTGATAATAAGTATAAAACATAAAATAAAACAACAATAATATACATTCACAGGTGCCTGGAAGGGAGCCGCATCTGTGAGCCCCTGAAAAGCCCCACCTCAATAGCCACCTATGGTTTGGGTTCCTCCTCCATCCTTGTCCGGAGCAATACTCACTTGTCCAGGGTCCGAGAGTCTTCAGTGTATTCCAAGAGGTCGTTCAGGTCCTGTGGAGAGGCAGAGAGCTGGTCCGCAGAGATGGGGATGGCCTGGCCGTCTCTCCCGACCACTTCCAGCCCCGTCAGACCAAGATAATGGGAATCTCCCCAGGAGAGAGTGAAGTTCAGCAGGAGGCCTGGAAGGAGGCAGAGGACGGTGGGCTCCAGCAGCCTTTTTCAGGTGATGGGAATGCAAGGCACCTGTCCCTAGTGCTCAAGTGGAAGAAGGGCGTGTTCTGAAGGTGGTGCTGCCAAGAATGCCCCTCCCTCCTCCCAGGTGTTTGCCCCTCTCTGCTGTGCGTCTGTCTGCAGGAGAGAGCTCAGGTAGGCCGGCAGGCCAAAGGAAGACCACTCACACTTCCCGAGATAGATGCCTGGCTCGGCTGCCACCCCTGGGGCAGGATCCTGCAGAGATGCTTGCCTCTGGCTCTGAAAAAGAAGAAAGAGGAATTGTTTGGTCTGATGTGCCTTGGGGCAAGAGCAGGCCTGTTCTCCCAGGAGCAAAGCTCTTAGAGGAAATGGAGAACAAGTGTGAAAGCCTGCACTTCCAGATTAGTTCCTCAAGGATTCCCTCAATGGAGGACAGGAGCCAATCCCCTGCTTCCTCTGAGGGACCCTCCACCTGCTTGTCCTCTGCCCTGAAGCCGGCCTGCGTGAAGGGCCTCTCGTCCCCCTCTCCATCCGCAGTCCTTGGCCTCTTCATCTCCTCCTCGAGCCTCAAGCTAGAGGTGCCTTCAGCCTCCTCCTCACAGGACTCATCATAACAGAAGATGGACTCCAAGATGTCGTCATCAGTTGTGAACAAGATAGTATCTCCAAACTGCTCCGGAGCTGAAAGAGCGAGGGATGCAGGCGGATTGTTGGGCCAATCAAAAAGCTCCCAGACCACCACCCCTGCAGAAAAACACTGATTCCGGTCCAGGACCAAGCAGCTGACCCCCTACCACCAGCCCCTTTCTCTGGAGTGAAGTACTGGGAAGACCGGTTCGCACCTCCGGAGAGCGTTCCTGAGGCCTTGGCAATCTCCCCTTGGAAGATGCACCGCCCGTCCAGCATCATGGTGACGTCCCTGGCGCCCCGGAAGGAGTGGATGCGGGACTTGTTGTAGTTCCAGACACGGATCATGGCCACCTCACAGGGCTTGGAGAAGTCCAAGAAAATGCAGTGGGGCCTCCCTGGGGTGAAGGGGGCCAGCCAGAGGTGCATGTCGTCCTGCGTCCGGTTCACCCCATCCAGCAGGTTACCCACTACCCGGGGGTCCCTACCATAGGCTGGTAGGACGTTGATGTCAGGGGGGTCAGCCGCAATTCGGGCCACGGGGATGGGCTCCCCTTTGGAGCTGAAGAGCTCGATCCCATTAAGACCCACATAGTGCCTGTCTCCCCAGGTCGACTGGATCTCTATCTTCAGGTGCTGCCCGAATGGCAGGAGCGGGATCCTGAAGTCGCCCCCTTCCTCCTCTTCTTCCTTCTCGACTCCCTGCTCCTGCTGCTGCACTGGGCCCAGGCTTTCCTCCTCCTCCAGGTGCCTGGAAGGCCCCTGCACACTTCCTGGAGCCCGGGCCCGAAGGTCTCCTTGCCGGCCGGCTTTCTGCTGGAGGAGGAACTCGTCAAAGATGTCCCCTTGGAAGTCCAAGTTGGAGATGCGGCCGTGGTGCAGGCGGTCGAACCTCAGGAGGGAGTTCCAGGATTCCTGCAGGGCCTCCTCCGGGGAAGTGCTGCCCCACTTGGCACGTGAAGGCCTGGTGCTGCTCCCCTTGGAAGGAGGGGGCTCTCCTGAAAGAGAGCCTTTTGAGAGGGCTTTGGGGAAGGGGGTGGCAGGTAGGAGGGTGTCAAAGGAAAACTGGCTTTTGGGGGATTCAAGAAATTGACATCTGTTGAGAGGGCTTTGATTTTGCTTTTCCTGCAAGGCAGAAGGGACTTGGGCTTGATGGCTCTTAGTGTCTCTTCCAAATCTAGTAGTCTATGATTATAGGGGAATCCTTAAAGCAGGGGTCCTCAAACTATGGCCCGGTGCCACATGCAGCCCGCCAAGGACATTTATCCGACCCACTGAGGAGGCAGAGCTCCTTTCATTCTTTCTGTCTCCCCCCTCATGCTCTGTCTCTCTCTTTCACACTATATATTACGTATTGTTTTTTATTAATCACTATGCTTTATGTTCAGTTTGTAATATGAAAATACATCTTATATATCAGATATTTACATTGCGATTCATAAAAGTAGCAAAATAAGAGTTGTGAAATAGCGACAAAAATAATTTTAGGGTTGGAGGTTAGGGAAGGAACTGTATTAAGGGGCTGCGGCATTAGGAAGGTTGAGAACCACTGGTGTATATGAAGATAGGCCACCCGATGATGCGCAGCTGAAGCACTGAAAAATAAGAGTTCATCTACACTACAGAATTAATACAGTTTGACACCAGTTTGACTACCATGGCGTAATGCTATGGAATCCTGGGATTTAAATTTTTTTAAGCTGTTTGCCTTTTCTGCCAAAAGATCAAACTGCAGCTCCAGGATTCCATAACACTGAGTTAAAGTGGTTCTTCATTTTAAATATTGTATTTGTTCTGGGTTTGCTTTCTTACTTCAAAATAAGATATGTGCAGTGTGCATAGAAATTTGATTCACAGTTTAAAAAACAAACAAACTATAGTCCAGCCCACCAATGGTCTGAGGGACAGTGGACTGTTCCCTTGTTTAAAAAGTACGAGGACCCCTGATTTAAAGCCTTTAAAGCTTGGGCCCAAGGAGGACGGAAGGGCTCCACGGGACCCGGTCAGCCAACTCTTTTCTTGAGAAACAAGCTTTTAAGAAGTGGAGTAAAAAGGCAGGGAATCCAATCAGCGTGGCTTTTCCCGGCTCTGGTCCAAATCAAGCAGAAGCGTCGCTTTGGCCTCCTGGGGTCACAAAACCCACGCCACCAAAGGGGAGAGGGCGCACCGGGGCCTCTTGGTTCCAGTTCCTCGCCAGATGATGAAATCCCATTAAGGGATTGGCATCGGATGAAATACATCCTCCAAATAAACAAAGAAATTAAGCGGGGAAAATGAAGAGGGATTTAGGGGTGCCAAATATAGACTGTTCTTCCTCTCCACACTTGAGGGATTGGTCAAAGCCCACTCCCCCCCTTAACCCAGCATCTGGCAATATACCCCCTCCTTATAGTCTCCTTTCAGGCTAGAGCTCTGACATGGGTGCTTTGGAGCCAAGGAAAGGAGAACCCATTCCAGAAGCAATGCAAGACAGTGGGAGGGGAGGGATTCCTGGGGAAACAAGGGGAAATATTACCAGTATTCTTTTCTGTCCTGAAAGAATACTGGCAATGGCAAACACAACTGCCTGCTGTCTGGGGGATGATGGGAGATGGAGCCCTATCCCCATTGAGCCCCAGTGCTTACCTCTCTCAGGCTGGCCTTCCTCTCCACAGAAGAACTCCCAGCTCAGTCCCTCCTTCCCTCGGCCGCCCGGGTTTCGTCCCACAGGAAACAGCTCTGCAATAGGGCTGCGCTGGGGAGGCAGCGGGCCCAGGGGCTCAGGATCAGCTAGGGGATCCTGGCCACGGCCCCCCACCAGCAGTTTTCCCTCCGTGCCTGGTGCTTCGCCGCTGGATCTCTCCAGTTCGGGCAGCAGGGCCTGGGGCCTCTGGCTGGCCATCTTCAGGGGGGCCCTCCTTGGGGTCCTGGGGTCCGAAGGGGGATCCGTCTCCATCCAGGGGGGCAGCTGTGGCCTGGTGGGCCCCCCCTGACCCTTCTCCCCTTTGGTCTCCGGAGGGGGCAGGGTCCAAGGCGGGGAGACCAGGCTGGGCAGCGGGGAGAGCTTCCTCCCAGAGAGCCTTTCCATTTCCTCACTCAGCGAAAGGCCATCCCACTCTTCAGGTGCCACAAATCCAGAGGTCCCTGGTGAAGGGTTGATCCTGTCCTCTGGGGTGGAAGAGGGGTCCCGTGATGCTACAGGGGAGTGACTGGGGGTCACTTCCTCCTCAGGGCCATCCTTCCCCAACAAGGCCTCTGGAGCCAAAGGCACTCCTCTATCCACAGGGGTCTCCTTCCCTGCCGAAGATGGACCCCTTCCCAAGAGATCGATTGTGGTGCAGCCACTACTGTCCAACTTGGGACTCACGCAGCCTTTGGCCAGAGGACCCTCAAAGGCCAAGGCCCCATCAATGTAGACGAGGACGTTCCGCGCTCCAACCCCAAGATCCTGGAGGAGAAGCAGGAGGAAAAATTGAGGGTCGCAGCACTCCTTTTCTCCCTCCCTGAATGTCCTGTAACACTTTGGAGCTTCAGCAAGTCTCTCTGAGCAAACCATAGCCAGGTTTAGTCAGAGTTTACTCATATTTGGACAGACTGCAACCAGCCGAGGAAGGAGAGGAAGTGCAAGGGACCTGGCTCAACTGTGGTTGCTCTTTCATGCCAGCTTCATGGTGGCTTTGCAGGGTTTCTCCTCACCCTTCATACCTCTAAACCTCAAATTTTGCTCTTTCTCACTTTGAACAAGTTCTCTTCCCAAAGGGCTTGCGTATGTGTGAGAGAGGAAAAGAGAATGCTCCTCCAGCCTACAAGACAACCCTATAAAGAGAGAGAACACAACCTGCTCTCCCTCACAACCTGAGGATGCCTGCTTCAGGATGCAGGCAAAATGTCAAGAGAGAATGCTTCTGGAACATGGCCATACAGCCTAGAAAACTCACAGAACCCAGCGATTCTGGCCATGAAAGCCTTCGGCAACACAACCTCCTCTTCCGTTTTGATGGTCCACCTTTTACCAAATGAAAATGGCAATTTATGCCATTGCTCCCCTAAGCCTGCACAACCTGAGCTGGGCTGTGGCCAGGCCTCTGGACAGGAGGTCTCTCTTTCATATGGTCAATCTGGCAGCAGTTAATAATGGCAAGGCTACAGTCCATTTCCAAAGCTCAGGAAGTGATCCATGGCTTCCCTGTCGCTCTGAGTTGAGTCACATATCTGCGCACCTATCTAGGCGCCAGGAAGGATAAGGCTTAGTCTATCTATAATCCAGAACGGAAAATCCTCTTTCCCCCAGAACCCAGAGCCATTCTGAACCAACCGCCCAGCAGGCTCTCTGGAGAATTTGCTGAGAGCATTTCAGAGCCAAAGACCGGTTGCCATCTGCTGTGGGATGCGGCTTCTGCTACCCAAAATATTCCTGCTTCGAACATAAACTGGGTACACAGCAGAGTCCCTTCTGGGAAGGAGGAAGACTAGCTATATGGCAGGAAAAACATTAATGGTTCTCTGTAAGCGCACACTGGCAAAATAACCCAGATCACTGAAAACTGGGTTCAGTGGCTCCTGAAGCAGGGAGAGGTGAAAAGGGCCAAGCAGCTAGGAAGAGGGCAGAGTTCTGGAGAGGGATGCTCCACCATGCAGCCACATCTATGGTGGATTCCAAGGCAGCAGCATCTTCTGCCTGACTCTCCCGCTGTTGGACCACATATAGTACAGAGCCTCCTCCTGTCTGAAGCTGTGACGACCCCCTGCTATCTCAATCTGTTTCCACAGATTCAGAAAAGCAGCCACAAGGACAGTAAACCCTTCTGGCCCACCAGTCGTACCCACCCGGCAGTAGACAAGTACTCCTGGCCTTCTGCCCACATCAGAGGCAGGCAAGGCCCAAGAAAATGATCACTTACGGCAGATGCAGGGGAGCTGTAATTCCAAATCCGGATCTTGGATAAACCAAAGTCATCTGAAAGGCTGGGATTTCGGACCACAAAGTACAGCTGCACCGGAGGCTGGAAGATGCAGGTCCAGGGGAAGCGGCTGCCACTGGTCTGCAACACAATGAGGGAGACAGAGGCTCAATGGGCCAACGGTAGTAAGATGTGATTGTCTACTGCTAGGCCAGCACAATCTTTAGACTCCCTCTGGCCCAAGGGGCCCAGGCCCCTTCTGACCGCAGGCCAACAGGCAAAGAGCTGCTTTGGCACAGCTGAGGGGTGCTGGCTTAGAGGTCAACGTGAGGCCTGTTTATGTTAATTAAACTAATCAGCTTTCCAGGACGCTGACGTCCAGATTAGCAGAAGGGCTGTCTCAAGGAAGGGGGGCATCTCCAACTCTGCCTCTCAGGATGCTGGGAGCACAACCGTGCACTTGGCGGCCTCCAAATGCCTGAGTGATGCCATCTAAGAACTGCCCCCCCCCCCCCGGCCCCACCTCCTGCCCTCCTTGGCTCAGTCAGGTGCCCCATTCCGGATGCCTTCCAGCTGCCATTCCTTCTGCAAAACAAGAGGAGCTCCTTGGCACTCCTCAATCAGCCTGGCAAAATGCATGGCACTCCCAGGAAACAAGGATCATGCAGAGAACATTGGGGGACTACATTCCTAAATCTGAGGGATGGGCTGCAGCAGGAAACTCACTTCTGGCTTCCTGTTGACCAGAGAGGAGAGGTCTCCCGGTGCATCGGAATGGCGGATGTCCACATCGTGAGGAGACACAAAGAGTTTCCTGTCATGCAAGTCAAAGAACTCCACCTCCGTCAGGCCCACCCTCATGGCATCCCCCCAGTTGGAGAGGATCTCCACCGTGATGTAAATGGCGTCTGGGATTTCCCGTTCCGGTTCTGGCAGGCCCTGGAAGGGAAATGGGAGGCATTGGCACGGGGTTTAAGGTGGCACATGGTGATTTCCACTGGGCTTGAATGGAGGCTATTGATAGTTGAGGAAAAGCTGTGACTTCTGTCAGTCTGGCCTGCCTCCATACATACCAGAATAGGAGACCCTTGATGCTCAGGCCCCCAAACTGAGGGGCCACGGGAGCTGGACTGCCTCTCAATCTCTTGCAGCACTTTCAAAAGCTTCCTCTGTTGCCTGAAGGAGGGAAGGGAGGGAGGAAATGCTGGAGAGAGCCAAGGACGATTGAGGGAATATAACAACAACAACAATAACTTTATTTTTGTACCCCGCCTCCATCTACCCCAAGGGACTTGGGGTGGCTTACATGGGGCCAAGCCTGATCAATACAGTTAAAAAGTAAAATGCAAACAACAGTATAAAAACAAAATAAAACAACAGCATTATCTATATATATAAATTTGTTAGGGGCATCCAACGAGGAAACAAAACTCAAAACCCCCCAACGAAACTTAACCAAAATTCCCATGCCCATAACACAACCCACAAGGTACAAACATATCTACTCAAAATGAAAAACAACACAACAACACACTCACAAAACGGCAAAACAACAAAACTCAAAATCCCCCAACGAAACTTAACCAAAATCCCCGTGCCCATAACACAACCCACAAGGTACAAACATATCTACTCAAAATGAAAAACAACACAACAACACACTCACAAAACGGCAAAACAACAAAACTCAAAAATCCCTCAACGAAACTTAACTAAAATCCCCGTGCCCATAACACAACCCACAAGGTACAAACATATCTACTCAAAATGAAAAACAACACAACAACACACTCACAAAACGGCAAAACAACAAAACTCAAAAATCCCCAACGAAACTTAACTAAAATCCCCGTGCCCATAACACAACCCACAAGGTACAAACATATCTACTCAAAATGAAAAACAACACAACAACACACTCACAAAACGGCAAAACAACAAAACTCAAAAATCCCCCAACGAAACTTCAAAATTCCCATGCCCATAACACAACCCACAAGGTACAAACATATCTACTCAAAATGAAAAACAACACAACAACACACTCACAAAACGGCAAAACAACAAAACTAAAAAAAAAAACCAACGAAACTTAACCAAAATTCCCATGCCCATAACACAACCCACAAGGTACAAACATATCTACTCAAAATGAAAAACAACACAACACACACACAAAACGGCAAAACAACTGAGCATGCGCATTGGCGCCCAGCCGCAAGTTCCCTGGCGCGCGCACATGGCCTTCCGGCCAACGTTCCCTCTGCGGAAGCCATGCCCACTCCAAGCCCCGCCGCGCCGCTTCCCGCACACACACACACCCCTGCCGCACGCACACACACAACCCCACGCTCCATCACTCCCCCCGCCACCGCACACACACACGCAACCCCCTCCCCCCGCCGCCACACACACACACACAACCCCACGCTCCATCACTCCCCCCACCGCCGCACACACACGCAACCCCACTCCCCCCGCCGCCGCACACACACACACGCAACCCCACGCTCCATGACTCCCCTCGCTGCCGCACACACACACGCAACCCCACGCTCCATCACTCCCCTGCCCCAATCTTACCTTCTTTTACTTCACGCCACCTCCAAACCCCACCCCGCCCCTTCCCGCCCTGTCAAAATCTAGGAAAGACAGGAAGGAAGGAAAGAAGGAAGAAAGAGAAAGGGAGGTAAAGAAAAAGGGGGAAGGAAGGAAAGTTAGAGAAAGAAGGAAGAAGAAAAGGAAAGAAAAGGAAAGATGGAAGGAAAGAAAAGAGAGACAGCAGAAAAGAAAGAAAAAGGGGGAAGGAAGGAAAGAGATAGAGAAAGAAGAGGAGAAGGAAAGATGGGAGGGAAGGAAGGAAGGAAGGAAGGAAGGAAGGAAGGAAGGAAGGAGGGAGCGGCAAAACAACACACACACGCAACCCCACAAGGAAAGAGGGAAAGAAGGAGAGAAAGAGGGAAGATTGGCCACAGCAACACGTGGCGGGTAAAGGTTGTTATTTCTATTATTATTATTATGCTATTGTTCCTATGAGACCCTTTTAGGGGGAATGGGAGAGGTGTCAGGTCCCAGAGGCAATGCACTGCATTATTGTTATTGTTATGATGGTGGTGAAATAAAAGGAAATAAAAAGTGAAAGAAGGAAGCAAACAGGGAGGGAAGAAAGGCAAAGGAAGAAAGGGGGAGGGAATGAAGGAAAGAGAGAAGAATGAAACCAAAGGAAAGAAAGGAAGAAAGAGGTAGAGAAGGAAGAAAGGAGAGAAAGGGGGAGGAAAAGGGGGAAGGAATAGGTAGGTACCTCTCTTTCATAATACTCCAGATATCTACCTCAACTTTGATAAGTTTTACTATAGGCCACAGCAACGCGTGGCAGGGCACAGCTAGTAACAATATATAAAACAGGCATCAACCAGCAACCAATAACAAATTCAATTTATCATCACGAGTGGGCGTACTGGTGCAGTAATAATGCAATAAGGATAAGAGCAATAGTAAAGTAGGGGTGTCACCTCAGGGTTTCCCCTTCACCCCTCAGCCAAGAAAAGATTCAAAACAAACCCACACCAGCACCTGCTTCCCAGCGGCCCGATCAACTCCTCCTGCTCCTGCAAAGGCTGGTGGGGCTCCATGGACTCAGATGGTAATGATGCTGGCTGCGCAAGAAGGAAATGACACATTTCTCAAGCCCAGTTCATGGCCATGGTTGGGATCTGGGGTAATGAGCCACCAAATAAGGCCTGGTCCCCTACTTGCCCTCCCCTCTTTGCCATTCAGCCTTAGAGGCAAAGTCAGGGGTGATATGAATGCAATATTCCTGCTTCTTGGCAGGGGGTTGGACTGGATGGCCCATGAAGTCTCTTCCAACTCTTTGATTCTATGATTCTAAGTGTCCAATGGCCAGGGCCATTCTTAAATTAACTGAAGAGGGATCCCAGGGGTTTCTGACCTGCATTTCAGCAGCGGCCCCCAGCTGCCTGGAGAGCAGCTCCTTCTGGAGGGTCTCATTTTCTGCCGCCACAGCTTTCAGGACTATGGAGGCTGAGAGCACTGGGTCCTTCTTCTCACAGAAGGCCTTACGGATTGCAGAGAGAGGCCTTTCTGATCGGCTCGCTGGCCCTGCACCCAAAGGATCAGAACATCCCTTTTGAAAACTACTTTCTCCAAACTCCCCAGCAGAAAAGGGGTGGAAGTGCAGAAGCACTGGGTCCACCTCTGGAGTGTCATGGCACTGGAGGAAACCCCCAGCCCCTCTTTCCCCATGCTTCAACCCTTGAGCCAGGAGATTACCCAGGAAGGGCACCTGGCTCTCTTTGTGGCCCGGCATCTCTTCCCAAGCCACTGTGACACAAGCAGGAACTGTCTCACTCACGGGAGAGGCTTCGTTCCTGCTGTTCTTGGCATTGGCACTCAGTGGTCAGCGGGTGGGCTGTGTGGCTCATGGGTTTGGTAGGAATGTAGGCATCGGTGCCCCCCTTCCTTCTGGCAGAAAGGCAGCGCTCCTTCCTGAGGTCTGCAAGAAAATATCAACAGGAAGGGCAGCTGTTGTTGGCAAAGGCTGAGGCAGGCGGACTTTGGGGCCTGGAGGACTGAGCCCACTGTGCCCTTAGGCTTAACTACATCTGGATCACACAGCAGGAGGGCAGCTGCTCGAGCCCCATTTTCCACAACTGGGCTATACAACTAGCCATCTGAGTGGGACAAATCATGTCTTTATACACATCAGTGTGTTAGACAAGCAGGCCTACATTACAAAACACCATCCCCAAACAACCTCATCCATTCTTAGAGTACAATCAGACAAAGAGATAAAGAGCTTCAAAAATCTAAAACTGCAAAAATTAGTAACAATAGCTACCAGAATTTCCTGGTAGATTTTCAGACCTCTTTGCTAGACATATAAGAGACTGATCTTTTCTTCCATGAGCAGAGTTAGCACGCGACTGGGCTTACTTGGGCAGCTTGGCTTGAATTCCAGTGTGACCAGAGAGCCGCCTTCTGTGTCGCAGCCCCTTCCACTGGCAGAGGAAATGGGGGAGCTTCTGAGTACTGGCTCGAGGCCCTCTCTGGCCATCTCAGTGGGGCTCTCTTCCTCAGAGAGCTCAGTAGGAACATCCTCCTCCACAGAGTCGGTGTCCTCTCCCTCTGATGAATCTTCCTCCATTCTGCTCTGACTCACAGTGAACTCCAAGGTCTGACGGAGCTCCTGGGACAAATGCCAGAGAAGGTAGAAAAGAAGCAATGGGGTTGCTGCACATCTTAAGAGGCCCAAGAAAGCTCTGAGTTAAGAATGAAATGTTTGCTTCTTTTCTTGGCATTATATCCTCATGCGACTGAGAGACACACTATGGCAGTAACTGTATACCCCAGTATCTCCATATTTAGTGTTGTGCAGTTTTTAAAACTACTGCAATGCTCCCTTCTTTTCCAACACCTTGACAATGAAGCCGTTGAAAGTGTGGCCTATTTGTCACAGTACCTTGACATCTTCGAGGCTGAGCCGCAACCTTCCCTTTTCTGCATCATTGCTCAAGCTCTGTCCTGCCTTTGAGTCAAGGAGGATCACGTCATCAGAAACAGCACTTTCAGGGGACACAAGGCTCTGGAAACAAAGGCTGACACTCAGGGGAATCTATTTATAGATGTTACTGCTCCTAAACAATATTGGCAAACTGCCAATAGCAAAAATTTCCATCAGGTGACGCGAGCAGAATAAATTGACAGCTCAGAAACTTACTTTTTAAAAAAGCAAAGCCATCTCATTCTGTGCTGCTTTTGAGATGGTGGCAAATGTATGTCATAGAAACCTGTGTTGGTATTTCAACTTTGGTTTTATCTGGTGTCTGCATGACTGAAGGCACTCTTACCTGGGCAGGACCATTCTGCTCACAGTCCTCTGCTTGCAGGTCTTGGCTTTCATACGGTTCAAAGTCCTCTGAGTATTCAGAAGGAGGGGCAATGTGGAGCCTGGCCCCACTTTCAGTTCTGATCTGCACTGCTTTCTGGAAAATTCAGGAAACACAGTGTGTGAACATGACCCTTTTGGGGAATAAACAACATCCAACACAATCCAACCAGATCTTTTCTGCCTGACCTAGCTGCCTTCTATCAACGCTGCCATCTCATTGGTCTGGAAACCACCTCCATCTACATTTCCATTGGAGAACAGCAAGCAGCTCTGATCCTGCTGTGAGGCAGAAGCCTTGCCTTCCCCATCTGCTCCCAAAAGCTTTGTCAAAGGGCTGGCAAAGAGGGAAGGTGGAGTCCCTAATGTCCCAAGGCCAGCCTTCCATACCTGGAGCCATTCCCGGCGCTGGATCTTACTGGGTGCACTTTGTGTGGCCCTCCCTTGCACACCCTCTTCTCTGAACAGGTTGCTTGCATTGATGTCTGAAAAGAAATGGAAGGCAAATACATGCACCTGGAGAAGCCAATGATAGGACAGGAGGAAATCACTGTAGCAGATGTGTTTATTTTCTGGCTCCATATACCCTGCTCCCCTCTGTTGAAAGAAGTGACTTATCTGACAATAGCAAAAAATATGTTTTTAAAAACTAGGGTTTCATATAACATTTTGCTGTAGTTTTTTTAAATACTTACAGTTATTTTATTTTTATTTTTTTAAATTATTAATTATTTGACACAATCTAATATAATCTGAAAATAGTAAAGGTAAAGATTTTCCCTTGACATGAAGTCAAATTGTGTCTGACTGGACTGGGGGTTGGTGCACATCTCCATTTCTAAGCCGAAGAGCTGGCATTGTCCTTAGACACCTCAAAGGCCATGTGGCCGGCATGACTGAATGGTGTGCTGTTACCTTCCCGCTGGAGCAGACACATTTGCATGTTTTTGAACTGCTAGGTTGGCAGAACCTGGGGCTAACAGTAGGAGCTCATGCTGCTCCCCGGATTCAATCCTGTGACCTTTTAGTTAGCAAGTTCAGCAGCTCAGTGGTTTAAATGGCAACTTGTGCAAAATAAGCACAACATACTTTACCATTCATTACAATTCAAGACATTTTCAAAGCAAAATCCATGCAAACTATTTTTAACTAGGGTTATTGGTTACTATGTTTTAGGAAAAACTGCTTCAATCTGGACAATAGCAATAGTGCCACTAGCCGCCCCCGCTCCCCCTCCCCCCGCCCAATCATATGCAAAAATCCTAATATATATTTTTAAAAAGAAACCCCTTGCAGGGGAAGAAATATACTTTCACAATGAAGATAATTTCTACACACATCATGATTTCACATTACAAAAGAATAACCCCATAAGAATGGGAACAGGCATTAAAGCATTTTTTTGTGGATTTAAGCTTTCTGACTGTTTTATATACACAAGTATGGATAACTAACAATAACTCAATTTGCATAGATTGAGATATGTTTAAAATCATAATCAAATGTTTCATTAACATTATTCCATCATATTTAACCTTTTCATGAATCACTTATTTCTAATTTTGTAAGATTCCAGCTTGTCCAAATAGTATTACGTATTTCTTTTTCTTCAAATATGTTTCCTTTCCTTTTTTTCCTTTTCCTTCCCTTTCTTTCCTTGACAACCATATATAATATTTTTTCCAAACACAAGCTTAACATTCACATCTCAAGAGTTCTGCCATAATACATAAACTGTGTGTTGAAGACTTCTTCCTGTTTTTTAAATTTGTAATTCCAGAAAGCAAGAAGGTAAACTTAACAGGTTAAATCTGTCTTAACAGCAAAGACACAATTTATATATCTACAGTTGATAATTATGAATCATCTTAACACGTTGAAGGCTACCGCTACGAAGGGACTCACAGTTTCTCCTCGTTGTCCTGGTGCTTCTCCTGGGAATGTGCTGTGCAGTCGCCTTCCTGCGCTGGTTACTTGCTTCTGAGTTCGCTCCGTTCACATACAGAGTGAACCCTTGCTCCAGCTGCTCCAGCCGAGTCTGTATCGGGTCTTTCCTTTTGAGCTGCTTCAGTATCCTAAAACAAACAACACATTTTCGTTCCTTTGTGAAAATCATCCAAGGATCTTATTCTCGCTAAAGGACACTGAGTTGCTGTGAGTTGTCTGGACTGTATGGCCATGTTCCAGAAGCATTCTCCCCTGACATTTCACCCACATCTATGGCAAGCATCCTCAAAGGTTGTGAGGTCTGTTGGAATCTAGGCAAGTGGGGTTTATATCTATCTGTGGAATGTCCAGGGTGGGAGAGAGCTCTTGTCTGCTTGAGGCATGTTTGAATATTGCAAGTGGCCATCTGGATTAGCATTTAATGGCCTTACAGTTTCAAGGCCTGGCTGCTTGCTGCCTGAGGAATCCTTTGTTGGGAGGTGTTAGCTGGCTCTGATTGATTCTTGTCTGGAATTCCCCTGCTTTTTTAATGTTGCTCTTTATTACTGTCCTGATTTTAGGGTTTATTAATATTGAGATTTTTAAAAAAGGAAACAGATTCAGCTAATACATGGGCTGGAAGAGAACAATGTGGACCAATCTTTTAAAAAATTGAATAAAGAGAGCCTCAGCAACAAACTTGAGGCCTCAGCGAAAATGCCACAGTGAAAGCCTTTTATCCAGCCACTGAGGAACCACCAAAGATTCCTTTCTGGTCTAGAAGCCTCTAGGTTCAAGCGGAGCCTCCTACCTGTTTCTCTGCTGGAGCAGAACTAAGTGTTCGTCGTGCTTCTCGTCAAAGTCCGTCACCATGGCCCCGGATTGCGCCTGAAGCAGAGAACCAAGGCAAAAACACAAGCAGCTCATCAATACTGGAGGAGCGTGAGGCAGGACAAGGGCAGGCAGCATCTCTCAATGAGTTCAACTGAGTGTATTCTTCCTATGAGTTCAGCTGAACTATTCTCTCACTCTCTCTTGGCATTTAGGTCCCCCCTAGACTGACATTTCCTGCAGTCTGAACTGCGCAGAACTGGGCTGCATGAGTCTACACCAGGCATGGGCCAATTTGGGCCCTTCCTCCAGGTGTTTTGAACTCCAACTCCCACCATTCCTAACAGCCTCAGGCCCCTTCTTTTCCCCCCTCAGCTTCTTAAGCAGCTGAGGGGGTAAAGGAAAGGGCCTGCGGCTGTTAGGAATGGTGGTTCTTGAAGTCCAAAACACCTGGAAGGCCCAAGTTGGCCCATACCTGGTCTACCTTGATCATATAATGCAGTTCATTCTGTATCTATATTATAGATGGGGCCTTGGTGACACATTTGTTTAAGGAGCACCATTTAAGGTTGCCATTCATCTTCCGGTCCCAATTCAAGGTGCAGGTTATCATATATAAAGCCCTAAACAGTTCAGGACCCACCTACCTTCGTGACTGCATCTCCCTCTATAAACCTGCATGAACTCTTCGATCCTCTGGGGAGGCCTTCTTCTCACTTCCATTGTTATCACAAGTACGACTTGTGGGGACGAGGGAGGGAGCCTTCTCTGCTGTGGCCCCTCAGCTCTGGAACTCACTGCTTGGTGAAATTAGGCAAGCCCCAACCTTGGCATCTTTTAAGAAAGACCTAAAAACTTGGCTCTTCTGATGTGCCTTCGGCGAGTGAATATATTTCCCATATGCAGTCTGTTCCAACCACTGCTCCATCCTCAAGAGGCTCTTAATGAAGGCCTAACTCTACTATTCCGGTCTTTTGTGTTACTCCTTCAGAAATCCATTCTCTCTCAGAAACACATTCTACATATCTCATCCAGGGTTTTATCAATTTTATTCCTAGTACATTTGACCCACCCACTGAGTTTTATTTCTCTATCATGTTATTTTGAAACTGTTTATTTTGTTATTTAATGTATTTATTTTGATGGTATTTTTGCTTCTTGTATTTTATTTTGCTGTACTGCAATTTTGGGCTAGGCCTCCTATTAGCCGCCCCGAGTCCGCTTTGGGGAGATGGCAATGGGGTATAAATAAGTTTATTATTATTATTATGCGGTAGGGTTGTATCCTCTCACCCAACCTATTCAACTTGTATGCAGAACACATCATGCGATGTGCGGGCTTGATTAATGCAAGGCTGGGGTTAAAATTGCTGGAAGAAACATTAACAACCTTAGGTATGCAGATGATACCACTTTGATGGCCGAAAGCGCGGAGGAGCTGAGGAGCCTTCTAATCAAGGTGAAAGAAGAAAGCGCAAAAGCTGAGTTGCAGCTAAACATAAAATAAACAAATGTATGGCAACCCTGATTGATAATTGGAAAATAGAGCGAGAAACGTGGAGGCCGTGACAGACTTTGTATTTCTAGGTGCAAAGATTACTGCAGATGCAGACTGCAGCCAGGAAATCAGGCTTATTTCTTGGGATGAGAGCAAAGTCCAATCTCGATAAAATAGTGAAGAGTAGAAACATCACACTGGCAACAAAGATCCGCATAATCAAAGCCATGGTACTCCCCGTAGTAATCTATGGATGTGAGAACTGGACCTTAGGGAAGGCTGAGCGAAGGAAGATCGATGCTTTTGAACTGTGGTGTTGGAGGAAAGTTCTGAGAGTGCCTTGGACCGCGAGAAGATCCAACCAGTCCATACTTCAGGAAATAAAGCTCGACTGCTCATTGGAGGGAAGGATAGTAAAGGTCAAGATGAAGTACTTTGGCCACATCATGAGAAGAAAGGAAAGCTTAGAGAAGACAATGATGCTGGGGGGAAATGGAAGAGAAAAGGAAGAGGGGCTGACCAAGGGCAAGATGGATGGGTGGGATCCTTGGAAGTGACTGAATTGACCTTGAAGAAGCTGGGGGTGGTCACGGCCAACAGGGAGCTCTGGCGTGGGCTGGTCCAGGAGATCACGAAGAGTCGGAAGCGACTGAACAAATGAAGAACAATTATTATTAAGCCCAACGCTTGGTTTATAATATGCTGTTTGTGCAGGGAGATCGGCCTGGAGGGGCCTCAGGGGCTAGGGTGTCAGATCTTTTTCTCGAGCGGGCAAACAGGGAAGGAGGGGAATTGTTATTATTATTAAACTTTATTTGTACCCCGCTAGCATCTCCCGAAGGACTCGATGTGGCTTACATAGACCAAGGCCTCAAAACACAGTACAACAATACAATACAGTTAAGCAGAATAAACAACAGCAATAACAAGACATCGAGACATCAAGACACTATAAGACTGGGCCAAGCCAGAGAAATGGGTACAAGATTAAAAGTGCTGATGTGGCAGGAGGTATGTAGGATTATAAAGTAAGTGTAGTGTGCGGTGTGCAGTGATCTTGGTTCTACTAAAGTGCTTCTAGGACTTGGTATTGGGGGTTCCTAATCTGAAAAGCAAGCTGGACCTTAGGGAAGGCTGAGCGAAGGAAGATCGATGCTTTTGAGCTGTGGTGTTGGAGGAAAGTTCTGAGAGTGCCTTGGACAGCGAGAAGATCCAACCAGTCCATCCTCCAGGAAATAAAGCCCGACTGCTCATTGGAGGGAAGGATACTAGAGACAAAGTTGAAGTACTTTGGCCACATCATGCGGAGACAGCAAAGCCTAGAGAAGACAATTATGCTGGGGAAAGTGGAAGGCAAAAGGAAGAGGGGCCGACCAAGGGCAAGATGGATGGATGGCATCCTTGAAGTGACTGGACTGACCTTGAAGGAGCTGGGGGTGGTGACGGCCGACAGGGAGCTCTGGCGTGGGCTGGTCCATGAGGTCACGAAGAGTCGGAGACGACTGAACGAATGAACAACAACAACAAATCTGAAAAGGCACATCGGAACAGCCAGGTCTTCAAGTTCTTTCTGAAGACTGCCAGCGAAGGGGTCTGTCTAAGATCTTTTGGAAGGGCGTTCCTGAGTCGGGGGGGCACCACAGAAAAGGCCCTGTCTCGAGTCCCCACCAAGCGCGCTTGCGACGTGGGCGGGATCACGAGCAGGGCCTCTCCAGGTGACCGGAGGTGGGGACGGCTGACAGGGAGCTCTGGTGTGGGAATGCCTTTGGAGACCAAGCCCTCCCTCCCTCCCTTTCTCCTACCGGGCCAGGCGGCGCTCCGAGACCCCCGGCCCAGCCAGGCTCCGCGGCGAGGCTCAGGAGGCCTCCTCCTTGTTCTTCATGCCCGCCTGTTGGGCCGGTTGCCGTGGCGACGCGAGGACCGCCGAGAGAGAGCGCGCAGAGGGCGACGTCACTTCCGGCGCGCTGCGCTCTGCCTATTGGCGGAGCGGAGTCCCCCCGGCGGGCCTCCTTCCGGCTGCGCCTGCGCAGTGGGCGCCGGTGGCGACCATGGACGCTCTGTGGGCCGCGCTGGAGGAGGTGGCGCTGGAGGGGCTGGACGGCATCACCCCGGGAGCCCTCTGGGAGCGCCTGGCCGCCCGCGTGCCGCCCTTCCCGCTCGCGCCCCTCGGAGCCCAGACCCGGGCGCTGCTCTGGGCCTCGCTGGCCGCCCACGCCCAGCTCCGCTTCGCCCTCCTCCCCGAGCCGCGCCCCCCGCTCCACCTCTACGACCGGTGAGCCAACTTGGGCCCTTCCTCCAGGTGTTTTGGACTCCAACTCCCACCATTCCTAACAGCCTCAGGCCCCTTCCTTTCCCCCCTCAGCCGCTTAAGCTGGTAAACACCCGAAGACCCACAGGTTGAGAATCACTAATCTAGGCAATTATGACATGGAGTTAAAAACATATTAATATAAATGTTAAAATCACATAATCCAGAAACCATAGTCCAAGGCTGTTCCAAATGTTAAATAATCAATTGCACATAATCCCTAATAATTGGGAAGGCTGACTTGGCCACGGTAGTACACACTCTTTGGTTACATCCCGTTTGGATTACTGTAACGCTCTCTACGTGGGGCTGCCTCTGAAGACTGCCCGGAAGCTGCAGTTAGTCCAACGCGCGGCAGCCAGATTACTAACGGGTGCTGGGTACAGGGAGCACACAACTCCTTTGTTGCACCAGCTCCACTGGCTGCCAATTAGCTTCCGAGCACAATTCAAAGTGCTGGTTTTGACCTACAAAGCCCTAAACGACTCTGGCCCAGTTTACCTGTCTGAATGGATTCTCCCCTACAAACCATCAAGGTCCTTAAGATCGTCCAGGGGGGCCCTGCTCTCGGTCCCAGCACTGTCACAATCGCAGTTGGTGGGGACGAGAGACAGGGCCTTCTTGATGGTGGCCCCTCAGCTTTGGAATGCCCTCCCTCTGGAGATTAGAACCGCACCCTCCCTCCTGACGTTCAGAAAATTAACAAAGACCTGGCTTTGGGACCTGTCCTTTGATAACTGAGTCAATGTGGGCTTATATGGAAGGAGCATGACTAACTGTGAACTACGACTAATGTTCTGACGACCTGGCTTATATATATCTGTGATGTTGATGATGTATATTGTAAACTGTTCATTGAAATATGTTTTTAATGTTTTTTGATAGTGCATTGTGTGTTGTAAATTTGTATTTGACACATGTTGTGAACCGAATCTGAGTCCCTCTCGAGGTGAGAAGATCAGTATAAAAAAAACCCTCTAAAAAAATAAAAAATAATAAAAATAATTCCTTGCATTGCTTACTGCCCAAAGGCTTGGTCCCATGCCAAGTTTTTACTTTTTTCTGAAGGCCAGGAGGGAGGGCGCTGATCTAATTTTGTTGGGGAGGGAGTTCCATAGTCAAGAGGCCACCACTGAGATGGCCTTGTCTCTCGTCCCCATCAGCCACACCTGCAAGGGTGGTGGGACTGAGAGCAGGGCCTCCCAGGACAATGTTAACCTCCGAGATGGTTCATAGAGAGGATATGTTCAGACACTTTGAATTATGTTCAGAAGCAGACTGGCAGCCTGTGGAGCTTACATTTTAAAAATGTGCTTGTTCCAACTTTCATACAAATTCAACTTAAGAACAAAATAGAACAGCGGTTCTCAATCTGGGGGTCGCGACCCCCAAGGGGGTCGTTTGGCCATTTTAGAGGGGTCGCGAGGCTACCTCCTTTAGCCCCGCCCCCTCGTCTTTGGCCCAACCCCCAAGGCTTTGTGCAAGGCCAAGCCTAGCGTGAAGGAGCCCTCACCTGGCTTACGCTCTTGCTGGCCAGCAAGAGCACGGGCCAGGCAAGGGCTCATTTGCGCGAGGCCTGATCTTGCACAAAGCCTGCCTCACCTGCTTTGCACTCTCTAAAATAATTTATGGTTGGGGAACACCACAACATGAGGAACCATATTTAGGGGTCACAGTGTTAGAAAGGTTGAGAACCACTGCTATAGAACTTCTCTTATTTGTAACTTGGGGACTGCCTGTATATAATAAGAAGAAGAACAAATATAATAACAACAAAAGTAGTAATAATAATAATGTGTTCACACACACACACACACACACACACACACCTTTTCCTCACAGCTCCAGGCAGGGTAAAGTATAGCTAAAAGGACTTCTGTTACACACCTACAGCACAGATTAAAACACTGCTATTAGTCCTCTAGTGTGTTTTCGAAACCCAGGGAGGCTGAGAAAAGTCCACTTTGTTCTCCTGGATTCAGGTATGAAGAAATTAACCCCGATACGGGGATCCTGGAGAGCAAGAGGGACCCTTCCCCCTTTGAGGACATCTATCCTGTCCACATCATCTTGGACCACAGTGAAGGCATCCAGGGCTCTTGCCGCTACTTCCATGAGAGGCTGGACATTACGGAGCAGGTCCGGACTAGCGACCTGCGGCCCTGCTGCACTTATGAAGAGGCCCATGAGAAGTGAGTGGGGCACCTTGGGGCCTTGGCCTTTTGTCACTTGTGGTGTGACTGTGATGAAGTCTCGGAGTCCGAACCAGCACTGAGACTTCCCTTGTGGCCCTTTAGGTGGGGAGAGCGGCTGGTGCTGGTGGCCTCCCAGGTGCTGCGGCAACGGACCCTGATTGGATGGGAGGGTGACCCGGACCTCAAACTCCCCGACTTCTCCTACTGCATTCTGGAGCGCCTCGGAAGAGCGAGATGGCAGGGGGAGCTCCAGAGGGACCTCAGCACCGCCTTCAAGTAAGAAGTCATGGTCAACAGGTAGCTCCTTGCTCTATTTATTGCCAGGGGAAGGAATGATAATAATAATAAGCGTGATGGCAGGGGAGCTCCAGAGGGACCTCAGCACCACTTTCAAATAAGAAGTCATGGTCAGTAGGTGGCTCTTTGCTCCATTTATTGTCAGAGGAAGGACATATTATTATTATTATTATTATTATTATTATTATTATTATTATAGTAATAACAACCTGCCTCTCCCTGAGGCTTGAGATGGGATACAACATAATTAAAATGAGATAAAACACTGTTAAAAGACATGCAGCAATCTACACAAAGTTAAAATATAAGTTAAAATCCATTGTTAAAGTGTAGATTGGAATTCACAACATGAAATTGTGAATATGAGTCCCTGTCTCCAGCCTGGAGAGGACTCTCTGCATGAGAGGCTGCTATTCTGTTGTCTTGTCCAGCTCTGGCATTTTGTGGCATTTTTATGCCACTGTGTTTGTGTTTGTTTCCACCTGAGATTTAATCAGTAAAGTTGGAAAATCTTTCTCTTTCTTCCTTTTCTTAACTCTTATATCTTTGCTTCCATTCACTCTACACCTGCTTCTCTATTTTTGTATTTTAGTTTAGATTTGCAAGAATTGATATCATAGAAGCCATTTTTGTATTAGGTCAATGAAGAAGACAATAACAAAATATGTTTAAAATATCCTTACTTTATATCCACTCTTTTACCCTTCCGCACTTCCCACGTTCTACTGATAGAATTATATTTCCAATCTTTTTTTTTAAGCCTTGATTGGCTCCCAGTTTGATGCCAGAGATGGAGATACAAAAAGCATTCTTTGACGCAATGTTTCTCAACCTTCCTAATACCGCGACCCCTTAATACAGTTCCTCATGTTGTGGTGACCCCCAACCATAAAATTATTTTGGTTACTACTTCATAACTGTAATTTTGCTACTATTATGAATTGTAATGTAAATATCTGACAGACAGTATGTATTTTCATTCACTGGACCAAATTTGGTACAAATACCTGATACGCCCAAATTTGAATACTGGTGGGGTTGTGAGGGGTTGAATTTGTTATTTGGGAGTTTCGGTTTCTGGACTTTATAGTTAACCTACAATCAAAGAGCATTCTGAACTCCACCAACAATGGAATTGAACCAAATTTAGCACACAGATCTACCAACAGAAAATACTGGAAGGGTTTGTGGGCATTGACCTTGCGTTTGGAAGTTGTGGTTGCTGGGATTTATAGCTCACCTACAATCAAAGAGAATTCAGAACCCCACCAACAATAGAATTGGGCCAAACTTTCCACACAGAACCCCCATAACCAACAGAAAATGCTGTGTTTTCTAGTGGTCTTTGGTGACCCCCTTGAGACCCTTCCCAGGGGTCCCAACCCCAGGTTGAGAAATGCTGCTTTAATGGCATGCGTAAGCTTCTCGATGGAGCTACTCTGGTTTTTAAATTTTCAAGGCCAGCTTAGCTTTTTAAGTCTGCTAAGATGAAAGCTACCCGTATGTCTTCACAGGGTGGATGCTGGGAAGCTTCACTACCACCGGAAGGTGCTGGACCGGAATGGTCTCATCTCCATGCAGTCGCACGTGATCCGGTTGCCGTCAGGGGGCCAGCAGTACTCCATCCTCCTTCTCCTGACCCGCTTCCATGTCGACAGGTATCTGCCCACATCAGGGAGGAGGGAAACTGGGCCCTTCCCTCCTTCAATGATTCCCTACAACACCCTTGGGTTTTAGGAGGAGCAAATACGACATCCTGATGGAGAAGCTCTCCAGCATGCTAAGCAGTCGACCAAGTCGAATGGAAACGCTGGGAAACATCAAGGAGGAGCTGGTGAGTGGTTGGTCTCTCTCCGGTTTTTCCCTCCACTGTCTTGGCACCTTGTGCTGCCTGCTCTCTGGACTCCGGAGGAAGTGTCTATTTCCCTGTGAGGGAAAGAGCTGCTTCATAAGGGCCTCAGGAGGGAACACTGGACAACGGTCTTCCCAGCAGGAGGCCCCAAGGCCTGGTCACAACCTTTGTTATTAGAGACCAAAAGAACAGCCCTGCCTGTTTCTCTCATTACAGGGTGTTTGTGAGAAGACCTCTAAGCGTCTCTGCCAGTACATGCTGAACGCTGGCTTGGGCAAGATCGTGTCTGTCCCCTTACAGGATGTCAGCCCAAATAAGGGCCCCTTCAAGACAAAGAAGGGTAAGAGAGTCCTGGATGAGTGTGTGGATTTTCACAGTGCCGTTTTCATTTGTTCATTCCTGAAACTGTCTGAGCTGTGAATTTGCTCTCAGGAACCGACGTCGTGGTCCGTTGCCTGAAGCTGGTGAAGGAGTTTCGGAAGAAGGTGGATGATTACCACGATGAGGAGGATGAAGAGCTGATCAATAAAAGTGTGCAGCCAGTGGACATTGTGTATGAGAGGGACATGCTGTCACAAGCGTACGAACTGAGTAGGTGATGCACTTGGGGGGGGGGGGGGGACTTCCCAAGGCATGCACTCCCCTGCCCTGACTACCTCTTTCTTGGTGAAGCCATTCCCTTTTGAGTTGCAAGCAGCTGGCCTTCCATGGCTACCTCTGGCCCTGAGAATCCAGGCTTCAATGTGTTGTCGAAGGCTTTCATGGCCAGAATCTCTGGGTTGCTGTGAGTTTTCCGGGCTGTATGGCCATTTTCCAGAAGCATTCTCTCCCATACATCAAGGGAACCATGGACTGCATAGGGAAGCTGATGAAGAAACACAACCTACAAATGATCTACAGACCCACCAAGAAAATGCTTCGTTCAGCAAAGGACAAGGGATCCTCTCACCTCTGCAGGAGTCTACCGTATGCCATGCAGCTGTGGACAAGTCTACAGAGGGACCATCAAACGCAGCAGCATTGCCCAAACACGAATCAAGGAACATGAAAGGCACTGCAGACTACTTCAGAGAAGTCAGCCATAGCAGAGCATCTGATGAACCAGCCTGGACACAGCATATTATTTGAGAACACAGAAATGCTGGACCACTCTCACAACCACCATGTCGACTACACAGAGAAGCCATTGAAATCCATAAGCATGTTGACAATTTCAACAGGAAGGAGGAAACCATGAAAATGAACAAAACCTCACTATCATTATTAGAAAACTCTAGAATCAGGGCAGTAAATAAAGAGCAGCACTCAGAAATCAGGGGAATTTCAGACAGGAACAATCAGGGGCAGCTAAAACCTCCCAACAAAGGATCCCCAGGCAGTAAGCATCCAGACTTTGAAGCTACAAGGCCATTCAATACTAATCAAGGTGGCCAATTGCAACATTCACACTTGTCTCAAACAGATAAGAGTTCTTTCTCCCACCCTGGACATTATTCTACAGATGTATAAACCTCACTTCCCTAGTTTCCAACAGACCTCACAATCTCTGAGGATGCCATAGTTGTAGGTGAAACCTCAGGAGAGAATGCTTGGAACATGGCCATACAGCCTGGAAAACTCACATCAACCCAATCCAGGCTTCTTCCCCTGCTCCCTTACTGAACCGTTCAGCCCTGGTGGTTGGTGCTTCCCTGTGTCTGGGGATGAGATGATTTTTTGCTAAGCAGTTAACCTGGATTTGGGGCACTGTGGGCTTCAGCTTTCTCTTCCTTCACCTCCTCCTCAGTTGAAAGCTGGGGGACCAAAGGCATTTCCCAGGCGGAACTTCGAGCGGCCATGAATGTGGGGCGGCTGGAAGCGAGGATGCTGTGCCGCCTCCTGGAGAGGTACAAGGTGATCAAGGTAAAGGCTGTCCTCTGCTGCCACAGCTCTGCTTTGTCCCTGCTTTCCTCGCAGGAAGGGTTCCATCCTGAGCCTCTTGGCAACCAACGTCCGCTTTGCTCCTTGCTCAGGGATTTATGGAGGATGAAGGCCGGCAGAGGACAACCAAGTACATCACCTGCGCATTTGCGGAGGAGAGCAACCTGAGCCGGCAGTTTGAGCGGGAGAAGGCCCGCAGCGAGCAGCTGAGCATGGCCAGCGCCTCTGCATCCCAGGAGGACTCCTTGCTGGGAGGAGAGCTTTCCCCAGTGGAGGAGGAAACACTTGTCTCTGAGGAAGAGGAAGAGGAAAGAGAAGGCGGGGGGACAAAGAGTTCTAGCCCTCGGCTGAGGCTGAGTTTCAACGTAGGAGAAAGCTTGGGCCACTCGTCACAACTGAAAGGTGCAGTATTGGTTCTGCAAAGAGAAGGGAGGTGAGGGGCATTGGGAGAAGAGCTTGCAGGAAGGCTTGAACGGCATAAATCCATCTCTACTGTGAACAGAGCCTTAGCCAAAGAGGTTGGCAGGGATTTGCAGTTCAGTTGTCTTTCTTCTGAAACCCAGGAGGTGCCAGTTTGGAGGCAGCTGTCTCCTTCAAGCCTCTCTGAATGTCCTAATAAGATTCCTGATCACTTGACAGATGCCGATTCCGCTCTGGAGACCCTTGGACAGGAAGCCTCTCTTTCAGACAGTGTGCTGGTTGAGGAGGACGTCGGCACCATCGCTGTGGTGGAGGAAGTCAGGCCGGAAACTCCCAAAGTAAGAAGAAAGCCCAGTCTGCCTGTGCTCTGCTGGTGCCTTTGGTAGGGTATCCAGGGAGGTCAAGACTGTGCAATGACCCTACAGGTGCCTTTGGTAGGGCATTCAGGGAGGGCAAGGCTGTGCAATGAGTTGGAACACAGGAAAGTTTGGAATGGCTTCCTTCCTGGAGGAGAGCGGGCAACTGGTCAGTGAAAGCCACAGGACTGTGGCAAAGGGAGCTCAAGGGTCTGCCATGCCTTGTGGCTTTGATATTGGACTCCAGGGTTCAATTGCCATTCAGACATAGAAACCCACTGGGGGAGTATGGCAGGTCCCACTCTCTCAGCGTCAGACAGCAGTGGCCAATCTACATCAGCTAGATCTTGTCCAGAACCCTGAAGAGAGAATCACTATGAATGGAAGGCACATAACACCAAAACGTGGGGGGTCAGGTGGAGAGGGCTTTTGTGTTCCTGTGGACATCCACCTGGGACCTTCCATCGTCTTGCCCAGAGCCTACTCCTTGCTTTCTGAGGGTTCACTTGCTGTTTCCCACTCTGCTTAACCAGCCTTTTCTGTCCCTCGGCCAGAAGGGCAGTGATGAGAAGAAGAAAGTCAAGCGCTCACGGACCATGGCGGCAGAGCGGTCACATGAGACCTACCGCTTGCTGAAACGGAGGAACCTCATCATAGAGGCCGTCCGGAACCTTCGCCTCATTGAGAGCTTTTTTGCGTAAGTCTGGGGCGGGTTGGGGAGCGGGAATAGGGGACAGGATTATTCAATCTGCCCCAGTCTTATCTCTCGAAGAAAGGCAGATTTCTGTGAGGATGAACATGGCTTCTTGGTTTGTTTGTCTACCAATCCCTTTGTGTCACATCCGCCTTCAACCTGCACATTTGTGCTGGAAAATTATTTGTTTGTTTATTTATTGACAACGTTTATATCCTGCCCTTCTCACCCTGAAGGGGACTCAGGGCGGCTTACATAATTTGCATTATTCCATGCCCAAATAACAATTAAAAGCAAACAACAATTTAAAAAAATTAAAACAACATATATAATGAGGAGTGGCTTGTGCTCATCACAATGGCATGAGATCCCCCCTTCCTACTCTCTTTCTCTTCTGGCAAGAAATGCTGTCACTGCTGAGAGGTTCCTCTGGCGGTCTCTCTTCCTCCAGGCTCCAGAAAATGATCATGGATCAGGAGAAGCAGGAAGGAGTCTTGACCCGGTGCTGCAAGAAGTCCATTGTCCGCCTGGTGCAGAAGCTCTCCCAGGAAGGCCTCCTGCGCCTCTACCGCACCACCGTGATCCAGGACGGCATCAGCAAAAAGGTACCTGGCTCTTTGTCCGAAGAATGTGGGTCCACGCTCCCCCCGTGATCCAGCCGAGAGCCTGGGAAAGCATGAACTGGGAGGGCCTCTCTTCTGGTAAAGGCATGGGAGATGATGTTGGGCGAGTGGACTTATTAACAAAAGACCCTCCCCATAAATGTACAGCAGAGTAACTTATTAGCGGCAGCTTGAGCCAGCACCGGTAGCCAAAAGTGATAAAAAGAACAAAAACACACAGACCAACGTTATCTATTCCAAAGGAGGCTTTTCTTTGTAGTAAAATAATATTGTTGCACTATTTACAAGAATTAGGTTGCCATAACACAAATAAACAAATACATAGTAGGTTTACACACAGTAGCCTTTATACACTGGAGCTTTACACACGAGGCCTCTCTCAAACCAGGTTTTTTTCATTTCAGGCTTTCCTCATACTTGATATTTGATTGTGATTATATTGTTGTAATTGAGATGTAGCGGCCTTAAGCCGTCCTGAGTCCCCCTTCGGGGGTAGAGAAGAAATGGGGTACAAATACCATAAACAAACAAACAAACAAACAAACAAATAAATAAATAACAGTGAGGCCTACCTCATAGAGAAGCCTCCTCACACTGACTGAGAAGTTCCCTCACTGAGGCAAATCAGTACTAACAGGCTTCAGCCTACTCACTCTCCTCAGGATGACATCGGCTTTGACCCACTGACTCTTAACAGGCTTTGGCCTACTAGCTCTTTTGGTGCTTGATTCACATTTTTGTAATTACAAATACCTAGTTAATTTTTAATATTTCTGACAGATGGCCCCAGCATCTTTGTCCCCAGTGTCTTTGTCCCCAGTGGGGCTGCCATTTTCTTCACCCGCAACTTGCTTTACAGGTTGAGTTTGTGGTGGACCCCTCCGTGAACCCTAGCGACCCCCTGGTGAAAAGTGCCATTGAGCAAGTGCGCTTCCGCATCTCCAACTCGAGTACTCTGAACAGGCAGGTTACAGAAGGAAGGCCTGGGAGAGCAGAAGGGGGCTGCACAGAGTGGGGGGGGGGGGGGGGGGGGGGGGGTAGAAGAACAGCCTGGGTGATTGTGGTGAGAAGAAGCTCCCTGTGAAGCAGGATGGGCCAAGGGGGTCTGCAGGGCACTCTCCTCCTGTTCCCTGGAAGCCCCAGCTTCCCTTCTTGAGGTCTCCTTGGTGGAAGGGGGCTTGTGTTTCCCTCCTCTAACCATCCAAAGCATGATTGGTGAGGCTTCCTCCCCTCCTGAGTTCCATCTTCCACAGAAGACTCCAGGGAAAAGTGGGAGGTGGCCAGTAGGAGCCGTGGTCTGGCAGGTGTCCAAGCAGGGAGCCCCTCGGAAGGGTTGGGCTGGGCCTGCTGGACAAGCCCCTGGAACTGGAGTGTGATCTGCCTCTCCTTTCCTGATGGCAGGACTAAACCCCCGCAGACCCACACGCCTCCGGACTGCCTTGGAGAAGGAAGCCAGGAGGCTGGCACTGGGGACGCCTTGAAAGAGATGGAGGGCCGTTCATCTCCGTGCAAGTCCGGGGAGAAGGCGCAGATCGCAAAGTTCAGCTACCACCCCGAGATAGGTACAGTCAGGGCCTTCTCTGGCTCTCTCTCTATGGGGCTGGGTGACAAGGGCCTTTCCTGACGCTGGCCTCCGCTTGCCTCCAGTGCCAGGCCTGGGCCGCTCCCTGGGCTTCTTGCCCAAAATGCCCCGCTTAAAGATGATCCACATCTTCCTATGGTACCTCGTCTATGGACATCCCTTGCACCACCTTCGGGACACGAGTGGCAGCAAGGAGCCCGGCACAAGTGCTGAATCCCCACCTGGGCAGAAGGAGCACCAAATGAAAGGCCTGGAAAGACCCGCTGAGGGTTCGGCCCTGGAAGTGGAGGTGGAGCTTGGAGAACAGGCCGGTAAGGACCCAGTATGATGTGTGTGTGGAGGGGACTGGAATGGGAATGCCACCATATGCTCCGTGGAAGCCCATTTCAGCAGTTCAGAGCAGGATTGCGGACGCCTCCTGATGCACCCCAGAGCAAAGGATGCATTGGGGAAAGCATGCAGCGTGCACACATAGACACAGACAAACACAGCCGGTTGGGACTCTGAGGTCACTTCTCCTCCCTGTTTCCTCACAGTATATGTGGACAACGCCTCCTGGATGCGCTACATCCCTCCCTTGCCGTTCCACAGGGAGTTTGGCCATGGATGGGCTCTGGTCAGTGACATCCTCCTCTGCTTGCCACTCTCTCTCTTTGTCCAGATGATGCAAGTCAGCTACAAGGTGAGGGGCCTTCGCTCTGTGGGAGTCTGGCTCTGGAGGGGCCTCTTTGGGGCTGGTAACAAGTGGTCCCCCGGTTGTGTCTACGTTAACATCTGAGAGCAGGAGGCAAAGATCCTTCTCCCCCAGAGACCCTGCTGGTCAACATATTTCTACTCTTAGGTTTTCTGACAATGCAAGTAACTGTTGTAGTTGCTCAGTTGCCATTCCTGAGTCATGAAAATATAACTGTGTAAAAATGGCTTCTAGGTGGATGGCCTGGAGGATTATTTAAATGACGTTTTGAAGAAACACACTCTGATCAGATACCTCCCAAGATCCATCCGACAGAAACTCCTGTACAAGAGGTGAATTATAGCTCATATTTTTGGGTGGGGTTTAATTTGAGGGGAGAAGGAGTTGGGGGTGGATGAGTACTGATTGTGGATGCTCTTAAACATAGGCATTTTTTCGCACTTTGTTGTACTCACTCGAGGCCACAATGTCAGTTGTCAGACTTCCGAGGACTGTTGGGTGGGGTGAGTTGGGCAGGATTTTAAGAACTGAGGATAGAAGTTTTACTATGACCAAAAAAACAACCGAACGATGATGGCTGACTCAGCAATGGTGTTGACACCAGACTTCCTTCTTGCCCCTCTCCAGGAGATACATCTTCTGCATTGTGGAATGCCTGCAGCGGCTGTGTTACATGGGGCTGGTACAGTTTGGCCCCACAGAGAAATTCCAAGAAAAGGACCAGGTGATTTATTTCTGAGGCAGCGAGGTGCAGGGACCATTGGGGTCAGATGCTCTGCCTTGAAACCTAGGGAGCGGCCTTGGGCAAGAAGTCACACACTCTCAGCCTCAGGAAGGCACTGGCTGGTGAACCACATCTCTGTATACGAACCCCCACGATCCCTTCGATCATCTGGAGAGGCCCTGCTCTCGATCCCACCAGCCTCGCAGGCACGATTGGTGGGGACGAGAGAGGGGGCCTTTTCGGTGTTGGCCCCTCGACTCTGGAACTCTCTCCCTAAAGATATCAAACAGGCCCCAACTCTGGCAGTCTTTAGGAGGAGTTTGAAGATGTGGTTGTTCCAGTGTGCCTTCCCGGAATAATGATCCCATAGCACTTTGTCCTCCAAGCACTTTATATTTTTAGGTCTGCTCGTATGCCCTAACACAAACGCCACTATCACCTTTTCGTCCATGTCCCAGCATTATTCCCCATTTTAACTTTACATTTGGCCTTCCCACTGTTTTTAATTGTGTGTTGTCTTATTGCTAATGTTGTATATTTTATTGTCTATGTTAATTTAATTGCTTGTACTGTTGTTGTTACTATTATTGCTTGTACTGTTGTATTTGGGCTCGGCCTCATGTAAGCTGCACCGAGACCCTTGGGGAGATGGTAGTGGGGTATAAATAAAGTGTTATTATTATTATTTATTATCTTGCCATGAAAACCCCAATATGGAACAAACCACCCCAAAGTTTAAGACAGAGGTGGCAGGAAAGAATGCAGAGGGCTCCCTAAGAGCTGTCAACTGTCCCTGGGGCAGATCCCTGACCTGGGCCTTGTGGGTTCCTCTGCAGGTGTTTGTCTACCTGAAGAAGAAGGCCTCCATTGTGGACACCACTGTCTGTGAACCCCACTACAACTTGGCCCAAAGCAGCCGCCCTTTCGACAGGCGCCTCTACGTCCTGAACTCCCTGCACGATGTGGAGAACTTCTGGTTCGACTTGCAGTGCGTCTGCCTCAACACCCCACTAGGTATCCGTCTTGCCGCTGTCCCTCAGCCTCCAAGCCCCACTGCTCTCTGGGTCCCCACCGCTCTCTGGGTCCCCACCAGGGCCACTTGGAGCATTCTGTGGCTTTTCTGGTTACTCTCCTAACCTTTGACGGGGTCCTCTTGCTTCCTTCAGGAATCGTTCGCCACCCGCGGGTCAAGCGGAGCGGGACCCAAACCGAGGAGGCTGGCACCGTCCTGGATGCAGCCCTGGAGCAAGAGTCGGCTGCCCATAAGCACAACCTGGAGCGCAAGTGCGCCATGCTGGAGTACTCCACGTGCGTCTCACCCGAGGTTCAAATTGGGATGCTTCTCAGGGAAAGAGGAAAATGTCAGAAATATTAAAATTAACTGGGTATTTTTGATTACAAAAGTGTGAGTGAAGCACTGAAAGAGTTAGTGGGCCAAAGGTAGTGCCGTCCTGAGAGTGAGTAGGCCGAAGCCTGTTAGAGTTAGTGGGCCAAAAGTAGTGCCGTCCTGAGGAGAGTGAGTAGGCCAAAGCTTGTTAGAGTTAGTGGGCCAAAGGTAGTGCGGTCCCGAGGAGAGTGAGTAGGCCAAAGCCTGTTAGAGTTAGTGGGCCAAAGGTAGTGCCGTCCTGAAGAGAGTGAGTAGGCCAAAGCCTGTTAGAGTTAGTGTACCAAAGGTAGTGCTGTCCTGAGGAGAGTGAGTAGGCCAAAGCCTGTTGGAGTTAGTGGGCCAAAGGTAGTGCCGTCCTGAAGAGAGTGAGTAGGCCAAAGCCTGTTAGAGTTAGTGAACCAAAGGTAGTGCCGTCCTGAGGAGAGTGAGTAGGCCGAAGCCTGTTGGAGTTAGTGGGCCAAAGCTGGTGTTGTCCTGAGGAGAGTGAGTAGGCCAAAGCCTGTTGGAGTTAGTGGGCCAAAGCTGGTGTTGTCCTGAGGAGTGTGAGGTAAACCTCTGTCTGAGAGAAGCCTCTCTGTGTGAGAGATCACCTCAGTGGAAGAATAGGCCTCATTGTTAGTAGGCCTGATTGTGAGGTAGGCCTCAGTCTATGAGATGGCAGAGTATGACGAAGGCCTGATGTGAGAAGCTTCGGTTTAAGGTTGAAGGCCTCATGTGTAAAGCCTTATGTGTAAAGCTCCAGTATAAAGGCTGCTGTGTGTAGAAAAGCTACTGTGTGAAGCTCCAGTATAGGTTAGTTGTGTTTATCTGCATGAGGAAGAAACCCAGCATGGAAGCAAAGAAGGAAGTATAAAGGACTTTATTTGTGTTGTGGAAACCTTGTTATTGTAAATAACAGGTCTTCCTCGCCCACTCCGCTCTCCTCCCCTATAATGGGTTATGCCCCACTTCCAGGTCTTTCAGAGCAGGGTTGTAGGGCCAGCAGTCTGACTCCTCCTTGCTTCCCATGAGAGAAGCGAAGCCCTGCTGGAGGCTTCTGTTGTGGAATTCATGTGTGTGTCGCTCTGAAAGGAGCTGCTTCCCTGACTGTGGTCTTCTCCTTCCGCTTCTCCCCAGAGGAAGCCGAGAAGCGCAGGACGATGGGTCGATCCCTGGAGATGGGCTGGGAGCAGGAGGGCTGGATTCCAGCTTTTACAGCCACTTGAAACGCAATTGGATCTGGACAAGTTACATCATTAAGACAAAAAAGGTGAGTTCTTCCGCCGCACCTTCATTAAGGGATCATTGTTTTTGAAGCCTACTTTGCAGTCCTTCCCTTCCTCCCTCCCGCTCACTATGCTTCTGCTTCCTTGCCAGGAGAACATGGCATCTGAAGTGGGGCACACAGTCCGGCTTCAGACCTTCCTGACCAAACGCTCCCTGCCACTGGCCGCAAGAGGTGAGAAGGCGCAGTGTGTGTGTGGGGGGGTGTCCTATGGGCTGTGTTCCTTCCCTTTGCAGGAGGTCTCATCCAGACTTTTCCCGGTGCCTCTCAGGGGAAAATGGCGCTTCCTGGGGAGCTGCTCTGGCTGGTGCAGACCCTGCTGTGCAGAAGGAGGACCTGGAGGTCGGAAAGGAGGCAGCCTTGAACCGGAACAAGAGGGTGAGGGGCGGGAAGAGCCAGAAGAGACGACGGCCGAAGAAGAATGTGGTGAAGAAGGCCAAAAAGAAGAAGAGAAAGAAGGGTGAGGGCATCCACTGGGGCAACTGGGATGGGCAGCAGGATTGTTTGAGATGCATTTTAAAAGGGCAAAACTTCCCCTCAGGCCGAGAGAGTATAATTTGCTCAAGACAACTGTTGGCGGAATGGACTTATTAACAAAGACCCTCCCCATGAATGTACAACAGAGTAACTTAGCAGCAGCGTGGCCCAGCACCAGTTACCCAAAGTGATAGAAAGAACAAAAATACACAGACCAATATTATCTCTTCCATAGGAGGCTTTTCTTCAAAATACAATAATATGGTTGCACTATGTACAACAACAAGGTTTAAGTAACGCAAATAAACAAATACACAGTAGCTTTACACACAGCAGCCTTCATACACTGGAGCTTTTTCGCATGAGGCTTCTCTCACACAGAGGTTTACCTCGAACTGCTGAGGACAACATTAGCTTTGGTCCACTAACTCTTAACAGGCTTCGGCCTACTAACTCTTTCAGTGCTTGACTCACACTTTTGTAATCAAAATTACCCAGTTAATTTTTAATATTTCTGACAAACAACCATTTTAGAATGTATGTGCCATTAAAAATATATATACCTGAGCAGTGCCAGGTACTTAAGCTACTAGCTGGTATATAAAAGCCACCATCAGAAAATCCTTAGATATAATACAACAGAGCAAAGGGAACCAGAAAGTTAAAGAGTGGAATAACATGGAACACCCTCCAGAAATATAAAGTTTTTTCCCTAGACCGGAAATACCCTGAGTGGCTTCCTAATGTGACCACTCCATAACTGGGAATCCACTGGGTAAAACGGCCCCTCCTGAGCCTCTCCTGACCATCTGCCCTTCTCTTTCTTGAACACAGTCACCCTTTTTTCTGTTGGGCCCTTGCACAAGGTGTTGGGCTCTTGGTGGCCAGAACACCCTTCGCCTTGGGACCAGATGGGAGGGACTTGGGTTCCCAGTCCACCCTGCAGTCCCTCCAAAGCCCCATTTCTCTGATCCAAAAACAACACCCATATGACACAGAACCCACAAACAATGTGTTGGCAATTCAGTTGGTTGGCTGGACAGTCACTTTCTCTCTGTCTCTCTCTTTCGCTCTCTCTGTTGCCGGCCCTTCCCCAGATGGGGGCTCTGCAGAGAAGAGCAAGAAGCTGCGCTACCATGATGAAGCGGACCAGAGCGCCTTGCAGCGGATGACCCGTCTGAGGGTCACTTGGACTGTCCAGGAAGACAGCCTTCTGATGCTTTGCCGGATTGCCAGCAACGTCCTCAATGCAAAGGTGAGCCAGGGGAGGGGGGGGGGGGGCTGCTTTGTGCCTGGAAGCAAAGGGAGTGGCTCGTTGGTGGCCTAGAGACTGACTGGGGCTTCCATTGCAGGTGAAGGGGCCGTTCGTCCCGTGGCAGGTGGTCAGGGACATCATGCATAGCAGCTTTGAGGAGTCCTTGGACAAGACCTCTCATTCCGTGGGGCGCAGGGCGCGCTACATTGTCAAGAATCCCCAAACCTACCTCAACTACAAGTGAGAGACCTCCCTCCCTTGCGATGCCATCCTGTGGAGTCGGGAGCATTGTTCCCGAGGTCCCTGCCTTTCCCTGGTCCTTTCCCTCCTCTGGGTTTCCCTTCCAGGCACAGAGCCCTGGCTCCCTGAGCGGCACGTGGGTGGGTTAATGCTCCCTGGGAGGAAGCTGGTTCTCAGGCCTATCCTTTTCCCAGGGTCTGCCTGGCAGAGGTCTACCAAGACAGGGCTCTGATTGAGGACTTCATGAGCAGGAAGAACAACTACCAGAACACCAAGGTCAGGGTGTCCCCTGCTCCCCTCCCCCACTTTCCCTCTATGCATTTTGCCTTTGAGGAGGGCATCACGGGAAGGTGGAGTAACCCTTGCTGGTGGCCAAAAGTGGGTTCTGGTCAGGAAGTGGCCTGCTCCTCTTTTGTGTCAAAAGGTTTGCTCAGAAGAGTTCAAGGAGTTTGTGGAGCGGCTGAAGGAGAAGTTCAGCTCCGCGCTGGGCAACCCCCGGCCGGTCATCCCAGATACCCTCCAGGAGCTTTTCTGCAGGTAACTCTGCCTCCCTCCCATCAACACCATTGTTCTTTGGCTGTGCTTCCTGAGAATCCCTCCTTGGGCTTCTGAGGGGGAGTTTCAGAAAGGCCTGTGGGGACAGACACTGGGGGTCGTAGGTGCAGAGCAACTGCCCTCTGGCTTGTAGGACGATAGCCGAGCCTTTTGATGACCAGAAACTGGTCATTTGTGTGTCCCTTTCCCTCCTCTGTCCACACCCAGGTTCCGTGTCCTGGCCATTGGAGATGAGACAAGCCAAAGCAAGAAGGACGATGTCCTGAGCAGGTAAGGCCAAGAACAACAACAACAGCAACACCAACAACAAAAACTTTATTTTTATACCCCACCACCATTTCCCTGAAAGGACTCAGGGCGGCTTACATGCAGGACCAAGCCCAGAGGAAACAACAAAGTTTTAAGAACTAAAACACAGTTAAAACAAAATAACATAAAACAATCTAATTAAACAATTAAAAACAGCAAGGTATAAAAACATCATTAAAATGTATCAAAAGCAACCTTAACAACGAATAACCAGGGATATGATGGGCATGATCAGAATTAGAAAGGGCTGAGCATAGACTTGTGCAAAGAGCAGTGTATGGGGCCAGGGCTGGGGGTAAAGTACTAAGTACAATCTATTGATCAATTAGGGCTGGACATACATGAAAACAGGCCTAACCATCATCCAATGCACACTGGAACATCCAGGTTTTCAGGTTGTTCTGAAAGGTGTGTGGGGTGGGGTGAAACTATTATGCAATGAAATATTTTATTTGTCTGCCAAAGAAAAGAGATCTGCTGTGTGTATTTGTTCCTCTGTGTCCCAACAATATACTTAATACACATGTGGTATTGTATTATGCCTCCGGCAGAAGGTGGACAGAGTGGGGGCTAGCCTAATGTCCCTCAGGAGGGAGTTCCAGAGCTGGGGGACCACCACCAAGAAGCCTCCCCTCTCTCATCCCCACCAACAGTGCTTATGACAGTGGTGGAAGCGAGAGGAAGGCCTCCCCGGAAGGTCTTAGAGCCCACGCCAGTTCATAGGGGGAAATGTGGTTGCGAAGATAGCCAGGGCCCTAGCAGGCTTTCCATCCGTTTCTTTGCTGTTCCTTTGGTGTGGACCTGGGGGCCTGGCCTGCCTGCCCGCCTGTTGGTGCCCTGCCTGCTTCAGGGAAGCATTTTTGATGAAGTTTAAATGAAGCTGAAGAAAAATCCAGCAGCTGACCAGGTTTGCCCTCTTCCTGCAGCATCAATGACATTCACTTCCTGGTGCTCCAGAACCTGATCCAGAGCACCTTGGCCCTCTCCGACAACCAGATGAAGTCCTTCCAGTCCTTCCAGGTAAGTGCCAGCCTCTCTGGAGCCCGTATGGTCTTCTCTCACTTGTGGACAGAAGACATCCCCAGGAGGAACCTAGAAGGGCCTCTGAGAGGCTGGGAAGCAGGCATAGATATAGGCTCTCCTCAGGCGGGGCATTTACCATTCCTCTGAACCTGGTGTGGCAAAGGGCCCTGGCTCTAGGGGAGGTCTCCTGAGTCCCAAAGTGGGGGAGGGAGGGAGGCAAGGGTCTGTCAGAACTGAGGTGTAGCTGGTTGTGCTTGCAGACCTTCCGCCTCTACCGGGAGTATCAGGACGAGGCTCTGGTGAAGGCCTTCCTGGAGTGCCAGAAGAGGAGCCTGGTGAACCGCCGGAGGGGCAACCACAGCCTGGGGCCCAAGAAGAATCGAGCCCTTCCCTTTGTGCCCATGTCCTACCAGCTCTCTCAGAGCTATTACAGGTCTGCACAACGCTTCCCTCCCTCCCTCCCCCTGCTTGATGCAGAAGGTGGCACCTCTGCACAGCTTTTGGGTGGAGAGGCAGCCAATATCCCCAGTAATCACCCCCGCCCCATGCTGTGTCCCTCCCAGCAGAGCGAAGAGCAATGGGTCATTTTCTATTCTTCCTGGCAGGGTCTTCACCTGGCGCTTCCCTACCACTTTGTACAGTGAGGCCTACCAGTTCCTCTTGAAGCTCAAGGAGGCGGGGAAGGGGGACCAGGCCTCCAGCTTTTCCTTCAAGGACCAGGATGCCCCTTCTGCCCCCGAAATGGTGACTTTCCCCGTGGACGGCCCCGGAGGTTGCTGCGCAGCCATCCTGGCCCTTTTCTGCCTGGGCCTGGTCTCTGTGGAGGTCACCATCCCGGAGCAGATTGTGGTGGTGGACAGCACCATGGTGGAGAACGAGGTCGTGAAGAGGTCAGGGCCAAAAACATGGGGAGGGGAGGGGAGGGGAGGGGGAGAGCAGGGCTTCCTTAATTGCAGACCTTTCCTGCCAGGTGAGGAGGTCAAGCCGGGGGTGTCTCAAAGTGATCTACCTGGGCCTTTCTTGAGGGCCACTGCTCCTTCTTCTCCTTTCCTGCTCCTTGCAGCCTGGGGAAAGAGGGCCTGGAGGAGGAAGAGGAGGAGGAGGAGGAGGAAGAGGAAGACGACGCAGAGGAGGGAGGTGGGTCTAGCAAGCACCAGATTGAGGTGAAGGCGCACCAGGCCTCGCACACCAACTACCTGCTGATGCGCGGCTACTATGCCCCAGGGATCGTCAGCACCAGGAACTTGAGCCCCACCGACAACATTGTGGTCAACTCCTGCCAAGTAAAAGTCAAGCTGCGGGAGACCCCAGCCCCAGGCAGCCTCATTGGCCAAGGTCAGTCGTTTGGGAAGGACAGCCAAATGGGGAAAGGGGGTCCTCTCAGTCAGCCCCTTGGCTGACCTTTGGGGCAGGTCACCTTCAGATGGACAGTGGGCTTCCTTGTGTGGCCCCTTGGCTGACGATAATTTATTTTCAGAGCTGCTGGACCTGGAACGCATGCCAGTGGGGGCCACCTGCCTGCCCCCCTCATTCACCAGGAGGTTCACTGCCCAGGAAGCAGGAGGAGGAGACCTGGCTGCCCTCCCGCAGGCCCTGGAGGGCCTCTCCTATGGCCCTGGGGATGTTAGGGCTGCCCTGGAGGTCTTCCACGAGGTAGAGGCTGCCTCCCACTTTGGGGTCCGCAAGGCAGACCTGGCCAGGAGGTTCCAGACTTATGAAGAGCCCAGTGCGGAACGGACCCTGCTCTTGCCCCAGTACCTTAAGGTTCGTTGGTTGCTCCATGAAGGGAAGGAGATAAGCGGAAAGGGCAAGCCCTCGTTGGTGGGTCTGTAGGTTTAGGAGAAGCTTGTGTTCCCAGGACGTTTGCCTTCAAAGCCCTCCTTGTGAGTGTTTGTGTGTCTTTCTTTCTCTTCAACCTTCAGGACCTCCTAGATCTGGAGCAGGTGCTGGAAGTGGGGGGCAGCTCCCCCCGCCTGGTGGCCAGGAGATTTGCTGACCCTTGGCTCTTGCACTCGGTGTACCTCAGAGAGGAGGAGCAGGAGGAAGAAGAGAGGGAGGGCCCAAGCCAACGGGGAAAGGATCTGGATCCGCCCCAGGAAGGGAGTGTGCCCACCAGTATCAGGGAGGAGGAGCGGGAGGGGCTCAAAAGGGCTGCCCCTTCCCCTCCTGCAGCAGAGGAGGGGGCAGGAAGTAAGAGGCCAAAGGTGGAAGCAGGGACAGAAGAGGAGAGCGAGGCTGCAGCCACAGAACTCCATTTGGAAGAGCCTCCGCAGGCCAGTGGGGCAGGGGCCCTTGGAGAGTCAGGGGCCACCAAGGACAGCAGCTGCACTAGTGCCGTGGGAGAGGAGATCCGTTCTAGTGAGGAAGAGAAGCTGCCCCCGAGTGGCACAGGCTGCAAGGAGTCCAACCCAGGTCCATGTGGAGCTCATCAGGCCCAACGGGATCCCAGCTCTGGACCTTTTAGCGGTAAGGCCCTGGAAAGGTATGGCAGCCTGTCTCTCCTGAAGAGTCAAAGCCCATCTTCTTGAGAATGGAGAAGTAGGGACGGTGGAAGGTCTGGCCAAGGGCCCCAAACAAAGCAGCCTTGGGGAAGGGAACCCTGCAGCCCTGATGCCATCCCCGCTGAGGGCCTTCTGCACTCCTCTGCCTTGCTTGTCATTGTACAGCTGTTCAAGGTGGCACTGCCTCTGGTCAGCTGGAGCGGCCTAGCTCACCATTGGTGGCTGAGATTGACACAGTGCCCAGCCAATGAGGGGAGGGGAGAGGCAGTGTTGTGTTTTTATTATCTGGATGCTCATTTGATTTCTCCTTCTTCCTGGAATATTCTGCAGGGAAGGGAGGCCCAGCTGAGCAGGGAAGGTAAGTGAGCAACAACATTATGGGCCCTGCCTTGCCCTGAGCAGAGTGGGCCCAGCAGGAAGGAGGGAGGGTCCAATCCCCACAAAGGCTCCAGGTAGCCATCCAAACAAGCCATTTTGTTTGTCACGGAAAGTGTTTATTAAAAAGCATGGATTCATAATGAAGTAGAATAGTGTACAAACACGTGAGATCATTTTGTCAGGAGGTGGACACACACACACGACTCCCATCATTGAGAGATTCCTGCTGCTTGTGTGGAGGTTGCTTGGGGTCTTTATGAGGTGCACAGGAGGGGCCCTTTGATGGAGCAATGCAGCCTGTTTGTGGTTTTTAATTTCACTGCCCTCAGGTACTTACTCTGGCACTAGTGGGAAATCTGGGGAGCCTAGAGGGATGGAGGACACTTGCTTCTATGGGAGGGAGGGAAGCCCGGCTGGGATCCCCCCACTTTGATTACTGTTCTCTCTCTTCTTAGGGCTAGGCAAAGGGTCTCCTTCATGGGGCGCCCATGGCGCACGGTGGACGGGAGCCTGAACCGTCCAGTCTGCAAGGGCATCATGGAGGGGGTGCTGGGCCACATCCTCACTCGGCCTGGGATCACTGAGGCAGCTTTGCGGCACCACTACCTAGGCGTCCTGCAGCCCCTGGCCCTCCGGGAGATCCTGCAGGTGTGTCCGGCCCTCCATCCAGTCCCTCGGCTCCCCTTTCACCTTTCACCGCTGCCTCTTTCCACTCAGATCGTGGGGAGTGGGTGGCTCGTTTTTAGTTTCTGGGTGTTACTGTTGCTTAAGAGCTCCCAGCAGAGAGAGTATTATCTGAGACCTTTAAGGAACCAACAATTTTGATATGTTTGATATGTTTCAATGGTTTGAAAGACTATTTAATTTATATGTATATATTTTTACAGTTTTATAATATTGTGTTTTACTGTTATGTTATTGTCTGAATCGGGCATTGAATTATTGCGATAATTTGTAAGCTGCCCTGGGTCCCCCTCTGGGAGTGAGAAGGGTGGGGTATAAGTACAGTAAGTAAGCAAATAAATAAATAAATAAATAAGGTTTGCTTATTGCAGTGGCAGATAGGGTGCTCCAGAGGGTTACTTACCATGACTGTCCAGAGAATTATTGGTTGCCTTCTCCCCTCTTTGAAAGAACTTTATAATGCCTGCTGCCTTTAAAAAGCTCAAAACATTATTAAGGATCCATCTAACCCTAGATATTATTCTCTCTTTTTGAATTATTACCATCTGGCAGATGGGATATGATGATAAAAACAAGGGAAAATAGGCTGAGAGAGAGCTTTTATCCTGGAGCTGAGACTATATTGGACTCCATGGTTTTATGCTGATATGTGGCATTAGGGGCTATGCAATAGTGATTAAAATGTGTAAGGAAGGATGTTTTGTAATTCTACATATATAATGAGCATTGGGCTGGTATTTAATTTCGTTGTACAATGTACAATGACAATAAAGTTATTCCTATTCTATTCAAGACCCCCAAAATAGCTTTCTCCCTCCTCTCTCCCTCTCTCTGCAGGGCCTGGAGTCACTGGGCTGCATCCGGAGGCGCTGCCTGGCCCCCCAGCGCCCTGTCTCCCTCTTCTCGGCCCCTGCCCCAGAGGAGGAGAATCCCCCGTGGGCTCCCCGCAAGCTGAGCCAGGAGGAGGAAGAGGCCCCCTTTTATGAACCCTGCCTGGAGGCCGCCCTCAAGATGGGGAGAGTCTTCCCCTACGAGACCAACTGGAACAAGTGGGGCTCGGCTGGGGGCCCCTGATCCCTTGGAGGCCCCACCTATTTTGTAAATAAAGCAAGAGTGTCTCTTTTACACAGTCCCTTCTCCTATAATGTTGCTGTGGCGTCAAGTGTGAATGACCTTCATTGCAAGGAGCTGTTAACAGGCCCGTAGCCAGGATTTCGTTTCGGGGGGGGGCTAAATTTTTTTGGGGGGGGTTTGGGGGGGGCTGAGTTTCGGGGGGGGCTGAGTCTGAGTGAAAGAGGGTCTAGCCTAGCAAACCTTTTGTATTATTACCCCAATACCCCCATGCATATGGGATATATTGAGTATGGTGATCAGATCATGATATGAATAAACATAACAGTTTAAATAATGCACCAGTAAGGCCTTTTCGCGAACCACCATGAGAATTTCGGGGGGGGGGGCTGAAGCCCCCCAAACCCCCCCCCCCCCCGGCTACATGCCTGGCTGTTAACATTATGGCCATGAAATGATATGGCTACCTGCCTGTTATTATCCCATGCAAAGGTGGGAAAAAGTACAGAACGTGATTTTGGATGCAAAGCTAAGATTCCTGAGAATCTTAACCATGTGATACATCACAGTTTTATGAATGTCATGCATGGGTATGACAAATATGTTTGGAAATATTCATCAAGTTGTATAGTGTATTTGGTGACAAGTGTAGGTTTGTAGTCAGGTAATTTGTGGAAAGGCTATTAGTTTCTTTTTTTTGAATAAGGTTAACTGCCAATGTAGTGATACCCATCATTTTTTGGACCTATTAAGTTGAGGTGGCTGTCGTGTGTATGTGGAGAAAACATACATTTTACCAGCTTCATAGATATCTTAAGCAATTACCAGTATTTGCCTCCATGGAACTGGGAAATTGATGCCTCTGTTCAATGTTTTGTCTTATGTCTGATAGAACAAGTTGCGTTTTTTAAAATTTAACTTTAGTTGTTAAAGTCATGATTTGTTTTTATATGTTGGATTGCCAAATTTCATTACTATGGGTGTATTGTTGTTGTGTTTGGGCATTGAGTATTTGCCTTTTATGTTTGGAATTCACCCTAAGTCCCTTGGAATATAAATACTTAAGCGATCCCTCATAGCTCGAGGATTATTGTCTTCCAGATGTGGTGTCTTTATATAAATAAAGATTATACTGATACAATATTTTGTTTATATTCTGTTCCAAACATAAAAGGCAAATATTCAATACTCAAACATAACAACAATACACCCACAGTGTATAAATAAAGATTATTATTGTTGTCATTATTATTATTATTATTATTATTATTATTTCCTGTCTTGAGCATGCTGCAGTTACCTCCATCCTGGCCTCAGGCCCTCAAAGCCCCAAATTCCTCACTCCGGAGCAGTAGTTCCCAACCTTTATTTGACCAGGGACTACTTTGACCGGGGACCACTCTCCAACATTAGTACCAAAAGGGTTACAAATCAGTTTTTGGTCAACTTTAGATTCGGTTTGTTTATTTGGGATGCTGATTCAGAGAATTGCATTGGATAGACCACATCAGCTCTAATTTCTGATACAGAACATATGCCATCCAGTAGTCGCCATCTGCTCGCCCACAGAAAACCATATTTAATCAGTATTGGCACTATAAGAGGGTTTCACAACCATTAACTCTCATTGCAATGTTGCAGTAACAGTGAGGCCGTGGAACATATTTTAGTTCTTGCGAACCACTGGTGGACCATGGAACACAGGTTAGGAACCATTGGTTTAGAGGTAGGGAGGGGCTGAGGCCCTGCCCACACCTGAACCCCGCACCCTCAGTCCCGCCATCGGTGCCCACATTGGGGGCTGCAGCACTTGTAGAAGGTCGTCATGGGTTCGTCGGCAGAGCGCGTCTGGAGCTGCATGAAGAAGGCGCGCGGGTGCTCACACTTGGGACAGGGCTCTGTGGGGCAAGCAATGAATTATTGTAATTATATAAAATTGGGGTATACATTATTATTATAATTAGAAACACAATAAGATGAGTCCACAGCAAATACTCTGCTGGCTGTTGTATTGGATCACACGTTGACTCTTCCCAAGTGTCCAGGACTGTGTGATGTATCGGCAAATAATGCGTGCAGATCCCAGTAGAGTGGCCTTTTGCAGCTGGCAGATGGTAATTTTGTCAGCGCTGATTGTGTTTAAGTGCAGGCCAAGGTCTTTAGGCACTGCATCCAGTGTGCCGATCACCACTGGGATCACCTTGACTGGTTTGTGCCAGAGTCTTTGCAGTTTGACTATTATTATTATTATTATTATTATTATTATTATTATTATTATTATTTATTTGGTTGTTGTAGGTTTTTTCAGGCTATATGTCCATGTTCTAGAGGCATTTTCTCCTGACGTTTCGCCTGGATCTATGGCAAGCATCCTCATAGGTAGAGTGGCTTTTTACAGCTGGCAGATAGTAATTTTGTCAGCGCCGATTGTGTTTAAGTGCAGGCCAAGGTCTTTAAGCACTGCACCCAGTGTGCCGATCACTGAGACCACCTGGATTGGCTTGTACCAGAATCTTTGCAGTTTGTTGTCTAAATCATATTGTGTCAGCTTTTCCAGTTGTTTCTCTTCAATCATTATTATTATCCTTATTATTATTATCATTATTAATGGAGCCAACGGTGGCACAGTGGGCTAAACCACTGAGCTACTAAACTTGCTAACCCTAGCTCCGCCCCCTCGCTCTCCCAGGCTCCGCCCCTTTCGGTGACGCACCTGCCGTGGAGTCCACGTTCTCCCAGGCCGCGGCCCCGCCCAGCACGTCGTCCACTTCCTTCAGCTTCGGGTAGCGCCGGCTCGTTACCTAGCAACGGAAAGAGAGGGAGGGGGGAAAAGGTGAGCGAAGGCCGAGGAGGAGGAGGAGGGAGGGAAGGAGAGAGGGAGAAGCCCCGCCCCTTGACGTGCCTTGCACGTGACGTTGCGGACGTAGGGGCACGTAGTGCAGGCGAAGCGGTGGCAGCGCGGCCCCTCTTCGGCCACCAGGACGTTCCCGCAGGCCGGGCAGAACAGCAGCATCCTCTCTCCTCACCTCCTGCTTCCGTTTCCGCTCTCCCCCCACAAACCGGAAGCGTGATGGAGGAAGAAGAGGAGGAGGAAGCTCACGCGGACGTGCTGGAGCTCTGGCAGGAAGGACTCGCCCGACTGGTCCAGGACCCGCTGCTCTGCGACCTCCCAGTTCAGGTGGGAGGGGCATTGGGCGGGGGGCGGGGCCTATGGAGAAGGGGGCGGGGCATTTTTGTGGTCTACATAGAAGGGGCGGAGCCTGATAAAGGGGCGGGGCATACGATGAAGGGCGGGGCATGGGCCTGCCACTCACCCGCTCCCTCCCGCCCAGGTGACCCCCGAGGAGATCAGCTCGCAAGTGGCGCTGGAGTACGGGCAGGCCATGACAGTGCGCGTGCGCAGAGCCGACGCCCCCGAGGCACCAATGCGTAAGTGCCAGGAGAGGCGTGGGCGGGGCCTTAAAGGTGTGGGCGGGGCCTAGTGGCCCAAATAGTAATGCGCCTCTGTGGGCGGGGCCTAGAAGCATGGGCGGGGCCTAGTGGCCCAAATAGTGAGGCCCTCTGTGGGCGCGGCCTTAGAGGCGTTGGCGGGGCCTTAGAGCCGTGGGCGGGGCTAATGGCCCAAATAGTGATGCCCTCTGTGGGCGGGGCCTAGAGGCGTGGGCGGGGCTAATGGCCCAAATTGTGAGACCCCTCTGTGGGCGGGGCCTAAAGGCGTGGGCGGGGCTAATGGCCCAAATTGTGAGACCCCTCCGTGGGCGGGGCCTTAGAGGCGTGGGTGGGGTCTAATGGCCCAAATAGTGATGCCCTCTGTGGGCGGGGCCTAAAGGCGTGGGCGGGGCCTTAGAGGCGTGGGTGGGGTCTAATGGCCCAAATAGCGATGCCCTCTGTGGGCGGGGCCTAGAGGCGTGGGCGGGGCTAATGGCCCAAATAGTGAGGCACCTCTCCTGCTCTCTCCTCCTTCCCTCCTATAACATACTACTACTACTAATAATAATATATTATAATTATATATTTTATATTATTTATATTACTAACTAGCTTGGGGACCTGGCGCTGCCCGGGTTAATAAGAGAAAGGAATTTATATGGCTCGCAGTAGTCTCAGGAAGTTAGTGAAGGTACTGCGAGTCCCATCATCTGTGGTCCATCCTCCTCCAAACTGCACCAGGATGGAGAGTGGGTCATGGAGGCTCTGTGTACTAAGTTTGGTCTTGATCAGTCATTGGATGAGGGTCACAGCGGTCTCAGAAAGGGAGTTAAGGTACTGTAAGTCCCATCATCCATAGTCTCCCTCAAATATTACCAGAATGTTGAGTTGGCCATGGGGGCTCTCTGTGCCAAGTTTGGTCTTAATTGGTATTTGGATAAGTGTCACTGTGGTTTCAGGAAGTGAGTGAAGGTACTGCAAGTCCCATCATCCATTGTCCGTCCTCCTCCAAACAGCACCAGAACGTAGAGTCGCTCATGGGGGCTCTGTGTGCCAAGTTTGGTCTGTATTGGTAATTTTCTGACAGAGCCCCTGGCCTTTTCCTTT